AGCATATTTTCATATTGTGATATGGTACACCTTGTTATCTCATGACTTCATTCACTGCAACAGAATAGTGGTACTTTGATATATTGTCTAAACTTGCCTCGAAACATTTGCCTACACATGCACTTTAGGAACACCTGGTTACATTTGAAATACTTTATTATGAAAAGATTTTGTGAAAAGTTTCTTTTGCTTTTTGAGATATTGGAATAAGAAATTCCAGTTTTTAATAATTAAACAATACACATGTATGTTAGATTTTTCATTGATCAAATGTTTAAACAACAGCATGTTTGTTTGGTTATATGATTGTGCAGTTATTTTACATGTTGAACTGTTTATGATGTCTGGAGTGTGTTGGTCAGAATTGTGTGTATCTCTGTATTATGAGACTTTGTATAATTGTATCTATTTCAGAAGAAATCGTTGACTTTTTCAGATCCTATATTTATGAATATCTCATGGTTTATGTGATAAATATATAATGTGATTTGTACAGGTGTTTCAGTAGTTTCACAAGTCTTCATACATTGACTTAGATTTAAGTCGTTCATGCACAAAATGAATACTTTTTTGTATAGATGTCAATGACAATATAACAAATTATGTCTTTTATAATTATTGTTGTGTATTTTGATAGGTGAATTTGTTCTCATAACGACTGATTTTTTTTTTTTTCAATGTTTAGAAGTTTCTAGAAATAGATTATTTCAGTTTTCATATTTGACTTAATCTTTTTTACTGTACAATCACATATTTTTGTCAGTTTTCTAAAAGAAGCTATCTCATTGACTCTGGATTTCTTGGTGAAATAGTATTTAAGAAGTAAAGTACTACTGACATGTCAATTTTCTGTTGATCATCATTTCAAATATGAGAATTCATGGGTTAAGACTGGCAGCGAAATCATCAGAAATAAATTGCCCACCAAAATTAATGATATATATATATATATATATAAACTTTTTTATTTTACAACAATTGCGAAGCAAGTTTTCCAACGTATATTAATCACTCTTGTTGGCTCAGATGGAATCGTGCAAGGGGTCTTAGTGTGGGAGGAAACTGGAGTGCCCGGGGAAAACCCACGTGGTTGGACAAGTGACCTCATACCTTTTCACTTCCATTCCAGGAATTGAACCCCGGATGGCTAGGTGAAAGGCAAGTGCATTATCATTGCGCCACCCGACCACCCAAAATTAATGATTCTACAGTAAAATAGATTGCAGCTGCCTTTCATCTTATCATCACTAGAGCTTGGGGTTTTTTTTCTTTTTTTTTTAGCCCACCATCATCGGATGGTTTGTTATCACTATTTCTTGAGAAGTATTGAATGGATCTTTCTCAGACTTCATATGTAGGTTCCCCTTGATCTCTTGTTTTTTGCCCATGTAGTTTTGTAACTGATCAGAAAAACAAAATGGCGGAAAGGTGGCCATCTTGGATTGTGACTTTTCAAGTGTGTTATCGCTATATCTTAAAAAGTACTGGATGGATCCCACTCAAATTTCACATGTGAGTTTCCCTTTGTCCTTAGTTGTGCCCATTTAATTTTGGGTCTGTACCGAAAAACAAAATGGCCAAAATGTGGCCATCTTGGATTTTGACTTTGAAAGATTGTTATTGATATTTCCTGAGAAGTACTTGATGAATCTTTTTTAAATTTCATATGTAGATTCCCCTTGGTCCCTGGTTGTGCCTTTTTGATTTTTGGACTGATCAGGGACTGCCTAGTGAAGATTGTTATTGCTATTTCTGAAGTACTGAATGAATATCTCTCAAATTTCACATGTATGTTCCCTTTGATCTCTCCTTGAGCTCGTTTGCTTTTGGAATTGATGAGAAGAAACAAAATGGCTTCCAGGTGGCCATTTTGGATTTGGCAGGTAAAGATTATCATTTATTTCTGCAAAGGAATGTTCAAATGTCTTATCATTAAGAACAAAAAGAGAAAAGAATGGAAAAGATCCCACTTTCAAAAAGCATATCAACAATGGTGGGCACCAAGATCCCTCTGCGATCTCTTGTCTGAGTTTCTAACACATTTAGTGATCAAAGTACCATTTATTGTTTTTTTGAAAATGATATCACAGACTATTCTCTGCTGCCCTGGTAGTGTCCTTGGGCAAGGCTTTATTCCAATTGTCCTAGATCGTAAGTATTGGGCCTCCAACATAATGGTCATTGAAGTAGCCACAGAGTATCCATAATATGATAGAGATAGATACAAAAAAAATCGTTACTTTTAAACGATAACAAACCGAAAATATGATAATAACATTAAAAAGAAAGACATATGACAGACATTAAAGAAATTAGAGAAAACTTTGGTTTTGAAACAAGCTCAAAGGCAACTGGTATGATTTATAATATCATTGTTGCAATTCATGTTATTTTCAAAAAAACTTTTGATGCTAATTTTTAGAGGTAATTGATATATAGTACATATATATGTAGATTCTTTTTATTGTGATCATATTGTAATAGTGTCATACTATACATACAATGTTAAGAATTATTTGTGAAAAAAAAAACATTTTTCAGAAAGTTTGAATGGCAAATATTAGAAGTTTAGAAAAAGTGTTCTAGCCTTTTGGATTTTCTGTTGCATAAATTCAAAATTACACTGCATAGTAGCTATTTTTTATTTCTTGTTTTTTTCACTCTCAAAACTTAGATTAATTTATTTTCGGCCACAAGTGCTGCTTATGACTTTATTAAACTAAGACTTTTGTATTATTTATTTTTAAAAAAAATGTAGATATATTGTGCTTTTACAAATTAAAAATCAAATATTAAGGTGTCAAATGTATTGGTTTAGAAAACAAGAAATGAAAATATTTTATGAAAGGAAATTTGTGACTAATTTGTTTGATTGTTAATACATTACATGTTTTGTCCAGAAAAAAACTTGATGAAATAGATCTATGTAATATGGATCACAGTTACAAAATATGTATTAGTCCACCAAAATCCTGTTAAAATAGATCTCTCCATCAAATATCTCTCATAATATTACATATTACCTGTGTAACTGTATGTAAACATATCAACAATTGTGTAACCTGACGACTATGAACAATAAAAGCTATAATTTCCCTATACAGATATGTGTTTGTTAAGAAAATAAATAAATAAACACAGTTTTCATGACTGCTATAGATTGTACTTTCTCTTGATTTCGATATGCCTGCTTGTCATATTGCAAGATCTGGAAACAGATTAGCTTCTGCCTACAGAAACCTACCATAAAACTCCTATAAACAAGAGGCCCAATGGGCCTGCATCGTACACCTAGTATTCAGTGTTTTTCACAGTGCAATCACAGCTAAACATTATTCATCTATGTCTGAATTCTTTTCTGGATGACTTCATTGAAGTGATATTAAGTGTAATGATATTAAAGAAGTGACAATAAGTGGTTTCCATTTAAGAAGATTTGTGTTGAATCAATCTGTTCAAAGTAAACCTCATTAATTATATCTATTGAAGCTCTCCAGAAAAGGATCCATCAGTTCAAGAAGATTGTTAAGCATGGATTGTGTTGTGGCCTGAAGCATGCTTGTGGTGAAGAAGAATGAATTTTGTATAAATGGTGGATCTTAGCCCTGTAGGATGAGAGGGATAGGGCCCAGAAGGGGATATAGGACTTATTCTGTATGATGATGATTCTTATGTAGGAATGTTCTGGGTTTTGTTTGCAATATGATTAGGTAAAGGGAATCAATTTTTGGTTGAACAATGAGATCCGGCCAACTTGAGGCGCAGGGCCAAATAATGGAAATAGAGCAAATCCCTCTTATGTTGGAACTGAAGACATCCTTGATAAGGAGAACTTCGTGCTTTTACAAACATCGCATTTAACCCCTGTTTGGAATTTGACACAAGAGTTTTAAATACCTTTCCTTTAGTTGAAGTAAATCAATTTTGGCAAACTGAACCAGGTGAGCTCTACAGGCCCTTTGGACCTCTTATTTGTGGAAAAGGAGCAGGTTGGTGTGGCTTGTACATAGTGCTAAATATGGTCTCTGTCATTAAGCTGACGGAACATGCTTTGGCTCAATTGATAGAGCTTTATTCCTAGTCGGAGCTCTTGGCAGAAATGTGTATTTTCCCTGTTCTTTCACAATGGCATACAACAAAATCCAATAGAATGTGATACTTAAGAGTCTCCGGTTTAGATTTAGGTAAGGTGAGTAGTGAAAAGAGAGCGAGTCAGTGTGAATCATACAGAGTATTAAATGCAGTTTCTGTTACTCAGCTGACAGAGCATGCTTCTTTGACACCGTTGATTATCGAGCGGAGATGAGGAGAGTCGAGTCCAATTCATGATGGGGGTACTCGACAGAAATGCGTCTTTCCCATGTTCTTGCAGAAATTTCATCAACCATTCTGCATGGAAGCTTATGTAGTGAGAGCAAAAATTACTGCTTCAAGATGAGTTTCATAAAATCTTACCTTCATAAAACAAAACATTAAGCAAAGCAGCCTTTTGTTTTGTGCTTTTCAGTTTGTGACATCACAATCGCTTTTTGACTAGGGAGTCTAAAGAAAAACCGTCAGAGTATATTACATTTAGTGAAAAAATATTACATGGGCACATTCACTGGGTCAAAAACTGACTGTGAAAACAGAAAATATGAATCAATGCAAGAGAACTGATATCTAAAGAAGGAAAATATCTAGGGAGTCAGAATCTGAATTGTTATTCAGTAGGGAAAATTTAAAGTTTGAAGACATATAGACTAATGATCTTTTACAGGTAATCTACTGAGTCCTCAGATGGTGGGAACCAAGATCTCTCTGGAATCTATATATAAAATACAGTTCTCATACAATCGTTCTTCTTACATCTTTCAGTACTCTGGCCCAAACTGTCCCTGTGGATGGACTGTTTGGCAATAATGAAAGCTAAATCAAACTCCAAATTTTTGAAAAGACGTTACCAACAGTAAACAAACCTGTTTTATATTACAAAATTAATCGTATTTATAGCTGGAATGAAAAAATATAAGGAGATATTATTTGACACATAATTTATTATAAAATACTACATATTCTAAACAGTTTTTTTATCACAATTTGATCAGCATTAAATTAAATATTAAGATTCCAGTAATAAGTGATATCGTTCAAGATCTGTCTTGGATATCTCAGATGGTGCCTTGCTCATTGGACAAAATCCTAATGATGATTTAGGGAAGGCGACAACTTCCTTGATATTGTTCACTCCACTCAAGATAGCAAATAACCGATCTAGACCTGTAACGAAAATAAAATCTGGATATTGTACCTAAAATATAGTTAGGTCATTCAATATGCAAAAATGACCTTGACCTTGTATAAAATTCATATTAAACAATGACCTTGATTTTGTATAAACTTTACATAAAGTTACTTTTACCTTGAATAAATTTTACATCAACATCATATGTTAATGGTGATAAATTCAGATAAAATGCAACACATTTATTTCTTTTTCTTAACAAGCAAGTCAGACATCAGAAAATTTAGAACTGAAATTGTTGAGATTCACACAACTCTCTCAAAGACTGACTGGCGATCATTACTTACCTAATGCGATGCCAGCATGAGGAGGACATCCCATGTCTAGAGCTGTAAGTAAATGAGTTAGCTCCCTTGTATCCTCCTGTCAAAACCAAACATGAAAAAAGAATGCTGTGATTTCTCATTGTGATAGCACATTGTACTGTGAACTGTGAAACATATTTTGTAATATTTAAAAATTATCCCAATCCTGCAACACAATAATGTTAGATAATTGACTTTTTGAATTTAACTTAACACTTTAGAAACATCAATGAATAATGTAACATCCTTTTTCTTTATTAAATCAAAAAAAAAAAAAAACATCCTTTTTCCTTCAGTATTTATATTCAACAAAATCTATTTACACTTTCTCAAGAAATTTCTTGTATTTAGGAATACTGTAAATGTACAAAATTTAGCGCAATCAAATCTTTATCACATTTTGGAAAATTAGTGATGGATTAGCAAATCCACAATGAATTTCATTCAGCACAATAATATATCAGAGCAACATTTTCAGTTCAAACAACACTAGAATACAATTACCAAGAAAATATGTACATCTACAGGAAGAATGAAATTTGAAGGTGTTGGTTACTCAAACTTACAAACTGTGATTTATAAAAGAGTTGAGCTATACTTACCTTCAATATTTCAGACAGAACATATTTTTGAAGATTTGCATTATGAATACGAACTGATCCCCCTCCGACCTCGTTACCATTCAATACCAGGTCATAATGTTGGCTCCGTACCTGTTATAAATAAACAAAATTAATGAAAACTGATGCATGAAAAAAAAAATGCACTGAAAATGTTGTATCAAGTGAGGGCAAAATATTAACAGTACAGATTTACATGAAACCTCTGTAGAAGTTCTAGACCAAATGTTCTACAAAAGTAAGAATCTTTTTGTTTTTCATGTGACATAATAATGTAATGTTCTCAAAATTAGAGTAGTGGCAATGATAACTGAACTGCCTGTCATATCAACAAGGTGTGAAGGTGTCAATCATCCTATCGGAAAAGGAAACAGAATATTTTCCCAATGATATCACAAGAATAACTTTTCTTTAGTCTTTATCAATCTGCATCTCACAAAATACCTTCTTGTAAATTCACAACACAGAAATGACACCCAGATGACATAGCAACATCTAAGGGCTGTAATTTTAGTATTTTTCATGTATTTAAACCATGTGACCTTTAGACTAGGTCAAGGTCATAAATCTGAATAATAAAATTAACAAACTGTAAGCTGTTTATTAAGACACTATATCCAGTTTAAAACAAGTCTTCTTGTAAACGAAATTTATGTTTATGGCTTTGACATTACGATAAAATTCCAAGCCAATTTGTAATATACAGAGAAACTTCTCCATACCGACCATGCATGGGACACAAATATTTGGCGCATTTTGGAAGGGTTCAGTTTGCAGAAGTCAACAAAGTTGACTGGTTTCAACTTCGATATTATCAGATACGATTTCATTCTGTGCATTAAATAAACAATTCTGTTTGCTTTGAGCATTTACAATGTACATATCTAACTGAATACAGAGAGATATTTGTATGTGTATACAATATGTGATTTCATTGGAAAATAAAGTTGCCCTACGATATCATCACTCACTAACACAGTTAAACCCAGTTCCCTGTCAAAAGGAATGTTTGTCTGAAAGTGATAACAATTGATATTTCTTATTAACTAGTGTGATCAATAAAGTGAAAATATATTTCCCAACAACACTCCATTATTGTTTCAAATGTTATGGTACACGTTTAAATAACTTAGAGAAACTAATTGCAAAACTGTGAATTTCTAGCTCTGCATTAGTACAATTTTCAGTTTCTTTAACACTTTACTCTCTCCAGTCATATTTGCGTTTTACTCTGTCATTGTAATTCAAAATCCTCTCAAACAGGTTGGTTGTATGTAGCATACAAAACCTTAGCCTACCCTGAAGCTAACAACTGCCAGCACATTTAATGAGTTCACCATCCGTTGGTCAGCACTCAGGAGTTGATCGCTCAGGTAAGGCAAGTTGACCAGTTTACAGATGTAATTTTCAATACATTTTAATCTGTGCAGTATTTAATTTAGAACTGAGAAGGTATTTGGAAGAATTTTGTTACAGTAATAAAGTATACATCATTTCATACATCGTTCGGTTTCATGTGATGATCTGTTTAATGCATTAGAATTGGTTCAGGGAAGTTGCACTGTATTTTTTTTTTTTTTTTTTTTTCTATTTTTTTCCCAATGAGTAACTGACCTTGGTGGGATTGGAATAAATAAGGTCAAGGTCGTCTTCCACTGGGGCTGTGAATGGATGATGTGCAGACTCAACAAACCCTGGTATCAGCTTACCATCTGGAGTAAAGACAAAGTCCTAGTTCAAATGATGAAGAATAAGGCTTAGCTTGAATGTCTGAATTTTACATAAAGATAAATGAGGTCATTTAACAAACATTTTTCCTTTAATTCAATGTACAATGCATTGTTACAAAGACAACCGTTATTGTCACTCACCCTCATCTTCCTTCGGTAGAAAAAGAGGAAAATCTACGACCCAGAAAATGTTGTAGTCAGACGGATTCCTGATCATCAATCCTGAAAAAATAATCCATATTTTTTTTCAAAAGTCTCAAACTTTTGTACTTTTACACAAAAACTGTAAAAAAATTATAGAACAAAAATCATAAAAATATACCAACATATCAACAGCATCTTCATTCAAACTGAAGATCAATGAAACTTGGACAAAATATGAAAAATTGTTACTTTGTACTCTTTGTAATTATATCTTGTTTAAATCATACTTTCTTGGAAACTGAACAAGCAATAACATCTGATATGATTTTCAACAAGAGTGAAAATATATCACATACTTCCTCTTATCTCTGATCAGTAAAGATATCGTCTTCTCCAAAACAACATTTTCAGGTCAGTAAGGGGCCCAATTATAGACATTCAGTGAATTTATCTACAAATGCTATTTCATTGTCTTGTTATTAACCAATCAGCATCATTGAGTCAGGATAACTGAAGTATTTGTGTGGGTGATGATTAATGAGTTTATGAGTTTACTTCCCTTGATCGGAACTCTTCTTATTGAAAGACAGGAATGTCATATAAAATGGTATAAAAGCTGGAATTGTGTATTTGTTTCAGTCTAAATGTCTCTAAACACTGAAATCCTGAATTTTTTATGATGTTTTCTAATATCTGCGAAGCCTAGACTGAAGGACAACAAATCCCCAGACCTCAATTGACAATTAATACCTTTTTCTTCTAAATGAGCAGCTGTTGCCAGACGTTTCTTCCCAAGGACTTCACACTGAAAACAAATGATATACTTCAGACCTCAATCCAAATTGAAACGAAAGGCAAATGCACTGAACTCCTAATGCTGTTTTTATATGGTTTTAACACTTCTGAAACCTTCTGTGGTAACACTTACACACCAACTGTAAAAAGTGATTTTAATACAAGCTTTTAATTTCAAACTTTTTTCGATACTGACCGATGACCATTAAAACACAATGAGATGTAGAAGCTAACGTTGTGGTGCTGTGATGTTGATATAAACTAAATCTGTTGAAGAGTTCTTGATATATTGTACATAAGCTATTTATTTCAACACTAACTGTTTTATATGTAAATTCATGAAACATCAAGTCTTATATTCTGAAGTGGTCAAGTGTGATGTTGACCCTTAACCTTGACTAGCAGCTATGAAATCTTGACCAGATGAAGAACTAGATATTTTGATACTTAAATGAATAAGAACTAAATCAGTAAAAGATGTTTACAAAATATCACAAACAAAAACTGTCTTACAATCTCTACCAATGGTCACCCAACTTTTATCAGCTGTAGAACTTGATGTTAGGATACTTCAATGAGAAGCTAAATCTATTGATGTCTCATGAGATATTGTATTGTACAGTTAGTTATATTAATCAGACACTTAAATTTTCTATATTCACACTCATGAAGAATTGCTCAAAAACAATAACATAGCCAATATCTTATAGCAAATCAAGGAAAATCACATACTCGTATTTACTGCTTAAGGTGCTGTGTGAAATTTGATCACAAAAAAATAACCCCAACCAGAACAAATTCAAAATTACACTGCAACACAGCATCTCATCAAGATGAACACATAGAGTGATAACTGTGTAACTCCCCCTCCTTTGATAAGTTGGGGATACATAATGACATTGTTAAATTCTTTTTATCCATCAAGTGTCCAAACTTTCAAGGAACAAAACCTTCCTTTGAGAGTTAGAAAATCCAATGGAATATATATGGTCAGCAAATTTTCCTTTTGCAATAATACTGTAAAAGTTATTTTCTATTTTGTGTTTTTTTTTTTAACGATATAAATAAACAAGAGATCCCAGAGGGATCTTGGCACCCACCATTTGAGGATCTGTTTTCAGTTCTTGAAGATTTGTTTATTTTTTTTGGTTTGTTACAGGTGTTGTAAATGTTCATGAACTGGTCTTCATTGAATGTACTCAATGATGGCACAAGATATTTTTATTAAGCACCTATTAGCAAATATCATTTGAAAAAGATCCCAAAGTATTATTACATAGCAGTCAGTTACAGGTGGACAATGGACAATATGCTTGTGCTGTATTACTGTCGACATCCAAGATGGCTGCCTGTGGGCCACCTTGATTTCAAATCAGTCCAAAAAAGGTACAATGCACAACTAGGGACCAAGGGAAACCAATATCTATGAAATATCAGAAGGATCCATCCAGTACTTCCTCAGATATAGCAGTAACAAGATTTTACTCTCAAAATCCAAGATGGCTGCCTGTCAGCCATCTTGATTTCGGATTAGTCCAAAAAGGTATAATGCACAACTTGGAACCAAACGGAACCTGCATATGAAATTTGAGAAAGATCCATCCCGTACTTTCCAAGAAATAGCAGTAACAAACTTTTACATTCAAAATCCAAGATGGCCACCTGTCTGCCATCTTGAATTCGAATCAGTCCAAAAAAGGTACAATGCACAACTAGGGACCAAGGGGAAACTGCATATGAAATTTGAGGAAGATCCATCCAGTACTTTCTCAGAAATAGCGGTAACAAACTTTTACTTCCAAAATCCAAGATGGCCACCTGTCGGCCATCTTGAATTCGAATCAGTCCAAAAAAAGGTACAATGCACAACTAGGGACCAAGGGGAAACTGCATATGAAATTTGAGAAAGATCCATCCAGTACTTTTCCAGAAATAGCAGTAACAAGAATTGTTTACGGACAGACGGACGGACCACGGACGCAGGGCGATTTGAATAACCCACCATCTATTAGATGGTGGGCTAAAAAATGTTCTGGGATCATTTTTCACATTATCAGTTCACAGAAGTATGAGATATACAATACAGGCTATATGGTTTCTCATTGTCTGGTGAATTCCTAGATCCACAGGTTCGGTGGAAATCATATTTTTAAAGTTAAATTGCAGTTTTTAATTGAATTTGGTAAATCTTAATGTCCTTACTTCAGCTGGACAGCTCAGAGAATCAGTACGTTGACAGAGCATAAAATTTGGTGATGCGGTAAATATGTCATCTACATTTTTAAAAAATTTTCACAGGAATTTTATTTTGAATTTTAAATACAACTGCGAAAAATGTGAAAATTACAGCCACCCCCCTTCCCAAAAATGCTCTTATAGTACATGACTTGTCAAACGATTACTCTGCATCAAGAGTAAAAATTCATCAGAATCCTCGACACATTGTACTGTATATTTGTCCTGTGTTCAGACTTACTGGAGATGTTCCCTGGCCCAGACATAAAAGGAGGATATCTCCAGGTTCAAGCTGCAGCTTTTTGTTAATCTCTTCTCGACATGTTGATTTAAGGTTTTTAGAAATTGGAGACTTCCAGTCATCCGCACTGTTGATCTTTGCACTAATTATTTCCTGTAATAGAAAAATGTTATTTTATATTTAATGTGAATTAAAATTGTTCCAGATAAAGATTTCAAATCTAATCCACATTTTACAAAGATATGCTTTAAGATAAGGTTGAAAGAAATCAAGCGATTGGTCAATAAAGACATAATCTCAGTCAAATTTAACAGTTTAGCTACTTTTTCAGGTTTTAATTATCTCCCCTTAATATTTGTCCCCTTGAATTAATTGATTCTGATATGCCATTCAGGTAAGCTCAGCCCCTCTCTCTGAACCAGCACATCTTTTTTTTCAACGGGCCTGAATGGCACATTATTATACCACTTTGCCATTTACCATTAGCAAATGACAAATATTGTGCAGAATAAAGTTTGCCCTAAATCAATTCTAGGTTGCTTTTGCCTAAACGGTTGAAATGGTTGGACCAGCTGGTTGCCATTGCCTAAACAGTTGAAATGGTTGGACCAGCTGGTTGCTTTTGCCTAAATGGTTGAAATGGTTGGACCAGCTGGTTGCTTTTGCCTAAACAGTTGAAATGGTTGGACCAGCTGGTTGCTTTTGCCTAAACGGTTGAAATGGTTGGACCAGCTGGTTGCTATTGCCTAAACGGTTGAAATGGTTGGACCAGCTGGTTGCTTTTGCCTAAACAGTTGAAATGGTTGGACCAGCTGGTTGCTTTTGCCTAAACTGTTGAAATGGTTGGACCAGCTGGTTGCTATTGCCTAAACGGTTGAAATGGTTGGACCAGCTGGTTGCTATTGCCTAAACGGTTGAAATGGTTGGACCAGCTGGTTGCTATTGCCTAAATGGTTGAAACAGTTGGACCAGCAGAACATGCAAGAGAAATGCCAGGTACAGATCAGAACTGAGTCTGAACTGTTGAATATTGGCAACAATCAGTATGAGGGGTTCAGATATACCTGTCTGAAACTAACATACTCAAAATCATTAGTTTTCATAATTATAGCATAAAGCAGAGTCAGTGAACACACATACATATATCTGGATCATTAGGAGTTAAAATTGCTGATATATTTGTATTTTATTTTTTATTAATTGTTTTAGGTTTGACAGGAAATTCTGAAACTGCATTTAACCTTGACGTAAATCAGCTAGCAACTGGTACGGGTACATTCACTGGTAATGGAATAATTCCCACACACCTGAATAAGTTACAAAAAATGGCCCTATACTTACTGTTTTGTCATCTTCATTGATTGGCTTACAAAGTATTTGTAGATCTTTGTTAGAAAAGTACTTCTATAAGAGAAAAAACATAAATTAGGAATCAATTGTTTGTGAAGACTTTTCTAGGGACACAGCTAAGTAAAACACTGTCTATTTTTCCTTTAATATTTGTCACTACCCAGTAATAAGCTTTCCTCTTACTTCATATCACAGAACATTTCAATACATTATATCTATTTTCACATCTATGTCAAAATCTTCCTTTATATCAAAAACAAAATTTGAATTTTTTATATCTTTAAATATATTTATTTCATTTTCCTTCGACTGAAACAAGAAATATTTTTTGGAAATGTTCCAAGAATATCACAACGTACAAGTAGTTCTGATCAAACTTCAGAAGAAATCTAAAACGGAACTTCTCAAAGTACTTTAAAGTTGGATTCATCTGATAACAGCCACGTTAAACAATCCAGGGATAGAATGACAGATCAAGGCATATTGTGAATAATCTTGCACGTTTTTTCAAAGACGAATTTGAGGAATAAATTCTGAAAACAATTATAGTTTTCTAACAAATTGAGTCTAGAATACTATTACATCATTCCTAAATTTTTCTCATTGATTTTACCTGTCCCTCAGGTATTCTGAGTGCTGTAACAGTTTCTGCTCTTGTAAGTCGCTCAATACCACAGTCTGACACAACATCAGTTAGATCCTGAAGCTGAAATATTCAAAAAACTAAATTTTTGGAGAAAAAAAAAAACATGACAGGATATAAATGTGCATGTGTGTCTTTCTTCAAAATAACAATTGTCATCTATCAAATATTACAATTCTGAGTTTCCTTAATGTGATTGCTAAAAATTACTATTGTTAAACTAGACTTATGTAGGTCTGTTGTACATCAGATTGCACACCTGTCATACAAATTTTGTGGATCTTTCAAAATCAAATTTCTGCTTTTGATTTTTTTTTTTTGTTGCTTTTGACTTCAACTTTACTAGATTTTTATAGAAGTTTTATCGACAAGCATTTTTGTCTCTAAAACAATTTTTCTGATGTTATACTCTGACCAATGTTATCCATGTCATTGTGAAAATGTCACAATGATATGAAGTTTACTTGATAACCTGACAACAAGAAACAGACCTGCAGACACACATTCTTAATATTAAATGTGAAAGTAGCAAATGTCTGTAAGACATGAATGCTCCCTCCTATCATACATGTATCATTGTCCAATAGCTTGTCAAATGTGACCTTTGACCTGCTAAACTTGACTGAAATATGGTGTAGAACTTGATGTTATAATACTTTTGGTAAGTATGAAGAGATTCTCAAGAAACAGGATAACCATCCGACAAGTGTGGGATGAGACAAAACACAATGTGAAAAATGGACTTAGAAAGAAAAACTAGCAGCCACACCATAAGATGGCTAGAGCATAAAAGCCAACAATTTTACAGATGATCTATGGGAGGTTAAACGCAATATAATATAATCCTATATGAAACAAGAATTTTCAACAGCCAAGTTTAACATAAAAGTATTGATTTCAGTTTGCAATGTCAAATTTGATTGGTTAATTTTAACATAAAAATGTTTTGATTGGTCAATGCAGCACTGTATGACAGAAAGGAACCCATCATAAATGTGAAAACTATTGAAACCTGTGATTAAATCATAAGGATTTACTTTTGAAAAACAGACTATATTCTCTGCATAAGCTATGTCACAGTTTATATACTTGTGGCATAAGCTATGTCACAGTTTATATACTTGTGGCATAAGCTATGTCACAGTTTATATACTTGTGGCATAAGCTATGTCACAGTTTATATTCTTGTGGCATAAGCCACTTTACAGTTTATATACTTGTGGCATAAGCCACTTTACAGTTTATATATTTGTGGCATAGGCTACTTCACAGTTTATATACTTGTGGCATAAGCTACTTCACAGTTTATATACTTGTGGCATAGGCTACTTCACAGTTTATATACTTGTGGCATAAGCTACTTCACAGTTTATATACTTGTGGCATAAGCTACTTCACAGTTTATATACATGTGGCATTAGCTACTTCACAGTTTATATACATGTGGCATAAGCTACTTCACAGTTTACATACTTGTGGTATAAGCCACTTCACAGTTTACATACTTGTGGCATAAGCTACTTCACAGTTTACATACTTGTGGCATAAGCCACTTCACAGTTTATATACTTGTGGCATAAGCCACTTCACAGCTTATATACATGTGGCATAAGCCACTTCACAGTTTATATACTTGTGGCATAAGCTACTTCACAGTTTATATACTTGTGGCATAAGCCACTTCACAGTTTATATACATGTGGCATAAGCCACTTCACAGTTTATATACTTGTGGCATAAGCTACTTCACAGTTTATATACTTGTGGCATAAGCTACTTCACAGTTTATATACATGTGGCATTAGCTACTTCACAGTTTATATACATGTGGCATAAGCTACTTCACAGTTTACATACTTGTGGCATAAGCCACTTCACAGTTTACATACTTGTGGCATAAGCTACTTCACAGTTTACATACTTGTGGCATAAACCACTTCACAGTCTACATACTTGTGGCATAAGCCACTTCACAGCTTATATACATGTGGCATAAGCTACTTCACAGTTTACATACTTGTGGCATAAGCTACTTCACAGTTTATATACTTGTGGCATAAGCCACTTCACAGTTTACATACTTGTGGCATAAGCCACTTCACAGTTTATATACTTGTGGCATAAGCCACTTCACAGTTTACATACTTGTGGCATAAGCTACTTCACAGTTTACATACTTGTGGCATAAGCTACTTCACAGTTTACATACTTGTGGCATAAGTTTACATACTTGTGGCATAAGCCACTTCACAGTCTACATACTTGTGGCATAAGCCACTTCACAGTCTACATACTTGTGGCATAAGCCACTTCACAGTCTACATACTTGTGGCATAAGCCACTTCACAGTCTACATACTTGTGGCATAAGCCACTTCACAGTCTACATACTTGTGGCATAAGCCACTTCACAGTCTACATACTTGTGGCATAAGCCACTTCACAGTCTACATACTTGTGGCATAAGCCACTTCACAGTCTACATACTTGTGGCATAAGCCACTTCACAGTCTATATACTTGTGGAATAATGAATATCAATGAAAACAGCATTATAGTAGTTACTTCAATAAATTTAGTACCATCTACCGTATTCGCCTTGTCCGGGCTTCATCTAGATCAAGGTCAAGGGTCCCCATGAAACCCAGACAAGGCGAATCCAGGAGACAGTATTAAATAAATTAAAGTACATACTCTGATGCTGTTGTGATTGATTTTTTTGACTTGATTGTAAACATCTTGTTTGAGCTCCTATGTATAAAGAAACAAACTAGAATTTTTTTCGATATACAGTAAAATAATTTTCATTTCCTCTTACAGACCTTCATGTCAAACCTGGTGTCTGGTTTGTCAGACCCATAGTCCCTCAGAGCCTGATCATAGGTCATGACCGGAAAGGTATTGGGTAAAGTCCCTGCCCCCTGGGGCCAGCAGTAGTGTAGCAGTCTCTCTATCAATCTCATGATATGTGTCTGTGAGGTGAAGGCCATCTCTATATCTAACTGAAAAGAATCGTAACATTCAATCAGGTTTTAACCTAATTACATATTATAGTGTAATCAATGAATATGCATCAAGAAACTCAATTTGCATATAGATAATATGCAATTTTATGAATATTCAAGAAAAATTTGCATCAATTTGCATACAAATAATATGCAATTCTATGCATATTCAAGAAAAATTTGCATTGATTTGCATATAAATTACTGAAAGTAAATCCATCAGTATTAAAAAACTTGTTAGTATATCCTTTATTTATCATTTGTATAGTTTCATTGTAAAATTGTTTTGTTTGAAAAATACATTTTGCCTGTGATAAGCTCATGAGTCTAATACATTATTAATGAAACAGGAAACACAATCAGACCTAACATACCTGAAACATTGCATTTGAAAAAGCCATCACTGAAGTAACTGAGCTACTGAAGAACTTTGAAGAACGTTGATTGTTGTAAACTAGGGATGATAACTATCTCTTGAGTTCTTCAATAATATGCTTTACAAACACTTTGATTTCTGTCAAAACTGACCTTTGAACTTGGGTTATCATTTCTGCATTTTGTTTCTCAATAAATATAATTCACAGAATCTTTGATCTCTATCAAAGTCAACCTTAGAAATGGTGACTTCAGTTTGGATTTTTGTGGGGGAAGTTTCTGTAATTAACTAGTTTTCTACAGAAGATCCCTGACCTGTGTAAACTCTGGTTGTCTGTCTGGTTTTTGCGTTTCATCTCGGTAACATCTAGCTATCTGGAAATATCTGTCTATTCCTCCTACCATTAGCAACTGCTTAAACTACAAAAAAAAAAGATATACAAAGAAAACCAATGACAAATTGTGTCAGACAAATTCAATTCACAGGCTGAAAATAAAATTTGGGTTGAATAGAATGACTTTACAAAGATAGCTTAAATCAATAACAATGCCCTTAAATTGAAAAGAGATTGAATAAACATCTTTATTGTTATACAATATGTTGAAAGGGATGTATTCGTAAGATGGGCTGAAAACATCTTGTGTAAATATGGAGATACAATGTTTATCAGCTAGGGTGAATAAGATTATTTTTTTCTTTGAGTTAAAACCTGAGTGAATGTATATGCTGGGTGTACTGTAAAACCAGTTTTTGCATGGGGGATTTATTTTGTGAGTTCTGTTAATACATGAATTCATATTTTGAGAGTACTGTTAATTCATGCATTCATTTGTCCATGAAGCTCTTAATTAAATAAAAGTAGATTAACATTTATGCATGAAATCAAGTGTCCATGGAATAGTTTTGTTTCTTGAAAAAATAAACACAAAAATTAAGCCCCACAAAAATATGTATGATCTTACACTATCTCAAAGATACCCCAAAATTGAGTTCAATATATCAGCTGTGAATTTAACAGAATATAGATACTGGTTGATAATTTAACAGAATATAGATACTGGTTGATAATTTAACAGAATATAGATACTGGTTGATAATTTAACAGAATATAGATACTGGTTGATAATTTAACACAATATAGATACTGGTTGATAATTTAACAGAATATAGATACTGGTTGATAATTTAACAGAATATAGATACTGGTTGATAATTTAACACAATATAGATACTGGTTGATAATTTAACACAATAAAGATACTGGTTGATAATTTAACAGAATATAGATACTGGTTGATAATTTAACAGAATATAGATACTGGTTGATAATTTAACAGAATATAGATACTGGTTGATAATTTAACACAATATAGATACTGGTTGATAATTTAACAGAATAGAGATACTGGTTGATAATTTAACACAATATAGATACTTGTTGATAATTTAACAGAATATAGATACTGGTTGATAATTTAACACAATATAGATACTGGTTGATAAGTTAACACAATATAGATACTGGTTGATAATTTAACAGAATATAGATACTGGTTGATAATTAACACAATATAGATACTGGTTGATAATTTAACACAATAAAGATACTGGTTGATAATTAACACAATATAGATACTGGTTGATAATTTAACAGAATATAGATACTGGTTGATAATTTAACACAATATAGATACTGGTTGATAATTTAACACAATATAGATACTGGTTAATATACTGAGTTGAATAAATTGTTTTCCATTTTCTGTCTCTGTATTGCCAGTTATAGACTGAATGAACAACACTTGAATCCAAATAAACTGGATAAAGAAAAAACAAGATAGATTGGGCTGGATTTAAATAGCCAATCATTTTCCTAGTCACCATGGTTACCTGTTGGGGACTCTGTGGCAAGCTGTAGAATCGGCCCTTGTGCCGAGTAGGAACCAGAAACTCCTTGGCACCCTGAAAATAGGAAATATCAAGGTATAGCAAACACTTTATCTACAGCCTCATCATTTGTCTACCACCATCTTAGCATTTTTAAAGTGGATTTCTCAATTGTCCATATCATTATGAAGAGATTTTGGCATTTATTTTTCACCGCTGTAAAGAGCTTTTTGACATTAAATAGAGTTTGAACAGTGATATTGTTGTAAAGACTTTATAAAGAGGTTTTTACACTTCAGTGGGTTTTGACAGCTTTAGTTTGACATTGCTATGCTGACTTTATTAACAGGTTTTGTCATTGCACAAGAGTTTGAGATACATATAGGATAAAAACAACACAAAACTGTTAAGTGGCAAAACACTACAGAAGGAGAAAAAAAACTTCATCAATAATCATTATATTGGGTTGTTTTTTTTTAAAATAAAGTTTAATGAAACAGTTGATGTACCATTCTTTCTATTCTATATAAGCTACAACTTTTGAACAAATAATTAAAACAGCTGAAAAAGGCAATTTGATGAAGAGTCTCCTACTGACACACTGCCTTGCCAAGCAGAATTTCCTGAAGTTCCAGCAATTACAAGTGTAGGAGGTATTGCCAGGAGAAACTTTTTCTTTTATGTCAGTCAAAGGTCAAAATGTAGGTCATAGGAATCTGGGTTCATCTTGTTGAGGCAGTGTGTTATGTACCCCAAGTACGAAGTTTCAGTAACATGTACTGTAGGAGACAGATCTTGGACGATGTCGCAGAAGGATGGACAGAAGGACTGACAAAATGCAAAACTGTAGTCCACACCTGGTTCACAGCTTGGCAATTATAAATACAATGTAACAGGAATTTAGAATAACTGGCTACTATCCTAAACATTGGTGCAAAAAAAATGTGAAAAAGATCTACTAGAAATTTTATTTATCCCCTTTATATTTACATTTGAACTTAAATTGAACATTTCTGTAAACATGCACAACTGTTAAATACTAGCAACTGTATGGAAAACATCAGGAGGGATAACACTGGTGCTTATGTTGTGTTTATTACAAATGATATATTGGTTATCTCCCTTGTTTGCTAAATATCAAAGAAGGAGATATATATGAGATCAAAAGACAACGAAGAATCAATGCCCTGTAACAATGCCCATGTAACAATGCCCTGTAACAATGCCCTGTAACCATGCTCCTGTAACAATGCCCTGTAACAATGCCCTATAACAATGCCCTGTAACAATGCCCTGTAACAATGCCCCTGTAACAATGCCCTGTAACAATGCCCCGGTTGGGAACACTGAAGTGTAAATGAGTGAATTAAGAATCTCTCCAAGGACTCCAAGGAATTTCACATCATGTCAAAAATGACACTTACACATGTAATATATTAATGAGAAATTACTACATTTAAAACTGGAATATTCACAGAAAATTTTTTTCATATTTCCAGATTTTTTTACAACTTACCCCAGGTGTTTTTCTAAAGAGAGTTGGTGTCTCCACATCAACAAATCCTGCAAGACAGAAAATGAATCTATAGAAAGTGGATTATTTTTTAAAAGTTGTCATTTCTTCCTCAATATTCTCAGCCTCCAATCACGGCCCAACGACTGCCAACTTTAATGCTATACATCTAATAGAGTGAAACAAAGGGAAGTAACTCTGGGAAATCAGCATGCTCAGCTTAATCTTTAAATTTACTTATGAATCATTTTAAGTTTACAAGAATGAATAAATGATCACTGGAAGCCATCTAATGATCAAACTAACTCTATATAAATGTTTCAGGAGAAGTTAGAATCAAGTGTTATAATACCATAACTTGTAAAGCTGTATATCAATTTCTTTCAAAATACGTTATTATAAACATGATGCATCTTCTATCAATTTCTTTAAAGTAAAATTTTTTCATACAGATATTTTCAAGAGATTAACAAAAGACAAAATGAAAAATATACAAACTGACGAAGAAACATTTTGTGATAAATCTTAAGTAAAGTGACAGTCTTGTTTCCATGTTTATTGTGATGCTATACACGTGTGGTTACACATTTAGGCTGTTCAAGTGCAATAAAGACATCTAGTAATCTTGTAAAACATTGCTCTTGTTGTATATAGGTTTTAAATTTTACTGAAAAATGAAACATATTACAAACTCTGATGCCTCTAACCAGTACTTTGACAGTCATTCTTCCATAAATACCAGCGCAGACTATAAATATTCTTTCTTTTTTTTCTTCTTCTTTTTTTCCTTTTTTTTTTTTTTTTTGCTTATATTTTTATCAGTTAAAATAATAAGACAAAATAACAAGAGTATTAGTGAAAATTATGAATACTCCCGAAAAAATGTCTTTCTTGCACATGAAATTTTACCAAAGGGCCATAATTCTGTAAATAAGGAGTTGCAGGCCTTGAATTTGGTACACTGCTCATACCCTTATTATAATTAATGTATACACCAAATTCCATTATCCTTGCTTAACTGTGAGCAAAGTTATGCTTTTGACACAAAAGGACAGACGTAAAGACGGACAGACAAGGTGGCGACTGTATGCTCCCATAGAAATTTTCAGTGAATTAAAAAAACGAATAAGTTAGGAAACCAAAGCATTTTCTCCAGCTGGAACAGGCTGTGTCCAAAGAAAAAGTCTACATTTGATTTACTTCAATTGTTTGAAAAAAAACTGCAAAATTTTTTACCATTGAAGAAAATACATAAACAGTATATTTCAGCAGATGTTGTGACTGAAAATCTACCCAATATGGACTTATTTTACTAGCATCTCATAACCAAGTCAAATGTCTAAAAATAACTCACCATGATCATTACACAGGAACTCACGAGCTTTCATGATAAAAGATGATCGCAGACGCAGGATTTTCTGCATGGGTGCACTCCGGATATCTAGGTAGCGATGTTCCATTTTGGTATCTGTGGTTACCTAAATATAGAAATATATTATTTCAGCTCTTATTAAGAGGGACAAAAAAAAATATGAAATATATTCCATTTTAATGCAAGCAATAACTTTGTCAGTTGTGAGAACCAACGTTGCAATGGACACAAGTTAAATGTCCATTATAACCACATGGCTCATTAGTTGTTAATGTCACAGATAACATGATTTCCGATGTTACTCTTGATGTCATCTTTGCTCCATAACTATATTCCTCATTGTGATGTCATAACCTTAGTGAGTGAAATCATTTCATCTTCATCTTCTCAGTGATTTTTATAATTGGACTCCTGCTTTTCCTGAAGGGCTCACTCAAATTTTGAAAACTTACTATATCTCTTTACAACTGGACAATATTTAAATTTTAAAAAACACTGATCAGAAAAAATTCCCACAAAAATTACTGAAGTCATTTTGTGTGGGTTTATTCTCTGAATAACACAACCATTGTATGATAAAACATGAAGGGTCACACCAATAATGATAATGACAGACAAAAAATCTGATGGATGTAGGTCATCCTGACACTTCCGGTCAGATTACAGATTGTCTTGTAATTTCTCTACTTTCATTTTCTATTATTGTACAGTTAAAATGTATCAAGCATATAATTTGGACTTAACGACCTTTTCTCTTTGCTGGTGGGTTGTTGAGAATTTAATAAAAATTGGCAGAAAATTTCCATGTTTTCTTTTGACGTCTTAATTTTATCAAATATGCCAGAATAAGTTGGTATTCTTAGCAAGTCATTTTTCGTGATCATTGATCAAGAATTTACTGATAAAGAATAGTTCATTCATATTTTCAATTGATGCAGCTAGTTCAAAGTCATAGAAAATATCAATAGTCTCTCATATAATGTTTATATTAATTTATAACTGTGTAGAATCATAAACTTCTGCATCAATCATCAAGAAATATTCTAAACCTGTTATTTTTTTCTTTGTTTTCTTTGTTTTTTGGGTGGTTTTTTTTGTTACTATGTACTGTTAATTTAGTTACACACAAAGTTTTTATTTGGGATATCCATTTAATCAAATTCCAAACCTAACATTTTCAGAGTATGTTTAACTTCCATTACTTCCCTTTAATTACTCTCCAAACAAAACATTTTTTGTTTTTGTTTTAAGAGATTTTTTATTACTTCCCTTTAATTACTCTCCAAACAAAACATTTTTTGTTTTGTTTTAAGAGACTTTTTATTACTTCCCTTTAATTACTCTCCAAACAAAACATTTTTTGTTTTGTTTTAAGAGATTTTTTATTACTTCCCTTTAATTACTCTCCAAACAAAACATTTTTTGTTTTGTTTTAAGAGATTTTTTATTACTTCCCTTTAATGACATGTTTCAAATATATATTATTTTTAGTTGCAAGGATTTTTTTTTCATTACATACATATAACAAGGTTCCGAACATAACATTTTTGGTTTTCGGGAAATTTTTCTTTTCTTTCGTTCACTGTTGTGGACTATATATAAGATTCCAATAATCAACCATGAATGACTTTGTAAATAAAGAATGGACATGTGACCTGAAAATTAAGTAAACAAGTATTCTTTATAAACATCAATATCACCGGTTATCAATTCAGATCTTACTACATGTATAAAGCTTATGATAACAGAATAAGGGTTGCCAGGATCAGGTCCTCCTCTTAAAAAAACAACTCTGGTGTCCTTATCACATAAATGTTTGACACTTACCTTGTTATAGGAGATACATGTGGGGTAGAATGGTATCTGTGAATTACATGTGTTCAAAACTTTTATTTCTGAAGGTGTAATCTCCACTTCACCACTGCCTACTGCCTGAAACCAAGAAAAGTCATTATAAGTAACTAGCTGATATAAAAGTGGTAAGGGGCCTGGCTTTGCAAAATCGTGTAAGATTGGTTCGGACAACAGAAAAATGTTTATAATCTGTAAAACCAATTTGCAAAAATTTCAAAAAGAGAAAGTTTACAATTTGAAGATATTTTTGAAATACCTTTCATGTTTGTAAATTTTCATGCATTTCTTTTTCAAAAACACACATTTGATAAAATGACGGAAAGTGAACAAGCTAGAAAAAAAAATATTTTTGTACACATTCACAATGTCATTTACATCTCTCCAACATTCAGCAAAGCTATCTATAACATTTATCTGCAAATAAGATAATGCTTAGCGACCAGTATATTCAGAATAACACTTGTGATTTCCATCCTCTACAAAAGGCTCTAATATAACCAGTGGTGTGTTGAGGGGATTACAGATGAGCTAAAATAGTCAAGGTGGATTAGTAACAATGTCACCCATCATATTTTGTAAAACAAATATCTATAAGTTCTATATTTATCTGTCAATCAGCTGATACTGAATAATTATTGCAATAGTGTGATGGTATGGAATATGAATCTAATCTGTTCTGGGGTTCATAAGATGTTTTTAACACAAGGTTATCACAAATGCACTCAGTATCCAATTCTCTTCAATTTCATTATACTTGGTCTACACCTACCTGTCTCTGTTGATTTTCTGGTCGCATCGTTACCGTTCCCTTGACCTCCACAACATTTTCACGCTCCAGCAATTTTACCATTTTCACCTTGAATTAATTTACAAATATCCATTATCTTTCACAAAAAAGTGTTTCGGGAAACTTGAAATATTTCATGGATAGGAGAGGGTTTGAGGTGCAATAAAGCAGGATTTAGGGAAGTAAATATGGACAATCTAGCATCAGTGTAATATGAAATTAATTAAACAAGTTTGAAAATTGATAATTTGATAAATCATAGTATTTAAAGTCAATTATGATATTCAGAAAAAGTTAGAACTTTATAAGATGTATTTTTTATGAAAGGATTTCACATTAGAAACTTCTTATGTCCTTACAAAAATTTACAATTCAAATTGAAATATCAATTCACTTTATCAACACTAGATTTGCTTTTTATTAACTGAACAGTTTGAAATATTTATGTATATTTCAAAATTGAAAAGAAGGGATCCAAATAAAGCCATGGAATTCCAAATCCAGCAGAAACTAAAATTGAATAGCATGCGAACCTGTGCATTTAATCAATACTTGTATAAAATCTATGATCCAGTAAGTGACTTGGTCCTAGTTTCTCCAATGTGCCATATTCAGATAGACAAATTTCATATCGGCAAGGGTTATTTTCACAATTTTTTCAATTCAAATCTGACTTGAAGAAAGATATTTTGATGATGACAACAGTTTTAAAAAGACATTAGAAGGAGTTCTAAAGAGAAACAGAAATCTGCCGATTCGTGCAGAATATCCCTTTCACAAGTTTTCTGTTTTGTATTGATCAACATACCATATCATCAGGTACCATGACCTGTACTTGACCTGTCCAGTCATATAGCTTTAGGAACAGTTTTGAATAGCGATCCACCCATCCACACAGTATGACAGACTGTCCGACATCAGCGGAGGTCAAACGCCCGCACAAGTGGGTTCTGTCTGTAAAACTTGTTGGTTGATTTGTGAATGTTTCCTTATTAATGAATGAATTATCACCAGATGAAGTGCTAAATGGCCTGGAGATGACTTTTGTTTCTTCAAAGCATGTACTGAATTCTGAGAATAAAAAAAATAGATTCTTATACATTAAAAATAACTGGTTGATTAAAACTCAGAAATATGAATACTCCACTTAACTACAAGTATCTCAGTAATAAAAACTCAGAAAACTTAAATTTGGAAAACATGAAAAATTCTGATAATTCAAAATTAAATTTAGGTCAAAGAAATAAAAAAAAAACCTACTTAAAAGTACATTTCAACCAGAAATTCTAAATTTTAGCCATAAATAATGCATTGCAAAAAGTAAATTTTTGACAAAATGTTACAATAGATGGTCAATCCCTTTCTCAGGACATCTGGCCCCACTTGTATGAAACATCTCAACTTGAGATTTCCTCAAGTCGAGATTTTCCTCAGCTAATATCTCCTTGAAAATATCTTGTATGAAAATTCCTTTAAGGAATTTCAGGACATCCTAGCCGATGACTTCCTCCTGAGAAAATTTTATACAAGCCGTTTTTGAGGAGATATCAGTTGAGGAAAATCACGACTTGAGGAAATCTCAAGTTGAGATGTTTTATACAAGTGGGGCCTGTTCTGTTATCTCTTCAATTTGTGAAAAGAAAGTCTGTCAAACTGTTCATATTAAGAATCAGACTTCATGATGTTGATTAACACTGTAAATGATATTTACAGAAAGTCCCTCATTTCACATCCAAAGCTCATAACAATGCCACTAAGAAATATAGTTCACATTGCTATATACAAACATTGAAATTCTTATAACTGGAATCCTCAGATAACTTAACTTTTTTTTCAAAACATTTGAATCAACAAAATATTATTGAACGTTGTACCTTATAATGTTAATATGAAACTTATGACAGCTTGCACGCGGGTCTTGTAACAACTAATTTGGTCGAGTGTTGGTCTCATGAGACCATCTGAGTTTGATGCTTCCTAAATATAACCACTTACATGGTCGTTTGTGTTCTCAGGAGAAATGAAGCAGTCTGTGCTAACATAGTTTGTGTCCCTTGACGAATCACCTAACCCTAATATTCTAAATGACAGACCTCCACATGGTCGTTTATGTTCTCAGGAGAAATGAAGCAGTCTGTGCTAACATGGTTTGTGTCCCTTGACGAATCACCTAACCCTAATGTTCTAAATGACAGACCTCCATGATGTTGTTCAGTAATGTAGCCACAAACTATTAGGCCTACAAGGAGACCCACCTGAAAATGATCTTGCCTGTTTACAGCGAGAAATTTGAGCAAAAACTTATATAAAAAAACGTGCATTTCTCACTAATTAGATATTTAAAGAATTTTCATTAGCAGTAAAACAATTGTAACAACAGATTTATCAGGTTGAAAAATTATAACTAGACTCGAACACAAAACATGGTTTTTGCCGTTTTAATCACAATACTTGTGAACAATTTCAATTACTGTTGTGTAAGCTTAGAAAAGACTGGTCATTTTCAGCTATATTAAAATCACATGCAATTGTTGCTAAATTATTAGCAGTTGGTCAAATGACACCTGTGTAATGGCAGATAAATTATTAGCAGTTGGTCAAATGACACCTGTGTAATGGCAGATATTAACGGAAGTGGGAACCCCATTAAAATATCAATTGACAATATTGTTGTGGTGTCATTTTGTATAATAATATTCAAAACTTTCATATGTACAAGAGATGAAGAAAGTCAGTCTTTGCATTGATCGGCCCCCAAAGTCATGGAAATGTGGACCAATATTTTGGTGTGTATAGTGTTTTGTACATTGTCGAACGTGGGATATAAATGAATCCCAAGGAGGAATCCCTAAAGGGATTAAACCAACATGTGTGGGCAAATAATGTGTAATAAGAACCGAAATACAGAAAGTGGTCGAGCACTCTGCCCGTTCGAGCGCTGTTCATGTTTGTCTATTGGTCGAGTCCAATTAGTTTGAAAAAGATTTATTTTTCATTTGAACTACATGCCTACTGATCTGACTTTGTTTCCTCGCCTTAACATATACTTTCGAAATTAGCATTAATATCTTCAAGTCAGTTTATATTTATACCAGAAAAATAACATTTAAAATGTTGACGAAAGCATATATGAAAGTTGCCAAGTACTAGTTGAAAGTTGAAAAAAGTCTTACGCCTTAAACAGGATGTCTCCTTATTCGATTGCGCATCATGCCATGCACCACAAATAGCTGAACTTTGTGAGTAATTTCGATTCCGCCTCGTAATCAATCTCAATAAATGTCGACAAAAATGAAAGGACGACATAGTCACATGTGAAAAATGTGTACACAGTCGCTATTTTTTTCCCTCGGTGTCGGCCATTGAAGTCGGTGTAGTTAACAAGCTTCAAATGCATGGATAAATATGTTAATGACAAATTCCGAGGTGCTCCGATCACTTTCATCTGTTCGGAATAGTTTATTTTGATCATGGTCATAAGAAGGTTTATAACTCATGTTATCACAGAAGATTCTTTAAAATGACATTCAGATGTACAAATTGCTGACGAAATATGATATGACATTGGTTTTGTCGGTAAGAGCGTCCATCAACATACTGAATGGCACAACAATGGCTATATTTATTTGGTGTGAAATCAAACGTTTACTGATTAACAAGTGGCGCTATTTCACTGATGTATATTTATGTAGAATATGAAAGGAACCCACCAATTTTCTATTACATTTTGATATGCTTTTTAAAAGTTGTAGTTATATGTGATGTGATCCATATCTGTTTAAAATCCCCATGGCTAGTTGGATCATCTCTCTAAGCTTGATTGTGCTCGGTTCAGTATAAGGTGGCTTATCTCGTTTTAAGTGAATTGAATTGTTGTATCCTTGACAGGAAATTCTGAAACTGTGCATTTTGAGCTTTACTTATATCAGTTTCAATAATTTGTGCAAACATGTATCAGGGAATAATTCCAGACCACCTGAACATATTTAAAGGGGGTTACGGTTAAGCCAGAGAGGTTACGGTCGAAAACAAGCAGACGTATTCAAATAATTCATGATATTGGCTCCCATATAGGGATTCAGGAATAATACTTTGCATTACTTTGACAACTATAACTGTCACATGCAGAAACTTGAGTTATTTCTTAGAGGAAGGAGTTTCTCTTGATCAGTTTAGCGACTAGTAAGCTAGAGGTCCTGGGTTTGAATCCTATGAAAGACATTGAAATATTGAATGACCTCTGTTACACTTTTTTCCATAAACTATATCTGTGCAACTCATGTTGGCTAAAGGGAAATTCCAACTAGCCCCAGGCTAGTAAGATTTATTACTTCAACTTCTATACTACTTGCTCCTTCACAAGTTTTCAAGTCTTTATCCCCAAAGATACCACAACCTAGATTTGATATCTCCAAGGAAACATCCCAACCACCTATTGCTTCTATCCTTGGATTGGTACACCACCAACCATGAAATAGGAAGGAGTAATGAAAAACGATGTCATGGTGGTTAGGGCTTAACTAGTGACCAGTTGATCTCACTACCAAAGATCTAGGCTAGTGATTAAGGTGATCAGTTCTCTTAAATTCTAAACTAGTACAACAAAATACAAAAAATAGCACATTCATCAAAAAAAAAACTTAAAGTGTACAGAAATCTTTACACTGACACCAGCTTGCATTTTGTAAAACATTTAATATTAGTAAAAAAAAACTCTTAACAGAGTAGTAGAGAACCCCATGAAGGAAGGTAAGTATATGTTTTGGCTAGCGAGGCAAGCAGTCATCGTTCTGATAATGGCTAGCCTAAGTAGGCGAAACATGTAAACTAATAATAAAACCATGGAAACCAGATGTTGATGCTCTATCTACTTTGTCATCTGTATTTAATATTAATGTTATCGTTAAAAGTAAAATCGTGTCACTTTTCTAAAACAAAATACTAAATAAAAATCTAGTATTCTGTAATTATATATGACAAGGGAGATAATTCAAATCAATCTCTGCCTGATCCCATGGTCTAACAAGGATCTTTTGAGACGCTTTAAGTTGAAATCAACCCATCATGTCATAGCAAATAAAGACATGAATATTTGTAGGATACCTTTTGCAGGTGAGTCTAGATATATAGTGGGCCCTCACAATTTGAATCCAGGACTCTAATATTGGACACCCAAAAATCACTGAATTAGAACTCTTCTTCTCTGGAGGTACAATACATATATATATATAGAAAAAACTTGATTTGACGAGATGCGAGTAAATTATAAATAAAAATGATTTTTGACAAAAGAAGAAAGACGTTACATTTTGCACTAGCGCTTTCACTATTAGATCTTCAGGTGCATAGTAACTGTACATAATGGTGTGGCGTCACAACATGTTATCTGTTGATGACGTCATAATATAAAAGGGGCATAATTATATTTTGCAAACTTTACAATGCGGTTAAACATTAATATTCAAGTCTGGTTTTAAAATGTTTATAATTTCTGACTCCTTGGCTTCTCTTTGTATTCGATTGGTTTCAGATGAAAAAGTATACAGGGGGAAGATTTGGAAAAAGCCGTCGTTGCATCCTGCTATGTGTCGGCTGATTGGTAGATGTCTATATCTTTCGTGGGATATTTGTTCGCGATATAATGTTACGCGTTTGCGGAGGTTTTCTGTTTGTCCTATATAGAAACTTCCACATTTTGGACAAAGGATTAAGTAAATCACGCTTTATATATATAATATATATATATATATGACATATACATTTACATTTTGAGTTGCATCTTCATAGTGCATGTACAATTTTGGAAAATGACGCAAAAAAGATGGATATGCACATGAGCTTTGTTTTAACCCTTTCACCCTTGTTTTAGCGAGTCATGACCAGTTATTTCACTCTTAGTGGTTGGCAATACTTTGTTCATGTATATGATACTGTGTATTTGTGTTTCAGATGCGAAATTGAAAATATTACGAAATGTCTACTGTAACATCAGGCTTACGATGTCAGCTTAACAGAATGCAACTTCACAAGTGGAGGTCGAGGTCACAGACTTTATTAGAAAACAGTGAAAAAATTGCTTCAAATTTACATATTCCAGCAATGAATGGCGCAGTATTTTTTAAAAGTGGAAATAATGGAGGTCACATGTACAGTTACCGTAAAAGGAGGACACTTATTCCTGGTGTTTGGCAAAATCACCCCTGGATTCTAGACAGTAGACTTCATAGATTTAAACACTGGAAAGATTTTAATTTTGAGAAAAGATTTTCATTTTCTTTAAAATCTCGTGGCCCATCGACTTTGTCAACACAACAGAAGATATACAACTTAGCATGTAAGTCACCAAATATGGAAAAAGGTCATCATGAGAAACTTCTAGGTTATTCATTCCAACAAAATGTTCATGGAATTCAAACATATCGTAGGGTTCCAGTAAGGTCAAGTTCTCTCATGCGTTCTGTACAGACTTGCAGGCAAAAGCTCTTCATTTGTCGCCACATTAGTACTTGCACTCAGGACCAGAAGAAGAAGGAGAGTGTGAAAGATATAGATGTGGTAAAAGAAATGGAGAAAAAAGGCGACAAGTCCCGGAAAACTATCAGGAAGAAAGTACAGCCAGTCATACGACAGGTAATTCAGAGGAAATGTGTTACTCAGAAAATATACACCATGACGTCATTAAATACAATTACTTTCTTGTCTCTTAAACTAGATGTGAAATGGCAGGAAGTCAGGAAAGATATTGTTACTCAGAAAAATATACACCATGACGTCATTAAATACAATTACTTTCTTGTCTCTTAAACTAGATGTGAAATGGCAGGAAGTCAGGAAAGATATTGTTACTCAGAAAAATATACATAAAATTGTATGACGTCATTAAATACAATTACTTTCTTGTCTCTTAAACTAGATGTGAAATGGCAGGAAGTCAGGAAAGATATTGTTACTCAGAAAAATATACATCATTGTATGACGTCATTAAATACAATTACTTTCTTGTCTCTTAAACTAGATGTGAAATGGCAGGAAGTCAGGAAAGATATTGTTACTCAGAAAAATATACATAAAATTGTATGACGTCATTAAATACAATTACTTTCTTGTCTCTTAAACTAGATGTGAAATGGCAGGAAGTCAGGAAAGATATTGTTACTCAGAAAATATACACCATTGTATGACGTCATTAAATACAATCACTTTCTTGTCTCTTAAACTAGATGTGAAATGGCAGAAAGTCAGGAAAGATATTGTTACTCAGAAAAATATACATAAAATTGTATGATGTCATTAAATACAATTACTTTCTTGTCTCTTAAACTAGAGTCAGGAAGGATATTGTTTTTGTTGAGGACTACGTCTATACCTTCAAACACATTCAATATTTATCCAATATTCATGAATAATGGATTGTATGAATTGTTTAGAAATTAATTTTCACCGAACACGTACTGAGTTTTAATGGCTTCATATTTCTGCACGATATAGGTATTAAAGGTAATCTACCAATTTTTGTTTCAAATTTTCTATCAGAAAGAGTCTGGAATGGAACAACCCTTTCCAATGTCCATCAGCAGGAAATGTTTTTATCTCTATTTGATTAAAAATTTTATGAAAAAGATTATTCAGATATTAGACCTTAAAATTCAGGTAAAAACCAGGTTACATCCAGGAATCAAAATTCTTTGAAATCAAGATTCAAGATGCTGTTTTGTGAACTAAATATACCTTGTATAAAAGATATTTTCAAACAAATTTCACAGGGTAAACCCAATGTTGCTAGGATGGGTAACTCTGTCTTTTCCCACAGACAGGTAAATGTACAGATTTTATTGGTGTGAGATTTTCTTGTCTCGCACTTTGGTTGAGACGGGGGGGGGGGGGGGGGGGGGGGGATTCCCCTGTCTGGACAACAGTGTATGACAATTCACTGACAACTTATCAACAATTGAATCATGTTAATGATGTGAAACGTTGGTACAACAAAAATAGAAACTAGTACTAACAGGGTTAGTGAAAAATAATCATTCATCCCTTTGTTGATTGGGTGATCTTAACCCATGGGAAAAAATGTTTACTTTGCAAACACTCTGTAATCCTCATGTTTGTAAACTTTATCTTCTTTTTTCTCAGGCTGAGATCTCCCTGTCTCACCTCCATGGGGTGAAAGATTCTATAAATTTCTCATGGGGTAGGGAGAGATAGGTGGCATGCACCTAATGCTACTCACAATAGTGTAGAATCATCATTTTCTGTGGTGTAATCATGTCGCAAGTTGATGACATCATCAATTTTGATGCACATTTGAGGGGACATTGATGATGTGATGAATATATATACACCTGTATGTTCAAGTATGTTTGAAAGATAGTTAAACATGGGTTTGTTCTGTGGACAAGCCTCGTGTAGACCAGCCAAACTCTTCACCACGGTTGAGACACCCCTGTTCACTAGATAGACCCATGTAAGATTCATGATTTTTTTTTGTGTCTATAGGTTCCTCGTCAAGTGACAGTGTATACTGTTGGAGATGAACTAAACTTTGAAAGCTTCACAAAACATCTGGCTGTAGAGCAACTTTATGATGTATCCCAAATGCCAGAAGGTGAGTACCTCTGGTATAATGCTTTAAATATCTAACTACATGATATACCATAAGGAAAGTATAGAATTATAAATGTCATTCTCCCAGACATCAGAAGGAGAGTATAAAATCATAAATGGCATTCTCCCAGACATCAGAAGGATAGTATAAAATTATAAATGGCATTCTTCCAGACATCAGAAGGAAAGTGTAAAATCATAAATGGCATTCTCCCAGACAGAAGGAGACTGTAAAATTATAAATTCGTAAATATTAGTGTCCCTTATACCAAAAGGCGAGTACAATTGTCAGTCTCCACATCCCAAAAAGAGACTATGAAGCTTTGTGTATTAATGTACCATAACTGGCATAAGGAGAGTGTAAAATTATTAATATGAGTCTTTTGAATACCAAAAGGAGATTATAGAATTATAAATATCAGCTTCCTTGATACCGAAAAGCAAGTACCATATAATTTTAGTCTCTTGGGTACCAAAAGGAAAGTATAATGTTGTAAATTCCAGTGCATGACAATATATTGGAATTTATAAGTGAATATATTATATTATATATACACATGGGATAAAGAAACTTAAGGTAAACTTTGAAGATGATTCTAGGCAAGACATTGAGTATAATGTTCAATAATTTTTAGTAAGAATGAAGATTAATCCATACAGAACAAACTGCAAAATCAACCATTTGTAACGAGTAAGTGATTTAGGAGTAATTGAAGGGAATGACAGAGAATTCTGTAATTTGAAATAAAAATGGACTGATTGTGGGAGCTGGCTAGTCAATACCGTATAGGTCCCCCATTCGTTCTCTCCACAGCCCTAATTCTCCGAAGCATGAAATTCATGTGTGAGTTTATCCTCCTTATTGGGATGTTGGCCCATTCTTAAAAGAGGGCTGCTATCAGTTAGGCAAGAGTAACAGGGGGAGGCTGGCATTATCGAACCTTTCTATCCAGCTGGTCCTATAAGTGCTCAATAGAGGATAGGTCAGGGCTGTATGACAGCCAGTCCAGTGGGAAGATATTTTTAGTGAGAATGTCACGGCAGGTCCTTGTTACATGGGGCTGAGCATTATCCTTCTGGAATGTTAGTGTGTTTTTTCTGCAATATTGGGACAACATGGGGTTGGAGGATCTCATCTCTATACCTAATGGCAATTAAATTACCCACAACCAAAACCAGTGGTGATTTAGCTCAATGTGTGGTCCTTCCCCACACCATAACTGATCCACCCCCAAGCTATCCATCTCTACTACGCAGCAGTTGGCAAAATGTTCTCCATGACGTCGGTATACACGACGTTGAACGTCTGCTCAGAACCACGTTCACTGCCTCAATAGGAATACTCTGGGGACATATGCTGCCAACCAAGCCATATGGCGCTGGCGACAAATAGTGGTAAGGGGCAGACCTAAAAATAGGTGCCTGCAGAGCAACTTCCCACAATTGTTTCCTTACACCTTTTGCATGGATAGGATGGTTATGAGTACCTGTGGTATAAAGGGCAGATTCAGTGACACTGTGGTGCCGAGTGCACAAATGTGTGAGATGAATATACCTGTCCTGACTTTGTGACGTCACACGTGGACACCCAGACCTGGGTCTGTCAGCAACTTGCCAAGTTTCCTTTAGACGTCGAACAAAATATGGACGCTGAAATGTCTGGCAACCTGTATTTGCATTTGACCCCTGACCTCCTCTGAATTCCCGTCAGCCTTGCCATTGTTTAATGTTGTCAGAATTTAATCAAAGTATCTGAAAATAATGTGTTTCTATGAAGACTACCTAATGGTATGACAAGCAGTATAACTTGCTGTCACAACACTGCTGTGCAGGAGATTTTACCGTTACGTGCTTTCCCCGTAAGACAACAACAGGCACTACAATAAAGAAACATTCAATACAGGACCACGTGCACTGTAGCCTAGACATTTGCATGACCAATTTTCATTGTTTTTGAACGTGTTCGCAAGATATTGCAAAGAATGTCACCCAGGGTTTCCTGATCCCTTTATGTATTGTTCAATTGATGAAAACCACAACATATCTTTGTTTTGTTGTTTACCCACAGACCTTCTGGATAAAGTCATTCATGTGACCTCGCGGTATCAACCAGAAAACTACCCCAAAAAGGACATTTTCTTTTTCAGGTAAGACCTTTATTGCTGTCTCCACTACATACATATTTTCTGTACATGCTTTTTCATTATTGAATTCTGAAGAAGAAAATTTTGACGCTGGCATCATATATCCTTTGTAAAGTGTTGGTTATTGTCTTATAATTGCCATTGAAAAGCGTTGGAAATATGAATTCTAGTACGGTAAAAGATTGGGATCGTGAATCACGTCCGATAACAAGTGAAAATATGCATTGAATTTCTTGCTGTCGGCATTCATGAGCTTATGAATGCCAACTGAACAAAGGTTAATTCCATGAAGCATGTTATGTGGCAGAATTATGAACTGAACCTTTGACACCTTCAAATATTGCATCAATTTGAAATATATATATGACGACTTTTATCAAATTCTGTTATATGTGGTATTAAAAACTCCTTTTTGTGATTTTGTCTCTCGATCTGTTTATCATTGTTATATCATCACTCAATGTACATGAAAATATTTTTGATATTTTATTTACATTTTTTTTTTATATTTATCTCATTGTCTTAAAATCTTGATAAGAAATCATACACCATTTTAATACAAGTCAACTTTCTTTTGGGTACAATTTCCTCAATCAAAACAAATTCACAAAAGTTAATGGCTGCAAATCAAGTCATTGATAATAAAATAACAATAAAAAAATGTAACAGTGTAATATGTCCTGTTTCATGAAAGTTCAGTTAATTTGAACTTTTTTTGCGATTTGAAATTTCACAGAAGTTTTGAATGTAGCTGTAACAGAAAATTGGTTGATATTGGTCTTATGATATTCCTAGATAGCCATCACATCAATCCCTTAACTCAAATTTGGAGTTTGATTACGGGATGGTCAGAAATGTTATGATGGTATTTTTTTACTGAAACTTTAATGGATGCAAATGGACATTTCCAGATGAAGGCTTATTGCTAGACATATATGATTGTTCTTTTGATGTGAGAAATAATGTACGATTTGGACTTGGATTTTTTTTATGTTTCAGTGAGGGATCAGTTGTGTTTTGGAATGTACATGAAGATGAGGTATGTGCAATACAAATGGCTACTTGTTTGATAAATATTTCATGAATGTGACTAAACATATATATATTTTTAATGAAAGATTTTCCACATACACATTGTAACAAACCATGACTACATGGTTCTCGAAGGTGCTGAATTTATATTTTGAATTGCAAACAAAAAAGAAAAAATCTAAAATGTGCAAGTTTTATTGCCTGCAATTAGTCAGAATTAAATTGCAGTTTTGATAAGGTTTTTCCATTTTTCCATTCATTCATAAATTTTAATCTTAACCTGTTGCTCTTGCTGTTTGAAATATATTTTTATACAGAACTGTGGAACTGATAATTGCCCATAGCCATGATTTAAAGATCTTACAACAAAATTTCCAAATTTATTCCAGAAAAAAATTTAAATTCAACAAATTTACTAGCTTCTTCAAGAGAAATTTCACCTTCTTAACTTTCTTCAACAGTGAGTTTAGGAATGTTTTCACGGTTTAGATAATCTTCTATCTTGACATCTATTAAATATAAATTTTCTTATAAAGATTTTCATAAAATAACTTAAGCCTTTCTAAAACAATTTCTTGATTTGCGATGGTAGATTCTTCATCTGTTTCAATTTTGGGAATTATCCGCGACGAAAAGTTTCTGTTTTCCAAGCCGAAAAGATATCTTGATGGTTTCTCCCCTTCCTCAATCCATTGAGCTCTTGACCTCACTAAGCTACCTTATATATTTAGGATTCTAAGCTCTTCTAATTCCTTTTTCTAAATTTCTATCTTGACTTTGTTTACGTTGTCTTTTTGTTTTAATTTTGAATGGTATTTTTCAGTTGTATAGTTCTTTTCCTTTGTCTATACGAATAGTGTAATATAGTCTTTATCTCTGATATTCATTAAAAGGACATCTTAAACTTGTTAGATATAAGAGATTGAAGGAAAAGGATTGATCTGATCTATAACCTGGCTATATCAATGTATTTTTTATACTAGATAATAAACTGTGTGAAACGAGGAAAAAATTCTAGCCTGGACTGTTTTAATGGATTTTTTACTTAAGGTGTATCTTCTATATACTATCTATATATATCCGCTAGATTTTCCTGGTAAGTCAATTTAAAAGTTTTCCTTGTGCATGTGGATTAAGAATGTTTTTGTATGTTTTATCATACTTAATGTCAGGGTTTAGAAAAGGTTAAAATCATCACATATTACTGTTTTCTCAAAGGATTAAATGGTTTCTTTCAGATTGTCAAAGGTCTGGGTTTTCTGAATTCAGTCCATCAACAGAAATAAGTGTGAAAGTGACCGATTCAGTCTCTATTTTAATAGCTAAGAAATTACTACCGGTAACTCTTTTTTTTCTGGCTCTAAATTCCAAATTGTTGTTAAATAAAACATTCACCCCTTTAGAGAGTTGGACTTGAACGAACTAAAGAAACATTCATAACCTCATTCATTTCTGATAATATTTTCCTGATTCTCAACAAAGTGTGTATCCTGTATACAGTAAATATTACATTTCTTGTCACAAAAAAAAAAAGGAGAAAATGTCTTTTCGCTTAAGCTGGTCACCTAATACATGGCAATTTGCCCACACAATAGAGATATCACCTGTTGCTGTACAGATATTTTGTAAGGAAAATCTCATGGAGGAGGAAGGAAAGAGTGAGGGGAGAGAATAAAACAATAGATATCTAACAAGATTTAACTGTGGAACTCGTTCACAACTGCTAACTTACACACCCTTTCTTTTTGCATCTTTTTGAATAATGTCTAAGCGGAAAGTAGCTATGAAACCTGAAAGTCATACAGGAAACTTAAACCCCAAAACCGGGTAATGGAATCCAAAAAGGCGAACGTGATGTGAAATGAAAATGGAGAAAAAGAATCCAGACCAAAAAAACATTGCAGTCAGGAGTAATAGTACAAGTAAAGAAACTATATTTCTTTGGTGTTTCTATTAACATAAGGAATTGGTTCATGAGGGATAATTTGTGAATTTTGCTTAAAAACTGTTTTCTCTAATATTCACCCTAATTTGGCCTGTAACATCATTGTGGGAAGACTTCCATTTCCCAATGAATGCTAGATTATTCAAGTTTATAAAAAAAAATTTTGTTTGATATTTTTTGAAGAACACCCACATTCTCTTTGTATTTTGGTCTGATGACAATTAAGCTCAAAGTCTTGATGTATTTTACAACACTAGTGAAGTAAAATTTGATATTTAATTAACTTTCATACAGGTAAGCTTTGATATTTAATAAACGTTGATATTACATTCTTGTATCTCAGTCAGAAAGTAACTTTTCTTGTTGAAAAAGATGATCTTCTTGAAGAAAAGTCTGGATGAAGGGATCACATGAAAAATGTTGATTGATGTCAATCATAATACATTTCACTTCTTCACTACATATTTGGTAGTGCAAAATGTAATGTTTGGATGTCACTTATATTGATCATAAATTCCATAGAGTAGTGCTTCTTATTGTATTTTTATATATCTTGTACAATGCAAATAGTATGAGAACTAAGGATGTGAAAAATTAACATTTAATCCACAAGTTGATAAGAAGAATTAATTTCCCAGAAACTTTTAACGTTTGTTTTTTCAGAGGTTGAAAATACTGAAGGACATGATGAAACATTGTGTGGAGTTAAATGACATGAAACTGATAATGGATGAGAGCGACAGTCTGGAGGTCCAGCCTACCAAGTGAGTACCACAGTAAATAGGGTGAGAGTTTGGTGACAGTCTGAAGGTCCAGCCTACCAAGTGAGTACCACAGTAAATAGGGTGAGACTTTGGCGACAGTCTGGAGGTCCAGCCTACCAAGTAAGTAACAAAGTAAATAGGGTGAGAATTTGGCGACAGCCTTGAGGTCCAGCCTACCAAGTGAGTACAACAGTAAATAGGGTAAGAGTTTGGCGACAGTCTGGAGGTCCAGCCTACCAAGTGACTACCACAGTAAATAGGGTGAGAGTTTGGCGACAGCCTGGAGTTCCAGCCTACCGAGTGAGTACCACAGTAAATAGGGTGAGAGTTTGGTGACAGTCTGAAGGTCCAGCCTACCAAGTGAGTACCACAGTAAATAGGGTGAGACTTTGGCGACAGTCTGGAGGTCCAGCCTACCAAGTAACAAAGTAAATAGGGTGAGAATTTGGCGACAGCCTTGAGGTCCAGCCTACCAAGTGAGTACAACAGTAAATAGGGTGAGAGTTTGGCGACAGTCTGGAGGTCCAGCCTACCAAGTGACTACCACAGTAAATAGGGTGAGAGTTTGGCGACAGCCTGGAGTTCCAGCCTACCGAGTGAGTACCACAGTAAATAGGGTGAGAGTTTGGTGACAGTCTGGAGGTCCAGCCTACCGAGTGAGTACCACAGTAAATAGGGTGAGAATTTGGCGACAGTCTGGAGGTCCAGCCTACCAAATGAGTACCACAGAAAATAGGGTGAGAATTTGGCGACAGTCTGGAGGTTCAGTCTACCTCGTGAATACCACAGTAAATAAGGTGAGAATTTGGGGACAGTCTGGAGGTCATCCCTACTAAGTGAATACCACAGCAAATAGAATAACAATTTGATTTTATAGGATGTTTACTGTATCCTGGGGTACACAGGCCTGCTAGTCCTTCCCTTTCGTATCACACCTTTCATACATACACCTTTTTGGTCTTCATACATGATCTACGCACCGCTTGAGAACAAAATCCATCGTTATCACCAAATGCTCTATTTCATAGATATCTGACTTCGAACGGACAAAAATGATCAAATTTAGTGGAAATTTTGTGAGGAGGAGAAAAAGCTTATTGCACCACCTCAAAAGCTGCAGAGTTATGCCCATTGAATACCAATATATTTATATCATTATTTGCGCAAAGGTTATGGTCATTCTTTTATGTTACTGTAAATTGATATATTTTCTAGGGGCTCAAATTTTGTGTCTTTCCGAAAATAAACATTTTTATTGATTTTTCATTTCTTGGTTAAATCTTGCTCATCAAATGCATTGATGCTATAGCTCATGTTAACTATTAATCTGTTAATCATTTCTTTGACATATAAAATTGTTGATTTGGAGTACCCACAAATTCAAAGAAAATAAATCTCACACAAAAATTAATGTTTTTACAGTATGTGTTTTTGATTCTACACAAAGATGTATTATTTTCTGCCTTCTTCAAGGAAAATTATTTTTTAAAGTCCATGTTTAGAGTGAAGGATTGATTGGAAAATGGATATGTTACAGATTGGAGACATTCCTTAATAATGACGTTATCAACATCAATGAAGATGAGGATGTGGCAGATTTAATCCTTGTCAAATACGCCTTCTCCAATGCTCTTTCACAATCAGGTATAAAATAACCAAAAAATATCATCTCAAATACAGAAAGAATTTTGGCAATTCCAAGAACATTTTTCATCAGGGAATATTTACATTTATGGTTTCATTCGCCTTTACAAAGATTGGAGAATGCAATCAATTTATTCCACTGTGGAATTAGTAGACTGCCCACTAGCCTATGCTATCATGCCAGATGAAAGGACCTGTTGACAGGATAACCGAAAATGAGAGATCTGTTTTTGGTTTGTCTTTTGCAAATTTTGTCATTACGGGAAAAGACAGATATTGATTTTAAGGGCTGAGTGAGAAAGTGTTGGTTTTTAGGTCGAGATGACCTATAGCCATCGTGCTTCGTCCGTCGTCGTGCGTCGTCCGTAAACTTTTCATTCAAAAAACTTCTTCTCAAATACAAGAAGGCCTAGGGGGCTAATACTTGGGCAATAGCATGCTGGCATGGAGCCCTACAAAGTTTGTTCAAATGAATGACCTTGACCCACTTTCAATGTCACAGGGGTCAAATATGTTAAAATATACAAACGACTTCTTCTCAATAAGCAAAAGTCCAAGAGTGCTGATATTGGGCCTGTAGGATGCTTGGAGGAGAGGCTACCAAGTTTGTTCAAATGAATGACCTCGACCTACTTTCAAGGTCACAGGGGTCAAATATGATGAAATATACAAACGACTTCTTCTCAATAAGCAAAAGTCCAAGAGTGCTGATACTGGGCCTGTAGGATGCTTGTTATTTATTTGGAATCTGCCCTGATCATCATGTTTGTATATATACACACAATCACACTAACAATATTGTCTGCAGAGCTGTTCTCTAACAACAGCAAGGATTTGCTGTAAGGGGCAATACAAATGGGAATTTTGTGGTTTAGTGACTGTGTCTGAACATAGCATGTTTATGTTTCCTAAAAACAAACAGAACACAAACTCAGCAAGGCTGATTAATGACCCATGACTTCTAGTATTACCAGATTAAAGTACATCCCTGAAAATTTTTTAAAGTCACCACATATGGAACTCTTTCTTCAGAGGTAATGAAAATTAGCTCAAAATTCTCCATTTGGTAAATACATAATTTCTGTGATTTGCTTTATCAAGTAGTGATTTTATTTTCCTTTTCAGTGAAGCTAAGCATATGGGAAACAGAACTACACAGACACAGTAAAAAATGTGAAGACATTTCTGAGGTGAGTTTCTTCTTGCTATCTTTGCCATGAATTATTTTCCTTTAACATATATACCATGGATTATTTCCCTTTATTACTATGATTGTTTGCTTGTAATGCAATGAGGGTTTGAGAGATTTGCTTTAATATCATGAGTGATTACCCTTTAGTACCTCGAGTGATTCCCTTTTAATACAATGAGTTATTCTCCTTTAATACCATGAGCAATTCCTCTTTAGTTCCTTGAGTGATTCCCCTTTAGTATCGCAAGTGATTCCCTTTTAATACAATTAGTAAATTCCTTTTAAAGACATGAGTTATTCCCCTTTAATACATCGAGTTATTCCCCTTTGATACCATGAGTGATTCCCTTAAAATTCATGAGTTGTTCCCCTTTATTGTCATGTGTGAATTCCATTTCATGTTATGAGTTATTCCCCTTTGATACCATGAGTAATTCCCTTAAAAACCATGAGTTGTTCCCCTTTAATGTCATGTACTAGTTCCATTTCTTGTTATGAGTTATTCCCCTTTAATACCTTGAGAGATTCTCCTTTAATGCCATGAGTTGTTCCCCTTTAATGCCATGAGTGAGTTCCCTTTCATGTTATGAGTTATTCCCCTTTCCTACCATGAGTGAGTTCCCTACAGTGCCTTGAGTGATTCCTGTTTAGTACCTGAAGTGATTCCCTTTTAATACATTGAGTTTTCCCCCTTTATTACCATGAGTGAGTTCCCTTTAATGTCATGAGTAATTCCCCTTTCATACCAGGACTGATTTATCTTTTATATAATGAATGATTCCACTTTAATGTGTTGAAATGTACTCCTTAGTTACACGCTGTCTTCTTGTGTCTGTAATATCTAGTGACAGTATTTGATACAAAGCCTCTACCTCCACCTTGTTGGTGCTTCATTTCTTTTAATTACATGTCTTACAATTTTCTAATTTCTACCAGAAAAATTACAAAGTTCAAAAATATCAAGATTTAGACCAGATGTTACTAATGACACCCCTAATACAATAAATGTATTATATAATATGATATAAATTACGATAGCCTTTCTTTAAACATAACTTTTAAATAAAAAATCTTTGCCCATAGTACTCTATGTATGATGTTCAGTACATACGGTGATTAATGCATTCCCATTAATACTTGGCTCACAACCCATTTATACTATGAATGGTCTCCTGTATTCTGCAACTTTTTGAGCATCTGGTTTGGTCAAAGTAATTTTGGATCAGGATGGTTTCTGGTAATTCGTTTGTATAAGGAGATTTACTTTTTACCCAAGAAACAAACTAGTCTATGTTGATGTGGTTGTGTCATGTCTTCCATTAACTTGTTGGTTTAAGCCAATTTGATATCCACATGTTGTCATACTACCATAGAAGTAATTCTGCTCCCCTGTCATTTTGGCTCTTATTATTGTGACAATTGTCTGACATCTACTGATGTACAGTGTAGAAGCAAAACTGCCTGTGCTTGACCTTGACAGCACCTTATTGTGTATGAGGGCAGTGCATCAAATCATATTCCCTGCCTGATGTTAATGGCACATTCTCAATAAAATGGTTTGTTTTTCAGCTTTAGTAACATTTACAACAGTAAAACAGAAACAAAAACATTGACGATTTTCTGGTTTAACTTCCAGGCATTAAGAAAAGGGAGTAATGTGCGTATGGACAAACAGAAGATTTTGAAAACATTGGGAGCAATTTTCACTATTCGGTGAGGTATATGTTTCACCAGTCCGCAGTCTGGTGATGAAAAAATATATGTTTAAGAAAACTTGGTTCCAAAACATAAAGGTTACATCACCAGCCATTTTTCACATCTTTTGAAGTTTTTTGGTGTAATGGTATGGATGGTGTACCATTCAAAAATAAGACATGGTAGATTATTTTAAATACTTATTTATGTAAGAAATTAGATACTTAAATTTTAGGGTAGGCTTATTTTTGAGGTTGGTTCATTTTTAAATTTACAGGATATTTTTCCCTGTGTAATGTGCATGTTGTTTATGTACAGTATTTTGAAGATGAGACATGAGAAGACTAAATTCAGTGAACAAGACACTATTGAATTATATACAGCAACAGGAGAGGTGTAAGCAGGACTATGTATAAAATTAGGTCAGAGTGCTTCAGCAGTTCACGTGTAGATAAGCAACTGTTCCACCCAAGGCTAAAATAATGTAGTTATCGTCTGTTTCCAACTCTCCTGTATTTGTATACACATACATAGGCCTGATGTCTCTAGGAACATCCTGTACTTATGAACAACTAATTATAGACAGTTTGTTTGATTTGTACCTATAGACAGTCCATGAATTTGGGTTCAGAGCTCCTGGATACCCCAGACTTTTACTGGGACAGAAATAAGCTGGAGAGCCTGTACAGACAGTGCTACAATCACCTCTGTGTCCCTCACAGGATCAAGGTAAATGTTTGTCCTAAGTAATGAGTTGTTTGGGTCCTTTGATTGTGATTATAATCCTTAGTACATGTATATTGTATGTCCGACTGAATTCTGTGAAATTTCAGAGACAGGAGATTGTTCTCCATACTTTGACCTTTTTTCAGTCTAGTACCGAGGCTTTTTTTCTTTTTTTTTTTTCTTTTTTGAAATATTATCACTTTTACAAACCAATGTAATGATCCAAATTTTGTGTAAAGAATTCTTCCAATTGCCATCTATCTCAGGACTCAATCTAGTAAAATATCTATCCTACTCCAGGACTCAATCTAGTAAAACATCTATCCCACACCGGGACTCAATCTAGTAAAACATCTATCCCTCTTCAGGACTCAATCTTGTGAAACATCTATCCCACACCGGGACTCAATCTAGTAAAACATCTATCCCACCCCAGGACTCAATCTAGTAAAACATCTATCCCTCCTCAGGACTCAATCTAGTAAAACATCTATCCCTCCTCAGGACTCAATCTAGTAAAACATCTATCCCACCCCAGGACTCAATCTAGTAAAACATCTATCCCACCCCAGGACTCAATCTGGTAAAACATCTATCCCACCTCAGGACTCAATCTGGTAAAACATCTATCCCTCTTCAGGACTCAATCTTGTGAAACATCTATCCTACTCCAGAACTCAATCTAGTAAGATATCTATCCCACCCCAGGACTCAATCCAGTAAAACATCTATCCCACCCCAGGACTCAATCTAGTAAAACATCTATCCCACCCCAGGACTCAATCTGGTAAAACATCTATCCCACCTCAGGACTCAATCTGGTAAAACATCTATCCCTCTTCAGGACTCAATCTTGTGAAACATCTATCCTACTCCAGAACTCAATCTAGTAAGATATCTATCCCACCCCAGGACTCAATCCAGTAAAACATCTATCCCACCCCAGGACTCAATCTAGTAAAACATCTATCCCTCCTCAGGACTCAATCTAGTAAAACATCTATCCCTCTTCAGGACTCAATCTTGTGAAACATCTATCCCTCTTCAGGACTCAATCTTGTGAAACATCTATCCTACTCCAGGACTCAATCTAGTAAGATATCTATCCCACCCCAGGACTCAATCCAGTAAAACATCTATCCCACACCAGGACTCAATCTAGTAAAACATCTATCCCACCCCAGGACTCAATCCAGTAAAACATCTATCCCATGCCAGGACTCAATCTAGTAAAACATCTATCCTACCCCAGGACTGAATCTAGTAAAACATCTATCCCACACCAGGACTCAATCTAGTAAAACATCTATCCTACCCCAGGACGCAATCTAGTAAAACATCTATCCCACCCGAGGACTCAATCCAGTAAAACATCTATCCCTCTTCAGGACTCAATCTTGTGAAACATCTATCCCACCTCAGGACTCAATCCAGTAAAACATCTATACCACCCCAGGACTCAATCCAGTAAAACATCTATCCCACCCCAGGACTCAATCTAGTAAAACATCTATCCCATGCCAGGACGCAATCTAGTAAAACCTTATCCCACCCGAGGACTCAATCCAGTAAAACATCTATCCCACCCGAGGACTCAATCCAGTAAAACATCTATCCCTCTTCAGGACTCAATCTTGTGAAACATCTATCCTACTTCAGGAATCAATCTTGTGAAACATCTATACCACCCCAGAACTCAATCTAGTAAAACATCTTTCCCTCTTCAGGACTCAATCTTGTGAAACATCTATCCTACCCCAGGACTCAATCCAGTAAAACATCTATCCCATGCCAGGACTCAATCTAGTAAAACATCTATCCTACCCCAGGACTCAATCTAGTAAAACATCTATCCCACACCAGGACTCAATCTAGTAAAACATCTATCCTACCCCAGGACTCAATCTAGTAAAACATCTATCCCTCTTCAGGACTCAATCTTGTGAAACATCTATCCCACACCGGGACGCAATCTAGTAAAACATCTATCCCACCCCAGGACTCAATCTAGTAAAACATCTATCCCTCCTCAGGACTCAATCTAGTAAAACATCTATCCCTCCTCAGGACTCAATCTAGTAAAACATCTATCCCACCCCAGGACTCAATCTAGTAAAACATCTATCCCACCCCAGGACTCAATCTGGTAAAACATCTATCCCACCTCAGGACTCAATCTGGTAAAACATCTATCCCTCTTCAGGACTCAATCTTGTGAAACATCTATCCTACTCCAGAACTCAATCTAGTAAGATATCTATCCCACCCCAGGACTCAATCCTGTAAAACATCTATCCCACCCCAGGACTCAATCTAGTAAAACATCTATCCCTCTTCAGGACTCAATCTTGTGAAACATCTATCCCTCTTCAGGACTCAATCTTGTGAAACATCTATCCTACTCCAGGACTCAATCTAGTAAGATATCTATCCCACCCCAGGACTCAATCCAGTAAAACATCTATCCCACACCAGGACTCAATCTAGTAAAACATCTATCCCACCCCAGGACTCAATCCAGTAAAACATCTATCCCATGCCAGGACTCAATCTAGTAAAACATCTATCCTACCCCAGGACTGAATCTAGTAAAACATCTATCCCACACCAGGACTCAATCTAGTAAAACATCTATCCTACCCCAGGACGCAATCTAGTAAAACATCTATCCCACCCGAGGACTCAATCCAGTAAAACATCTATCCCTCATCAGGACTCAATCTTGTGAAACATCTATCCCACCTCAGGACTCAATCCAGTAAAACATCTATACCACCCCAGGACTCAATCCAGTAAAACATCTATCCCACCCCAGGACTCAATCCAGTAAAACATCTATCCCACCCGAGGACTCAATCCAGTAAAACATCTATCCCTCTTCAGGACTCAATCTTGTGAAACATCTATCCTACTTCAGGACTCAATCTTGTGAAACATCTATACCACCCCAGAACTCAATCTAGTAAAACATCTTTCCCTCTTCAGGACTCAATCTTGTGAAACATCTATCCTACCCCAGGACTCAATCCAGTAAAACATCTATCCCATGCCAGGACTCAATCTAGTAAAACATCTATCCTACCCCAGGACTCAATCTAGTAAAACATCTATCCCACACCAGGACTCAATCTAGTAAAACATCTATCCTACCCCAGGACGCAATCTAGTAAAACATCTATCCCACCCGAGGACTCAATCCAGTAAAACATCTATCCCTCTTCAGGACTCAATCTTGTGAAACGTCTATCCCACCTCAGGACTCAATCCAGTAAAACATCTATACCACCCCAGGACTCAATCCAGTAAAACATCTATCCCACCCCAGGACTCAATCTAGTAAAACATCTATCCCATGCCAGGACGCAATCTAGTAAAACATCTATCCCACCCGAGGACTCAATCCAGTAAAACATCTATCCCACCCGAGGACTCAATCCAGTAAAACATCTATCCCTCTTCAGGACTCAATCTTGTGAAACATCTATCCTACTTCAGGACTCAATCTTGTGAAACATCTATACCACCCCAGAACTCAATCTAGTAAAACATCTTTCCCTCTTCAGGACTCAATCTTGTGAAACATCTATCCTACCCCAGGACGCAATCTAGTAAAACATCTATCCCACACCAGGACTCAATCTAGTAAAACATCTATCCTACCCCAGGACGCAATCTAGTAAAACATCTATCCCACCCGAGGACTCAATCCAGTAAAACATCTATCCCTCTTCAGGACTCAATCTTGTGAAACATCTATCCCACCTCAGGACTCAATCCAGTAAAACATCTATACCACCCCAGGACTCAATCCAGTAAAACATCTATCCCACACCAGGACTCAATCTAGTAAAACATCTATCCCATGCCAGGACGCAATCTAGTAAAACATCTATCCCACCCAAGGACTCAATCCAGTAAAACATCTATCCCACCCGAGGACACAGTCCAGTAAAACATCTATCCCTCTTCAGGACTCAATCTTGTGAAACATCTATCCTACTTCAGGACTCAATCTTGTGAAACATCTATACCACCCCAGAACTCAATCTAGTAAAACATCTTTCCCTCTTCAGGACTCAATCTTGTGAAACATCTATCCCTCTTCAGGACTCAATCTTGTGAAACATCTATCCTACTCCAGGACTCAATCTAGTAAGATATCTATCCTACTCCAGGACTCAATCTAGTAAAACATCTATCCCACCCCAGAACTCAATCCAGTAAAACATCTATCCTACTCCAGGACTCAATCCAGTAAAACATCTATCCCACCTGAGGACTGAATTTTTGTTGATGGGTACCACCCATAAAGTTCCATTGATAATTTCCTTTGAATCATTAGACAGGAAGCATGGTTATATTTTAACAAGTCATAGGGTCATGTACTGGAAATGCTGTAAGCATGATTGTGTAAATTCAGTGGCACAAGTAAATCTGAAATGACGCCATTGAATGCTTCAGGTGATGAATGAGAAGATGAGCTACTGTATAGAACTGCTAGAGCTTATCAAGGATTTGGAGAGCGACAAACGACACATTCGACTTGAGTGGATCATCATTTTTCTTATCGCATTCGAGGTAAGATGACAGCTCCAAATTTTCTTTTGCCTAACTTCATAAATGTTATCATAGACAAAGAAACATATCAAGCTTTTCAATGTTTAATGTCCAACTTTGTGCACCATTGCCTCGGTGGGAATTGTTTTGTAGTTTGACTGATCCTCCTTCTGCCAAATATTGTCTCAAGTGTAGATCGAAGGTGTTTAGAGAACAAATAAGTCATGTTGAGATAGAGATTTTGGTTCAACAATTTTTTGGTTCAACAATTTTGTGTTACCTGTCTTTTAGTGCTCAGGCAGAGTGTTGACCAATGTAGTCTAAAGCGTAGATCGGAAGTGTTGTGGTTCAATGCTCCCCTACCAATAGTGGTTTGCATTTCAAAGGAAGCTAAGATACAGATTCAGTGTGTGTTGTTGTGGTTGTGTCCCTAGGCAAGACATTTTGCCCTATTTACACAAGGTGGAATGTGATGGCGCTCCGGTATATCATTCAGTATGGTAGCCACCAGCTATTTACAAGGAGACCCTGCTTCAAAATTCCCTAGGTGTCAACAGGGTGATGAACCCAGCTAACAAACAAAGGGCATGTTTCTTTTTCTTGGGTTCAAGTCATATTACAAGGCAACCATATGGTGCATTTCAACTCAATGATGGACTAAGCTGGTTCTAGTTCTGTATATGTAGTGAATAGTGCTAATCACTTGCTTGTGTTTTGTGTACAAATTCCTTAACAAAATGTTATGTTCAGTTAATGCAATCCATGATATTGAAAGCTTTTTTTCTTTTACTTCAGGTTGTTCTGGAGTTGTGGAAAGGGATGAAATAATCCAAAGAAAATCAATATAAAACAAACAAATTGCAGTGTTTTTCTTGTTTATTCATAAACATAAACATATTATGACATCACAATCAATTTCTGACTGGCACATCCAATGAAAAGTGTTCTGAAATATATTACATTAGTGACAAATTTGAAAAAAATATAACAAGATGGGTGTATTCACTGGATAACAGGCCGGTTAAGTGATAAAGCGTTATGTATAGCAAATGTCACATAAAGTTTAATTTTTGGACTGCACATCGTTATTTGCTTTCGTTAACATCTTTTCTTCTATGTTGAAACTTAGGATTTCATTCATCATCTAATCTGTCATTTTCAATGACATACCTTGGAGTTACGTTCCATTATAAGATTACATCTATAAAAACACAATGAAAAACACAACTTTGTGGAAACTTACACCATCAGGAACCCGTAAAAAGAATGCTTATTAAGTTCCAACCATGACCAATCAGCCAAAATTACCAATTTGTCCAAGCAATGTTACATAAAGAAGGATGGTGTTTAGTGTCGGCTTTGAAATAAAAGAAATGTGAAGATATCTGCTAAAACTGTTGTCACATTAATGTAACGAGGGAACTGTTTTCTAACACATGATAAATGTTATACCTTTAAAGCGGAATTCTTCGTCTCTCATTTGAACTTCAATAAGCTTTTAAGATATTTTGTGAACATACTCTGCACTGGAATTTACTCCAGGGAACAAGATGACGCACGCAAGGTCGTGAACTCCAAATATGTGGGTACCATCTTAAGAATCCCAATACACGTAAGAATGAAATCCAGCGTTCAAGGTTATGAACCCCAGTTCACATGCAATTTCACTCAAAAGCACACGCTTTTGAAGCAGAGTGCACACGCACTACTGAACTGCACATTGTGAACAATAGAGCACAAGCATGTGAACCGGAGTACACACATATGGGCAAACTCCGGAACGAAAGCCTATGAACGCGAATAAACATGTCATTGAACTTCAAAGTACAAACTCACGAAACCTGGAAATAGGCTTCTGAACAGCAATTCACATGCTAGTGAACTTCATAGCACGAGCTTATGTATACAGACCCTAATTAGCATTTCAGTGTGATAAACAACTGTGTGATGTAATTATCAAACTTATCGCTTACTTTCATATAATCGAGCGAGAATCGCCCGCTTTAGTTTTCTTGTCAAACAAGGAGACGGGTAGACAGACGGAAGAACAAACAGCAAACATTGTGATTCTGGTATAACGTTTCATACTTCGTATTGCAGAAACTATACTCAACGTTGGGATCATTGTGTCACAAAATGCCTATCAGTCTAATGACGCATTGTCCAGTTGTCCGTTTTAGTTTGATCCCAAAATGCATGTCTTGTGGTTAATAAGCAATCAGGAGTGATTTGTTCAAACAAAACCTCTCCCGATTTCTGTGTGTCACAATAAGCAATCAGGAGTGATTTAATCAAACAAAACCTCTCCCGATTCCTGTCTATTCAAATGACATGTGTTCTGATGATTGTATGAATCCTTATTAAGTTTGATCTTCCCTTTATTATAGGAATCTAAATAAGGTAACATCCGATAGAAACTTTTTCCAGATTCCACGAAATCACTCCCCACCACTCCCCTTTCCACGTTGAGAAGTAAAAATAGCAAAAAGTGTATGTTTGTTATGTGGTTATGTTCAACGCCAACAGGCTTTTAACGTTCAAGTGCAGTTAAAGACACTTTCATCCGGTTTCAAGTATACAATTCCTGATTTTATTGGTTCGCAATGGACGGAAGGAGACTAAGCAAATATTTGATAGTATGAATTTCCTTGTTTGTGACCGTAATACACGAGTCAACGAGGTCTTATTACATACATCCTTCTACTCCATTGTCAGGTTGGTATTTACTAGCACGGGTTTCCAGCAAGTCACGTGACTGTAACGTGAGACCATTGCACTTGGTTGTTAATCTTGCCAGCGCACCCTATTATCGATACTTGTTACACCAATTTGTCATATAAGATGAAATGTGCCAGCATTCTTATAATTGTTGTTCTATATGTCTAATGTTTTAGTGTAAATATGCTGTTGTTATGCCAACTATGGCGATATATCGTCATGAAAGAAAGCACGGAACTTTCCAGTCTCCAATCCAACTCAATTCCAATGATATTTTGTTTGGAATATTTTAGGATAATAGGGTGTGCTGGGCCGATTTGTGGAGCAAGTCGTAATGTACATCTAACAATATTGGAATTCTTCAGTATTAATTTAACTTTAACTTTATTAATTTTACAACAAGCGTTTTCTCCTTTTTTTCACTCCTGTCGCTCGGGTGAAGCGCGCGAGGGTTCTCAATGTGGAAGGAAATTGGAGTTCCCTAGGAAACTCACGTGGCCAGGCAGATGACTCTATACCTTTCACATCAATTACGGGATTCGAACCCTGGACGTTTAAGTTTCCGCTCTCGCCATCCGATATTATAAAATATCAAAATCATTAAAGACATGAAAAATATTAATAATAATTGAAACGCATTCCCATGTAACCGAGACAAGTGATTATATCATCGGTTTATGGATTAAGCCGATACAAAAGAGTGTGGTTGAACACTTATGTCTCATCTTTTCGGAAATAAATAGGAAATAACGTTTGAAGGATGATTTTGAACTGTAAACGTAATTGTTAGCTATCCTTAATTCCTTACCAACAGAATCACTTTGACAACTACTAATATACAGTACTCTCTGTTGAATTGAGAAGTGCCATCTACAAAAGTAACATTTCTATCACACTTATTAGGGATGAGTGTACATTGGTTTGTCACGCGATATGCTGGTTGATTGTTGGGATGTGATTTCTAACATTATGTTTGTATTAGTTTATGTCTTATTTATCTTCCTAGACACTTTTGGCATACTTTCTGGAACTAACTTCGCTATTCTTTTGGCTGCCGTGCTTTTTGTTTTATTTTGTACGAGACTTAATTTACCGAGGAGCTTACCAAAAACAGGCCACAAAGACCTTGTAAAGTCGTGTTATTTCAGTTTCAAATATACTGAACACGCGTTGTCTTGAAAAAACAAGAAATTTATTGACGTCAATCGTGTATGCCCACCAGGATTGGTAATCAAAGACAAGACAGACTCTTCTACAGCAGCTGCTTATCTCGATCTTTTCCCACAACGCTACCAATATGGACAGCTTTCTGCCAATCTGTATGATGAACTTTACATTCCTGACTTGGGTGGACCAAGGTAAACGTGGCGGGTGTCGTCGACAATATAAAAATATTGTAAACAATATATAATAAAACTTTTTAACTGACATCCTGGTAACAGATACAACATCTGACATTTCATTTCTGAATTTTCCGGAAATGGTAAAACATATCCATTAGAACATTGTTACCCAGGGAAGCATTATAATAAAATTGTGTTAAATCATAATATACATTATTCAAAATACATGGGAAAGTTGGATATTTCGTTTGTTCATATTTTACTCTAGTTTTATGGAATATGAATTTGAATTATTATTAACTTTTTTCGTCAATCTCTCTTCAACATAAGGATGCATTCACTTTCAGCTATTTTTAATGCTATATTTGGATGACACAAAATAGTCCGTTATACCTTAGATTTCTACACGTTGTGAGATTCCTAAGTTTTATTTCAAATTTTCTTTCATATCCACGTTTGAAACAAGAATATTCTAACAGTTTTTATTTTAATCAATAATCATGCATTGTACTATTTTTAGGATTAGGGTGTAGTCTTTATTATCTGGGTGTATATTTATAATCAAAATTGTTACTTAAAGAGTTCATTATAGTGTATAGACAAAACATGACATGCCATCACTAGCTGTATTCGCTATATTCTACTACTAGGATATCTAAAGTGGGAAATAGTAATGACAAGATTCTTGGATTACGAAAATTGATACAATGTGTCGGAAATAATCAAATTGGTCAATCTCTGTCTTAAAATACACTAACAGAATAAAATATAAGAAAATATTATAAACTCTGTGTTGAAAATGGACAAATAGGCTTACTTTACGATGAATTCCATGACAGAAAAAAAAATCACAAAAAAATGATATAAGATAAAAAAAAAAATCATCTACTTGCATCAAATTCGCATGATGGACATTCTTTTTATAAAATATTCTGTTTCTCTTGTACCGTTTTGACCAGAGGTATGTGATCACCGATGTCACTGTGTTCACAAAAAACATATATTACCTACATAAGAGATATTCTGGATACGAGGGGAGAGAACTTAACTCATGATGCCCATCGTAAATGTTCCTCATTTCATACAAACTGAACGGCATTTAAAATATCCCCAACAACGCCTTGGAGTAATTTAATTGCTGACGATAAAAACACAATATTTGCGAATTATTGTATAATATGACTACTAGCGCTTATATATTTTTTCTTTAATAGTGTACAGAAAAGGTATTTAAAAATAATTGAATTGAAAGCTACATTACAAATGCATTGAAGGTTAATAGCCTTATTTCCTAGTCTACATGATACCTTTTATGACTTTTGGTATACGTCTGTTTACATTAGCTATACTTTATACATGTATTCACGAGTGACATTTTTCAAAAGTGAGACTTAAATAACATTGGGGCAAATGGGAATGTGACGTGATTTATAGTATCACTTATAGTATATAATTTATATCTTATATTTTTTTCCCCTTTGAAATGCATTCTAACATTTCAAATAATGTAATCCATTTTATCCTCTGTATACTTTCTTTACACCTATAAAAATGTATCTTCAACGGGAAACCTTCACTGTTGATGTTATTCTGAAGAACTTTATAGAAAAAGCGGCATTTATGTCCCTCTTTCTTTTAATTATTGTCGTAATTACTATTTTACAGTTTAACAGAATGTTTATTTTTTACAACTTTAAAAAAACGTGTGTAGTTTAATGGTGATTTAGTTATCAATTTAGTCCCGCTAAACCGCTTAATATAGAATGAACTGTGACGTTTCGCACGGAAGTATATTAATGACTGATGTAGGGAAAATTTCACTCTTGACTCTGGTAACAGTGATAACTACTGCCAAACCTAACTTGACGGATATTCAATATTTGACTAAATCAAAGGTAAACTGTTTAGGGAATATCCGCCTATTCTTTTTCAACCTCGTTAACGAACGCATGATCATTTTATTTCTGTTATATTTATCTTTGATTTATTAGACATGATAAATTAACGGTGAAATATGTCATTATATGTATATTGAATTTATCAACCAATATTAAGTGTTTAAGAAATGGTACTGATGAAAATACAGATTTGAATATATGGTTATCATTGTTATGAAATTGACATTTTAAAACGAACTTCGAGTTTTTAATTATATAATCTGTACATTTTTCTTCTGTGATCTGAAACAATTCAATCATCAATTTCAACAATCAAGAAAAGAAACATTTTCCTAGAACAAAGAATGATATTCGAATGCAATGTATTTGACTTTTAAAGAATTTGCTGAACAATAACATATATTTTCTTTTTGGAAAGACCACGAATAGTTTGGTTATGTGATTTTCATGTATGCCAATATACCATGAATAATAGAGAAACTAGCCGATGTGTTGTTACAAGTGTAATGCAGAATATAGCATGCAAGATGGTATGTTGGTCTAATTTTACTAATATTATGTAAATTATTTGAATTATTTAAAATACATTGATCTATATATAAGCAACGAAAATTTAATTACGAATCTGAACTGACGAAGATAGTTTGACTTTTCATTTCTTAATATTGTAGGTTTAATACAGTTTCTCTGTATTTTGTTTTTATTGGATATGTAAAATATTGTTAATCCGCTACAAAACAGATATACAATCTGGTTTATAAACTGCTTTTTACATTTGATTTAATTTTGTTATTATTTCAGAGAGACTAGTTCACAAATGCTGGAAGTATGGAACTTAGAGAGAAAAAGAGATTTTCGAGAATTTTATCTAATTATCTTGATTCTATGGAAGCCGTAGGATCAGAGGAAACAGTTAATGTCAGGCGATTGGTTCGGTATTTGGAGGAAAGGGATGCATCGAATAAATTGGAATTATTCACTAGCATTCATACCGGCTCTAAAGGAGGAGAGGGATTAAATTTTAGCAGTTCTGATGATGACTCAATGGCCACGTACAAAAATGTTGTTGTCATTCAATCTAATGATGACATTGGAAATATTGATGGCAATAAAACAGTTCTTGTCATGGATACCATGGATTGCAGACCTGGTTATACTTTATTAAGACTTCAACAAAAAGGTAGGATCTGGTACAGCAGAGAAATCTTGAATGCAATGACAGAATTCAAGAGGTCCACGTATCTGTCAAGTGTTGCTTTCTTGAGTAATTATTTAGACATAGTCGGTGGTCGTCAACATGGACCGTGCTCCACCAGTTTATGTAAAAATAGTCTTGGAAAACACGAAACAGATAAAGCAATTTCTTTCCGTTGTCAGTCTTGGCCTGACGATCTAAGTGACTTTAGGTATCGTACAATACAAGGTGGGTGGCCATCAAGACAGGTGGTTAACTCTATAGTTCAAAATGGTTGCCACTTTGTCGCAATTGGCGACAAACATTCGAGTCTCTCTGCATTACAGTGGCGGATTTCTTTCACTAAAGCTGAAACAGCTCTCGTGGTTTCATTTAATCATGTACAATTAAAAACGTATGCTTTGCTGAAAATCTTTCTTAAAGAGTGCATTGATCGTGATCCATTCATACAGGATTTGCTTTGTTCTTACTTCATGAAGACAATTGTGTTCCATGCGATAGAACATTCCAGACCTTCTATGTGGGTGGAAGGAAATCTTATCCAGTGTTTTTGGCATTGCTTTACCATACTTATGGAGTGTATACAAACCGGATATCTACCTAACTACTTCATTCTCTCTCACAACATGTTTCTTTCTAACGTTACTGGAGACAATAGGGAAAGATTACTACATGTAATGACTGGATACCAGTGTATGGGATGGACTTGTCTGCTTCAATGTCCGAGTCTTCAGTGTTTGACTGAAGCAGTAAATGAAAGCAACTCTGTATATCATTTATGTAATCATCGTGTGTCGGTGATGAATGAAATTTGGCAGGACTCAACTATACTTCCTACGCTTGATATGATAACAAGTGATACTCTTACCATGAAAATAGTACATAATGTGTTCTTGAAATGTTCTGATGACATCCTGTGTGATACAGCGTTACTTTATTTTACCAAATCAATGACAAACTTTTCTATGCAGGCAATTGTAGACTTGACAAATCGTGACGATAACACTAACAAAGTTGTCTATAACCAGATCAGACGACACAAACGATTACTTCATGCGTCATCAGCCACATTCGCCTGTGAAGGACATATATCTCTAGCTACATTTTACTACAATGTTGGTTGTTACAACAAAGCCTCTGAAGTTGCAATGGACGTCGTAATTGCTTGTCAACAAACGGCATTAGCACAGAAACATGGTATGATCGAGGAGCACATTCCTGAAAGATATGGTAGAGGATACACACTTTTACAGAGAGCGAAACGTTTCCACGTATTGGATTACGTAATTGATAGAGAGTATAACAGACTTTACCCATCAGAATTATATTTAGAAGTTCAAACAACTGAGGACAGAATTTCCCTCCCACCATTGCCTTATGCGATCTTCCTTCTTGTATTGTGTACCTACAGACTCGGTAACAATGACCAGTCGCGGATAATCCTCGATGATCTCCTGGCTGTACGGAGCAATTTAATCTACGGAGTATGCAATTACCCTATATTACACAATGTAATTGGGATATGCTACCAACTGCTCGGGGACGTAAGACATGCCATCCAGGCATTTGAGGAATCAATCAAACGATTGGCAGACAATTCAGCGGCGCATATTAGGATAAACTACCTACGATCGAACTGTATGCACAAACAAAATAAAACAGCCTCGTCTTCTTTGGATTACTGCAACATTCCATGTCGATATCCTTGTATTGACGAAGAGGACGAAGATAATGATGAAGTGCTCTTCTATCATAAAGCTATGTACAATTTTGATCCAGCAAGTTTTGTTGATATGTCTTGGTTTAAAACTGTGGACGAGGTCTTTTAGTATCATCGTACGAACAGCGACACATACAGTTGGAACCAAACTACGACAAACAAATGAACAATGCATTGGCTGCAATGAATATTTTGATCCAGTGATCTGAATGTTCTGTACAAATCACACATAATGAAGTTCGAGACGGTATTCTAGGAGCATGCTTATCCATGTTTTGTCCGATTTTTGTTGCCAAGAAAACTATTCCGGGCAATTCATTCTTGAAAACCTGATAAATCTCCACACAGTAACTTGCTTTTAAAGCTTAATCTTTATCTTTGTATTACACTTGAATGTGAACAGGTGATATTGGTTTGCGATCTGTGTTCCCCATAATTTTGTAGGTCGAAATCAAGTTTGAATTCATAAACACCTCTCAATGATTCGGTGGATCTCAGTAAGGTGCAATCTCACAGAAGCCTCCCCATAATTCTATTGGTTTAAATCACGTGTGATCTCATAAACACCTCTCCATGATTATTTATTCCGTATTTCTTTGGATTTCAAATGGAATGATCTAACAAACATTTCCACAGATTCTCAATAAGGAATGATCAAATACAAACCTCTCCAGATTCCTCAAATATTTAAGGTTCAACGATTCTAAGAAAGTTGATTTTGAATAAATTGGCATCATGCCATATTCTCCCAATTAATCCAGCGTACTGTCCTGTTCATTGTTGCGTTTGATATTTAACAATTCTGCATGTCAAATCCTACATTATAATGAGCCTTCGTTCTTTTTTTTTTTTTTTTTTTGTATATGCACGCTGAAAACAGGTCATTGTTTATCACCAGTCGATGTAATTGAAACATTAAACAGTGGTTTAAACCTATTTCTCTTTGTTGATATATGTGTTTTGGAATTATAAGGTGACACATTAAAAAGACAATTGTTGTAAATCACCAGTCTGTAACATTACAAACATTGACCTAATTGAATACAGATATTCCGAACCTGTATAAAGTAGAGAACAAAAATTGATCTGTGGTTATGTTAAGCGCTTTTAAGGCTAGATTATGTTAGTTTTCCGGTTTTCAATTGTTCCCGAACACGATTGTGGTTTTCAAGTGCTCTCGCTTATTGTTGATAAGAGGGAGGGCTGATGAGTTCTGACCAATATCCCTGTTTGTGACAGTTATACATAGATATCAGTCCACAAAGTCTAGTTAAGTATATCACTCTGCTGTTATTTTAGTAGTTATAGATAACAAATATGTTGTCAATTCAATAAGTAGAATAAAAAAAAACACTAAAGATTGGCAATAATGTAGCAGAATATTATTTTACTATTCCCCTGTACAGAGACGAGTGATACGAAGCATGTAAAACAGATAAGCTTAGTTTGACCTGACCATAGACGAATTTAATCAATTATACCAACTTAACACTATCTGTCTTAAATATCATGGTATATTAACTGCAATTAGAAAATATTTATCGAAGATCAATCATGATTATCTTTCAGTTGAACATCTTCTGGAACCTGTCAATATTGAACTATTTATTACGTAAAAAATAAAGGGTCAAAAGATTTGTATAACATTCTTATCAAAAATGATTCTATTCCTGCCAGTAGGACGAAATGGGAAAAGTAAGCTCAGGTCCACTATCTGAAATGGAAAAATACAAAATGGTGTTTTCAATTTAGATGAGTCCATCATATCTTAACCACAAATTCTTTAATATTCAAATTGGGATTACCAGCGACCCCTCTGTGTCCCCTTTGTAATGAAGAGCAAGAGCCAATAATTTATATCATCTGGGAATGTTGAGAAGTGCAGAATTTATGCTAAACCTAAAAACACTGTTAGATGTATTAGTTACTCCATTTTCCTTCAACACAGAAACATTTCTGTTTTCATTTGGGTTCTTGATACAAAACCATAATCAGACAAGTAACAGAACTGACACTGCAATTGTACTTATTGTCGAACACTATGTTTACAAAACTAGATGTCTACACAAAAGGCTTATTATAAACAAACTAGTAAACAACATAAGGACTATTTACTGTAGAAAAATATATGGTGTACAGTCAAGATGGTTCGGAAAAATAAAACTTTTAAATGAATGGAGGAAATGGAAGAAATGTATAGATCTTACAGACTAGGGTATATAGTTAACACTTATTAATTATGTTTCTGCAACTCCTCGTCTTATTTTGATAAAAAAAATCCCCTAGACCTAAAAGTAAGAAACCCAGAGTGTTTTTTTCCTTTCATTCTCCCCGCTTTATCTCTCTGTATCTTCTCTCTCCATCTTTCTATTCACCTCTCTCTCTCTCTCTCTCTCTCTCTCTCTCTCTCTCTCTCTCTCTCTCTCTCTCTCTCTCTCTCTCTCTCTCTCTCTGTGTGTGTGGGCTCTCTGTGTGTGTCTCTCTCTCTCTCTCTCTCTCTATCTAGTTATCTTTAATGATCTCTCTCTCTCTCTCTCTCTCTCTCTCTCTCTCTCTCTCTCTCTCTACGTGTGTGTGTCATAATCAATTGTGTGTCGATGATAATGATAATGTTGTCTGATAAAAAAGCAGATGGAATGATCACATGATGGTTTTGATTAATATTTGAAATATATACTAAACAAAAAAAGAAAGGTAACACTATATGTATGTGATGATGATGATGATGATGATGATGATGATGATGATAATGACGATGTGGTCACATGATACAAGTTTGATATGTTATCCTGGAGAAATATACTGGTCACCTGATACCAATGTAACACCTGTATTCACGTTTACCATATCTGACTTCTGCAGGGGGATATATCTGTCTTCTACAGGGGGATATAGCTGACTTCTACACTTCTACAGGGGGATATAGCTGACTTCTACACTTCTACAGGGAGATATAGCTGACTTCTACAGCGAGATATAGCTGACTTATACAGGGAGATATAGCTGACTTCTACACTTCTACAGGGAGATATAGCTGACTTATACAGGGAGATATAGCTGACTTACACAGGGAGATATAGCTGACTTCTACAGGGAGATATATCTGACTTATACAGGGAGACATATCTGACTTATACAGCAATATATATAGCTGACTTCTACAGGAGGATATAACTGACTCTTACAGGGAGATATAGCTGACTTATACAGGGAGATATAGCTAACTTCTACAAAGAGATATAGCTGATGTCTACAGGGAGATACAGCTGACTTATACGGTGAGACATATCTAATGTATACGGTTAGATATATCTGACTAAAACAGCGAGATATAGCTGACTTCTAAAGGGTGTAGCTGACTTCTAGAATGAGATATAGCTGACTTCTACAGGATATAGCTGACTTCTACAGGGAGATATTGCTGACTTATACAGAGATATATAGCTGACTTCTACAGCGAGATATAGCTGATTTCTACAGGGAGATATTGCTGACTTATACAGAGATATATAGCTGACTTCTACAGCGAGATATAGATGACTTCTACAGGGAGATACAGCTGCCTTACATGGTGAACAAATATGACTTCTTCGGTGAGACATATCTTACTTATACAGCGAGATATATTTGACTTCTACAGGAGGATATAGTTGACTTCTACAGGAGGATATAGTTGACTTCTACAGGAGGATATAGTTGACTTCTACAGGAGGATATAGTTGACTTCTACAGGGGGATATAACTTTCTGATATGGTGAGACATATCTGACATATACAGTGAGGTATAGATGACTTCTTCAGGGAGACACCGCTGTCTTATATGATGAACAAATATGACTTCTACGGTGAGACATATCTGACTTATACAGCAAGATATATCTGTCTTCTACAGTGAGATATAGATGACATATACAGCGCGATAGAGCTGTCTGATACGGTGAGACATATCTGACTTCTACAGCGAGATATATTTGACTTCTACAGGAGGATATAGTTGACTTCTACAGGATGATATAGCTGACTTCTACAGGGTGATATAACTTTCTGATATGGTGAGACATATCTGACTTATACAGTGAGGTATAGATGACTTCTTCAGGGAGACACCGCTGTCTTATATGATGAACAAATATGACTTCTACGGTGAGATATATCTTAACTTCTACAGGGAGATACATCTGACTTCTACAGGGAGACAAATCTGACTTCTACAGGGAGATACATCTGACTTCTACAGGGAGACATATCTGACTTCTACAGGGAGATATAGCTGACTTCTATAGAGAGATATAGCTGACTTCTACAGGGAGACATCTTACTTCTACAGGGAGATATAACCCACTTCTACAGAGAGATATAGCTGACTTCTACAGGGAGATATAGATATCTCCTACGGGGGGTATAGCTGTCTTCTACATGGAGACATAGCTGACTTCTATAGGGAGATATATCTGACTTCTACAGGGAGATATAGCTGACTTCTACAGGAAGACATATCTGACTTCTACAGGGAGATATAGCTGACTTCTACAGGGAGATATAGCCGACTTCTATAGTGAGATATAGCTGACTTCTATAGAGAGATATAGCTGACTTCTACAGGGAGATATATCTGACTTCTACAGGGAGATATAGCTGACTTCTACAGGAAGACATATCTGACTTCTACAGGGAGATATATCTGACTTCTACAGAGAGACATATCTGACTTCTACAGGAAGACATATCTGACTTCTACAGGAAGACATATCAGACTTCTACAGGGAGACATATCTGACTTCTACAGGGAGATACATCTGACTTCTACAGGGAGATATAGCCGACTTCTATAGTGAGATATAGCTGACTTCTATAGAGAGATATAGCTGACTTCTACAGGGAGATATCTTACTTCTACATGGAGATATAGCTGACTTCTATAGGGAGATATATCTGACTTCTACAGGGAGATATAACTGACTTCTACAGGGAGATACATCTGACTTCTACAGGGAGACATATCTGACTTCTACAGGGAAATACATCTGACTTCTACAGGGAGATATAACTGATTTTTACAGAGAGATATAGCCGACTTCTACAGGGAGACATATCTTACTTCTACAGGGAGATATATCTGATTTCTACAGCGAGATATAGCTGTCTTCTACAGGGAGATATAGCTGACTTCTATAGGGAGATATATCTGACTTCTACAGGGAGATATAACTGACTTCTACAGGGAGATATATCTGACTTCTACAGAGAGACATATCTGACTTCTACAGGAAGACATATCTGACTTCTACAGGGAGATATAGCTGACTTCTACAGGGAGATACATCTGACTTCTACAGGGAGATATAACTGACTTCTACAGGGAGATACATCTGACTTCTACAGGGAGACATATCTGACTTCTACAGGGAGATACATCTGACTTCTACAGGAAGACATATCTGACTGCTACAGGGAGATATAGCTGACTTCTACAGGGAGATATAGCTGACTTCTATAGGGAGATATAGATATCTCCTACAAGGGATATAGCTGTCTTCTACATGGAGATATAGCTGACTTCTATAGGAAGATATATCTGACTTCTACAGTAAATTAAACTAAGAGGATTCCCCATAGTGATTCTACTATCAATTTAGACTGTAAATACACTACTTGGAAGAACAAACATTCAATATCAATTCCTCCGGAATCGAGAGACTGATCGGTCTGTGCCAACACACTATAACCTAATTGCTCATGGTGAATCATGCAAACTGTAACAAATAAACAAACAAAATGACCTTAATTTCTCTTTCATGATGACACGAGGATGTTGGACCATTTGCTGGACAAGGACTTCAATATAGGGCTGAAATAGATTGAACATGGTCTGTTAATTTCTTTCATGCTCATTGGGTTTCAACATAAAAGATAATTCATTGCACTTACCCGATTACCCGAAAAATACCATATGTTTTTGATTAAGTCAAAGGAACTTCAATGGAGGGGAAACAGATTGGATCAGTCTTCGGCAATTCAGTGATAAGCTTTTATTTCATCAAGGAGACACTCTAAGGTTAACTTTGTATAGTGTGCTATTCAAATCAGAATTGATGTGGGCTGAAAGAGACTTTGTAGGACAACGTGGGGATTTACAGAAAAAGAAGTTTGTATCTGATGTTCTTATCATCTAGATATTTGACTGAAACTTTTAGGTTTAGTGTTTTCTATGTAAGAATGATTTTTTTAAAACTTGTCAAAAACTGATAATTTAAAAGTAGGTCAGTAATATAATTGAGGATTTTTTTTTTTCGTCCTATCAAATAGATATAATTTTACCGGAGAAGTTTCAATAACCAACCATATCTTCTTATAACCACTATGAAGGGATAATTGTGAGAAAGATACACAATTGAATATTAAAGCAACTGCCATCTTGAACTTCAACCGGAGTGCATTGCTCACTTTACTGACATTTCGTGTCATTGAAAATTGTTGAATGAAAAGAAATTATATAAAAAATTTCACTTCTTTCACCCCTGAAACTTTGAATATTGCCCATGACAATATTCACAAAGGCCGTCATCCAAGTGTAATGATTCTATAATTTACGGTTACAGAATGAGTCATTTGATTGTGAGGTCACATTTTGACCCATGTGACCTTGAATATGGCATAAAGTCATTTCTTTTCAAAACTTTGTTCTGCCCTTTACCAGGAACCTACCATCCAAATATCATGATCCTAAGGCTTTTGATTTTTTCTAAGAAGTTGTTTTAATGTTTTGACAAATTTGACCCTGTGACCTCGAAGCCGGTGAGCTAAAAATAACCCTGCACTCACTTGTGGGTCTTCCCTGAACACCAACTCTGCCTTGGACAACATGTTTACACTTGAGGGTGATATCAAGGATCACATGCCTTAAGCATCATGTTAGCCAGCTAAATAATTTATGCCCTCAGGTTGATGATGAAGTATCTCGCCCAAAACAGGAGAAAAAAATCTAATTTTCAAACCACAGGGACAATTATCAGATCCCTCTCACAGTGAGAAATCGCATTGCTCAAAGGTGTTTCAATTAAGATAAACTTAAGAGAAATTTTATAATGTGTTCAGTTTGAGTTATTTCATCTGAATTCTCTCTTATCAAATCTATGCTTAGTTTTATAGATATATTTTATATACAAGACGCTCACTTCAGACAAATATTTAACGATGAAATTTGACTTAGCAGAGTATTTTTATTTCCATCCAAATGTAAAAGGTACAAAACATTTCAACCTAAAACATTTCATTCAAGAAATCATTTTCTTTTCAAACTGCCTCTCCCATTCAAAGAATATTCAGCTGTTCATGTACATATGTAATTGTAAAACTTAACCAGCATTCAAATGATTGACTCAAAAAATATCTATGTTATCATTAATAACTGCCTTTACTTTAATCTTGATGTAATACAATTACACAAGAAAGATAAAAAAAAGAAAACCATATTTTCAAAATGGCCAACACGGCAGACATCTTGAATGTAGCACTAGTCTGAATTTCAAAGAAGGACTATCTGTGCACCATACACAACTCATTTATAGTGATAAAAGTTGAATCTTCGAAAAAAGTAACAGTAACATGTTAAAGAGGGCTGCCATCTTGAATGCACCTATAGAACAAGGAAGCATGCCCTACTCAATAGCAGACTTCATGTCTGTGTATTAACATCCATTTAGAAGTGTGCATGCCACATTACAACAAGGTTTTCTATATAGCTAGGTACCTGTCCTGTATATACCAGGTATATAAAAGAACCATGGAAATTCAGAAAGCTAAATAATAACATTAAAAAAAGAGCCCTATGGTGCCTAAACAGTCACCTGGGTGAGTTCACGAACAGAAAAAATTGGAATAAATGTGTAGCATAGAGTACAGAAAATAAGAATATTGCTATTTGTACACAGACAGAAAAGTTTAACTTTAAAACGCTTCTGTCTATGAAGAGTTAAATCCACTTCCAATAAAAAACATACAAATCATACTCAAAAAAGTAAATTACCTAGTCTGGGTCAATGTGAGCATATTATCAAACTGTCATCCTGTTCTAACACTGTGCGATATATTTCCAATGAAATAAAATAAACAAATTATGTGCAAAAATGTTATTTTCCTATATATGCTAAAGTATAGTTTAACCCTCCCCATTGGGAAATAAATATGAAATTTCGGTAAAGCACCTAAAGGCCTTTCCATCCATAAAGAGTATTTGATTCAGTCATAATAGGTTATTGAGAAAACTTTTTGAAGTTTCTAACAAATTGACCCTCAGGACCCTTTGAGGGGAAGAGTGATGGGGCGGGGCATGGAATTTTTTTTTACAAAACATCAATGAATTTTGTTAAGTGGATTAACAGAAGAAGTCAGAAATATTAAAAGTTTACGATCCACTATGCCCAACACCAGACAAAAGGTGATCGCAATAGGTAACCACAAATCTCAGGTGACATAAAGATGAATTGGGAAATAAAAAAAGGTAAAAAGTCATAAATAACAGAAACTGGAAAACCCTCTTACAATAGTTGAACTATCCAATATTCCACAAGTAAGATTTTTTAGGTTACTTTGAAATCAACAAAGTGACAAGTACTTGTGATTAAATGTCTTTTATTCTTCAAATGTCTAAATATGAACAAGACTGTGCAATAACCAAGTAAAATTCATGGGCAAACCATACAGTTCATGAAAATTTTATTGTAAGGGAACTTTGCTAAGTCTAACTGAATTTGAAAATTCTCTTTAAAGTTAAAGGAATATTCTGCACAAGTTGGCAAATTTCTGGTTGTTTTACACTTTTTAAAACCCTTTCTTGTGATTTTTAAAACTATTGTCAATATGGAACATCTTTCCTATGGTCAGTTTAGACAGGTGAAGAAATACCCCATCTAAAGGGTCATGCCTTGTCCATTGTCACATAACCTCTATCGTAATTCAGCTTCACCAAGTTAGTGATGTAACACACATGAATAGATTGTACCCTGATGACAGAAGGCAGGCCGAAACATGTTGACAATTTTTGGAAACCTGGCCTCAGGAGCTGGGATTGTTACTTAAACCATGATTTTCATCTATTTTTAAAGAGCGCTTTGCATACTGTACAGTATCCTCCTGGAACTTTGAAGACAAACTTCTGCTAAAATATACAAATTGGGCGTTGGCCCCTTAGGGGTTTTCCCTACTTAAATTCATAAAACTAGGGAATCCGGAACTCGGACACTGAATGAATTTTAGATTCTATATGAAGTATTAGTGTAAATACACAGGAATGTATGCTGTTCACTAATAACAAATCTCTGCTTGGATCAAAATTCTATTGCTTCCTTTGGCTTATTTCATGTCAATTTTAAAATATACAAAAATATTTCATGCTAATAAAAAGCAAACTTTTTTGTGGCAAAAATCATGTTATAAGTCAAAATAGCTAGCTCTATGTAACCATGGTAAAATACTAACAAACACTTGACTGAGCAAATTTCTCTTTAGCTCAATTGGTTGATCATTAAGCTAGTAAGCCAGAGGTCCCAGGTTCGAATTCTCACAAAAGCATTAAAATGAAAATTGACCTCTGTTACATCAACATAGAATTTCCACAAATTAAATATAGTATGTTTATCCACATGGTGAATTGAGGTGAGCAATTTCTATAAGCTCATAAATTAGATTCTTGTTTATATAAAAAACATCTAATGAAATGCTTATTTGTGCTGAATATCCCTTTAAACAGGAGGAGGAAAGCTGCCCCAAAATGCCCATAACCTGTTCTTTCAGTCCTTTTTACTCTTGTGTATTGAAAAAAAGTAGTCCCCTGATAAGACCAGTGATGCACACACATGTACTTTGTTTCAACCTATTGTTAATTCTTATTAGAAATTCATCGGAACCTCAAAGATTTAAACCAGAACAAATCCGCTTTCCAAAACATCATAATTTAATAATTAGGACTGTTTGAAATAAAGAAAAGTTACCTCCAAATTTTCAATACTAGTGTATTTGACTTAAACTGTCTAATTAAGTTTGTCAATTGTGCAACTGTGCAAAATAAATAAATCCTGAACCCATATTCATGAAACTGTACTTATGCTCAAATGCACATTTTGTGCTCAGACAGGTTTGATGATAAATCTGATTTTTAGTAATATTAGTGATGTTTATTTTTTTTTATATTTTTGGTGATTACTCTCACATGTATAAACTAATATCTTCATTTCTTTCTGAACTCAATATCCCCACTAAGATAATTAGAGAATATTTATCAATGAACTTTCCAGTTTGCATAAAAATTATGTCATCCTAAAAGTTTGGGTTATCTCCCCTTGCTCCATGAACTATTTGTATAAAGTATAGCAGGACCAATTTCAATGTTTAACAACTGATCCTTCCATTCTTTAGACCAATAGGAGAAATGAAGTGAACTTTACATGCATCTCACCACTAAGTTGTTTTTTCATTGGAATTCTTGTTACTATCTGTTACTCTGATGAGCATGGGACCTCTTTTTTTTTATTTATTTTGTAAAAATGATGGTATTTATTCAAAACATATACCTTTTCAGGAATAATTTTGTGTTTCAGAATTGATCAAAATAAAAAAAGTATGAAGTAGAAGTGGGAAGATACACATGCATGTTATGACAAGTTCCTTGATAGACCTGCACAAGTCCCATTTTGCAAAGAACTTGCAAGAAAAAATTCAAAATCACACTTAATATAAAAATAGGGATTGGATAATGTTATGTTGATGTTAATGAGGTATACTCCTCAAAATAGTGTTGAGGCAAATTTTCTATGAACCTCAACATGTCATTAAATCAATTCTTAAACATTTTTTCAATGACTTGAAGAAATTTCTGAAAGACCTCAAGTGAGATATTATTTTCAGTTTTGGTTTCTCTTTAAAATTACCATTTTATTGGTTTAAATATCATCAGGTTGAGCACAGATTTCAAATTTAAGCATGAGAATGGTTTCATGAAAACAGGCATGGATGGTATTGATGATTTCTAAAATACATTTGTACTGACCATTTATTGTGAATGTAAACATTAACACTTCTCTTTCAGACTTCAAGTCTTGTAAGGTCTCCTCTAACTGAACAATAACATTCCATGAACATTCCCTTACTCTATCTTCTCTTATTAATCATTCAATGTATGCATCTATATACAAAAGCTTTTGAACATTTCTAACTACAAACACACATCAAATGTCTCAATCTTTGGCTGACGAAATGTTTCCTGGGAGAAACAATCACTTTCTAGGCCGTCTGTCTTCCTTTCCTAGGTTAGTCAAACTTGTGGGTTGCTCAAGCTTTCTACCTTCAACCCTCTCCTTTCTTTTAGCTTTGACCACCTCCAAAGAACACACTTTAGCCAATACAACTGCTATTTCTGCTTCTAGCTGGTCTGCAAATGGTTCATTAATGTTACACAAACAACTCTGCACAGATCAAAACTGGCTTGTGATTGGTTGATTACACTTACCAATCATCAGATTCTTTTCAAGTCTTGACCAATCGTATCAGTCTCATTGTAATTTTGTGATTGGCACACCACCAATTTCTGAGATTGGTCACCAACTTATGAGATTGTAAAGGTGACCAATCAAGACACTTTTTAAACAATACAAACCAGTTGATTGGTCAGTTTCTGTGTCATAACTGCATGTTGTCATCCAAATCATCAAATACCTCTGTATCCATGGTAACCGATTCTTCTTCACTACGAAAAAGAAATGTTTTACATATGAATAAAAGCATGTACAGGTTAAGTATTTTATTTCTAAAGTATGTAAAAGTTTATCATTTTATCTAAAACACAAAACAAAAAACAAAAAAAACAGTCATTGTTTAAAAGTATAGAATAGTTTTAATTTTTGTTTCTCCACAAATATTGTGATATTTGCTCTAGACAATCTTTTCCTCAATTTGAAATGTACAATGATTTGAGAGTCATATTATTTGTTGTTTTTTTTTCAATTCTAATGGATCTGGGAGGGGCCAAAAATGGCAGAAACCACTCATAGTCCTTAATCAAGATAGTGAAGTAGTACACAATCTGTAAATTTCTCCATTGAAAGAGGTGAATAAAGCAATCAGTAAACTGAAAGTTTCACAAGTCTCAAGTTTCCCATAATCAGTAAACTTCTCATTGTCAAAGAATACTACTTTGAAACTAGGCACATTAGTAGCAAGAATCTGATGAAGGAACAAGTGACCCATAGGGGTCTGTATCGCTCACCTGGATCTTAAAGCCTAGCAGTGTTATACAAGCCTATAAGTTATGTATTTCAAATATTTCCAAATTAAAGCTCAAACACTTGGCCTCTTTGATGGGGCAAGACCAATGGATAAATTCTGATATGATGACTTTCTCTCTTTTGATTCCAAGTAAGAGACCCATTGTTTAAACAAAATTGATTCCTCTTCACCTAAACATGATTTACACCAAATTTGGACAAAATCCGATCATTTCTACTGAAGGAGAAGAATTTTAAAAAATTTGCTCTGTTTCCCTATTGGGCTGAGATCTGTTTATTTAAAAATTGATTTCCCTTTGCCCAAAGATACTTCTAACAAAATTTGGGTAAAATCTGATCATTCTTACAAGAGGAGTTTTTAAAGGATTTGCTCCGTTTTCCTTCTTGGGTTCCACCTCTTCCAACAGGGCTGAGATCCAACATTTATACATATTTGATTTTCGTCTGCCTGAAGATGCTTCTGACCAAATTTGGACAAAATTCAGCTTATCCCTACTAAAGGAGTAGGATTTAAAATAATTTGCTTCGTTTTCCTATTGGGTCCCAACCCTTCCATCCTAATGGGCTGAGATCCATCATTTATTGACAAATTGATTTTCAATTCCCCAAATGATGCTTCTGACCAATTTAGGCAAAATCCAATCATTCCTACAGAAGGAGTAGGATTTTAAAGAAATTGTTAGATTTTCCCTATTGGGCCATGCCCATCTGGACCCTGGGGGCAGAGACCCACTATTTATACAAAATTGATTTCCTTTCACCAAAGTGTACTTCAGACCAATTTTGGACAATATCCTGCAGTTCCTGAAGAACAAGATAGATGTTAAAGAAATCAATTGGTTTTCATTATTGGGCCCTGCTCCTCTGGCCCGGAGGAGGCCAGACCCACCACTTACAACAAGAGGCCCATGGGCCTTAACGGTCATCTGACAAAAAGCAAGCCAAACCTAGAAAGTGGGTTGAGGTCATTCATTTGAACAAACTTGGTAGCCTCTCCTCCAAGCATCTTACAGGCCCAATATCAGCACTCATGGACTTTTGATTGTTGAGAAGAAGTCGTTTGTATATTTTAACATATTTGACCCCTGTGACCTTGAAAGTGGGTTGAGGTCATTCATTTGAATAAACTTGGTAGCCTTTCCTCCCAGCATGCTACAGACCCAATATCGGCACTCATAGACTTTTGCTTATTGAGATGAAGTCCTTTGTATATTTTAACATATTTGACCCCTGTGACCTTGAAAGTGGGCCAAGGTCATTCATTTGAACAAACTTTGTAGGGCTCCATGCCAGCATGCTATGGGCCAAGTATTAGCCCCCTAGGCCTTCTAGTATTTGAGAAGAAGTTATTTAAAGATTTTGACATATTTGACCCCTGCGACCTTGAAAGTTGTTCAAGGTCATTCATTTAAATAAACTTGGTAGCCTTTCCTCCCAGCATGCTACAGACCCAATATCGGCACTCATAGACTTTTGCTTATTGAGATGAAGTCCTTTGTATATTTTAACATATTTGACCCCTGTGACCTTGAAAGTGGGCCAAGGTCATTCATTTGAACAAACTTTGTAGGGCTCCATGCCAGCATGCTATGGGCCAAGTATTAGCCCCCTAGGCCTTCTAGTATTTGAGAAGAAGTTATTTAAAGATTTTGACATATTTGACCCCTGTGACCTTGAAAGTTGTTCAAGGTCATTCATTTAAACAAACTTGATAGCCCTTCATCCCAGCATGCCACAGGCACAATATCAGCAATCTGAGCCTTTTGGTTATTGAGAAGAAGTTGTTTAAAGATTTTAACATATTTGACCCCTGTGACCTTTAAAGTGGGTCAAGGTCATTCATTTGAACAAACTTGGTAGTCCTTCATCCCAGCATGTCACAGGCCCAATATCTACACTCTGAGCCTTTTGGTTAATGAGAAGAAGTTGTTTAAAGATTTTAACATATTTGACCCCTGTGACCTTGAAAGTGGGTCGAGGTCATTCATTTGAACAAACTTGGTAGAGCTCCATGCCAGTATCCTCTGTGCCAAGTATTAGCCCCCTAGACCTTCTAGTATTTGAGAAGAAGTTGTTTGAATGAAAAGTTTACGGACGGCGCACGGCGGACGACGACGGACGAAGCATGATGACTATAGGTCATCGGACCCTTCGGGTCAGATGACCTAAAAAATTGGTTCAGCTTTGCCGAAGGATGTTTCAGAACAAATTTGAATAAAATCTACTGAATCATTCATGAATAGTTGCAATATATAGAAGAGTGAAAGTTGACAGACAACGGACGACGGACACCAGATGCCGTACAGATGACGGTTGATGGACCCCGCCAGTAAACACTCACCTTTGTGTGCTAAATGCTTTTGGAACAGAGGGATTGGCATTTGACTCATGATTTGACCTCATTAGGTTTGAGTCATCATTCCTGTTTTGATTTTTCCAACATAATTTCATTTGGTTCTGGTCTTCTAACTTTGGAGCTAAACCTTTGGCGAAATCTCCTGGTGGCTTCCACAGAACCACTTCCATACTTCGTCGATTCCTACATAAAAATTGCCAAACTATTAATATGCTTTATCAAATAGGCACTGATACCTCATTAGGATGTACAAACAACTACAGTCTGATCCACACACACATATATATAAATATATAACTTGGATATAATAAAAACCTATTTTGTATGAACACCTACACAGTCTAATTTCAAGGTCCTGTGAAATTTGTGGATTTTTTTTGGCATATAATGAATTGGCTATGATGAAATCATTACAAGAAAATGTTTTGATCTCTGCAGTAAACTTTTCAGTTTATTTTACCTGGATATTATGTCAACACCTGAAATGAATTGAATGAATTACTTTATTATTATCTATGCATACATGTAAAATGTAAAGTTCAATCATGTACAATATACGACAATAAATAAGCTGATCTAACTCTGTTGTTATCTATCATGTAAGACAACTTTCAGCTGATCAACATACCCTGTTTACTATTAACAGGATTTCATTCTATCTAGGTAGGACTCTTGTACATTGACATGCTCCTATCATCTTTTTTTTTTTTGATTGATATTTTTCTTTTTTTTCTTTTTTTGGGATAGGTCCTTTTTTACGTAATGCAAAGACGAACATTGGACAACTTAAAAACAATTTATTGATATACAAGGTAAATTTTGGGATTTCTTTATATACAGTATCTACTAATTCCTATTAGATACTACTATTTAAATAGGAAACTATACAGTTCTGAACTTTTACTTAATACAAAGAAAAAAATTGATATAAAATCTGTGAGTATACATTAATGCCGTTATCTTATCATATTAAGCCTTACTAATATCCCATTAACTTCCATTATGATAGCTGCTAAAAGATACAATGAAAAATACAACCCTAACCTTTAAATTATTGATGTAAAAGGATGTGTAGTAAAAAAGTAAGTCCAACACAGCAAGTTCTTCTTTAAATCTGTATTATGTCAGAGCGTTGTTAGACTTACTCCTTTACTACACATACTTTTACATCAATAATTTAAATGGACAGACAGACCAAGAGCCATAGGCAGACAGACCAAGGACCATAGACAGACCAAGAGCCATAGACAGACAGACCAAGGGCCATAGACAGACAATGGACCATAGACAGACAGACCAAGGACCATAGACAGACAGACAATGGACCATGGACAGACAGACCAAGGACCATAGACAGACAGACCAAGGGCCATAGACAGACAGACAATGGACCAAAGACAGACAGACCAAGGGCCATAGACAGACAGACAATGGACCATAGACAGACCAAGGGCCATAGACAGACAAACCAAGGGTCATAGACAGACCAAGGACCATAGACAGACAGACCAAGGGCCATAGACAGACAGACAATGGACCATAGACAGACAGACCAAGGGCCATAGACAGACAGACCAAGGACCATAGACAGACAGACCAAGGGCCATAGACAGACAGACCAAGGGCCGTAGAAAGACAGACAATGGACCATAGACAGACAGACCAAGGACCATACACAGACAGACAATTGACCATAGACAGACAGACCAAGGACCATAGACAGACAGACCAAGGGCCATAGACAGACAGACCAAGGACCATAGACAGACAGACCAAGGGCCATAGACAGACAGACCAAGGACCATAGACAGACAGACAATGGACCATAGGACCATAGACAGACAGACCAAGGGCCATACACAGACAGACAATGGACCATAGACAGACAGACCAAGGACCATAGACAGACAATGGACCATAGACAGACAGACCAAGGACCATAGACAGACAGACCAAGGGCCATAGACAGACAATGGACCATAGACAGAGAGACCAAGGACCATAGACAGACAATGGACCATAGACAGACAGACCAAGGACCACAGACAGACAGACAGACCAAGGGCCATAGACAGACATACCAAGGACCATACACAGACAGACAATGGACCATACACAGACAGACCAAGGGCCATAGACAGACAGACAATGGACCATACACAGACAGACCAAGGGCCATAGACAGACATACCAAGGACCATACACAGACAGACAATGGACCATACACAGACAGACCAAGGACCATACACAGACAGACCAAGGGCCATAGACAGACAGACAGACCAAGGGCCATAGATGGGTGACAATTTCTAATGATGTTGCTATTCAGTTTCTGACTGATGAAGGGGAGAATGTGACTTTTGCATGCAAATTCAGCATAGTTTCAACATATGATTATGTATGACAGCATTGAAGAGACTGTTCAGCAAATGTGATCCAGTCAGTAAATGCCAAGTTTGGACTTGATTCAACTGTGAGCTAAAAAAAATAGTGTTATGTCTCATTAATTTTCTTTGTTTTAACATTCTTAATTGAAAAATTTGGCTTACGTGATCTCTTCGAGAAGTTTCTGTGGCAACAGGGAGGTTGGTTTGAGAATGCCTTGTGAGAAACTATCTAGCATCTCCAGTTTAGGTCCTTTTGATGGCTCCTGCTCAGAATCATCATCATCCGAGTCATCAAGTACAAGTCTGTAACAAAGTCAAACTCATATCTTATTAACTAAAAACTTCAGAATGAAATTTAATCAGTTTGCTAGAAGTCTACAATTGTATATCACTGTTGCTTATCTAGTTTAGAGGCAGATCATTCTTATCTTAAGTTTTTGTTTTTTCATCCTTCCATAAATAATCATGAAGTCAATAAATAGGAGATTTCATATGTAAATGAACACTCTTTGTAACTTATAAGAGTCTACATATTTTTTTGTCATATCGAAGTGAACTGGCAAAATAAACAAAGGTTTTGCTTTTTTTAAACTTGCAAGGAACATGAGAAATGTAAAATGAAAAATAATGTGACCTATTTATCAGATATCAGATTAATGTACCTGGGTTTTAAAGTTTTTTTTAATTTTTCTGAACAAATAAATAATACCATTCCAAACAGAAACTGTCTTAATGTTAAGTGTTTACATAAATAAAGTTAACAACACCAATTCTCCATTTGTTTTTTAAGAAGCGTCTTCAAAGTCCCTATTTTACAACTGAGTCTAAATGTAGAAGTGGACTTATTACTAGATGACACCAGACAAAATAATCCTTGCTCAGATTTTTGCAAAATTTTGTATAGACAGAGAAGAGCTTATTTTCAGTCAAGACAAAGGAAGGATGGATTTTATTTCTACAAGTAGACATATAAATTAAGAGAAATGGCTGGTTCACCTTTCTTCAATTTCCTTGAATTGTTGTAAGCCTTCTGCTCTCTCAGAGGTCATCGGGGTCACTGATGTTGAACAGGTTAGAGGGAACTGTGTGGTGGGGGATTGTTGACAGGAAGGATATAGGGATAATTCTTTCATGCTCTGCATCATCTTCTTCTCACTAATAAACACTTTTTTATCTAAGCCCAATGACCTGTAAACAAACTTTTTTATCTCTTCACTCTATTTATTGACAGAACATTGCTGCATTTTTCCTCGCTTGCCTCATCTTAACCAGAACCATGTCTGCTTGGGAAAGATACAATTAAAATCTCTGAAATTTATATGATTTCTTCACGTTGAAATACATTTTGAATTTGGGGTGTAAATATTACAAAGATTAAGATATTTCAAGAATTTTTTAGAGGAAAGCAACCATCAATTTGTCCACAATCTAGTGCTATGGAAAACACAGTATTGTCCCAGGATCTGTATTCACCAATGTATTCATGATGATAAACATAATAAATAATACATAACGCACACTGTGTTGTTATCTTACTTGATAAGGAAATTATCAGTTAATTAATTATCAATTAATTTTAGCAAGTGCAACGATGCAAAATTGAAAAGGCCCTTTGTATGCCATACAGTGAAACAGGGTAAAGTGCCATGTGCAAGGACAAAACCACTACAGCACAGACCAGTCCATTTCCGGAGAAATGCAACCTACCAAAAGGTTAGCAGTGAAAAACTACACATCTCTGATCCTCACATGAAGTTGTGTTTTCAAATGCTATTAACAATTTTACTGAACGGTAAGAGATAGTTCTGGCTGGGCTCATTACCAGACACAGGCTTATCGTCTGATAAATACAATCCATGATGTATACATATGTGAAATACTTACTTTGAATCAGAGTCTTCTTGGGCATGTCTTTTAAGCTTCCTGGATGGCACACTACATGAGAAATTCATCAGCGACCTAGAAAGGAACCAAAGAGGACAAACCAGAGATAAAGAATTTTTCGGCATAAAAACCTAGGTTGGTATTATTGGCACCCAAATTGCAGAATTTTCATAACTGATCTTTCTACAAAATACTGTATATCAGGATATACCTTGTACCATTATACAGAGATTTGTCTGGTATTCTTTTTGCCTTCTAAGGATTATACTAAAGTATTATATAAATCTAACAATTTTTTTGTCCTTATCTTAAATTCAACCTCCCTCTTCTTGTGTAAAAATTTGAATGGGAACATTCTTTCTTAGTACATAGCAATTACGTATATATCAAAATCCAAGAAAGCTATGAAGTAAAAATTTTGGTGCAAGAAAAAAAGGGTTAAGAATTGTTGTGAACTTTCAAAACAAAGGCTTTAACTCACTCTGAAGGCATTTTAGGTCTTGGTGATGTCTCTCTCACTGACATCAAGGAGCTTCTGATACCTCTTGTTCCTGTATCAACAGTTTGTCCAGAGGATGCCATACTTTGAGTTAAAGACACAATTCCAGGCCTGGGTACTGGATCACCAGTAAATGTTGTCACTCCATAGGGAATTTTCATGCCATCCCCCCAAGGCATCTGTGGAGGTACCGCATGTTGCCACGCAGCACCTAACCCTGGAGCATGACAATGTGTGATGCCTCGAGATTGATAAGACTGATTTGGAATACCTGTAATTGGACTAGCTTGAGTTGGAACATTAAAAGTAAATCCTCCAGGGTACTGATTAACCCCTACAGGCAAAGTTTGTGTGGGTAGGGCCTGGGGGTGGGGCACAGCCCCTATAAGTGGCCCCTGGGGTTGAGGTATAATTCCTGCCGTTGGGGCCTGCGGATAAGACATTTCTGGAGTTGAGTTTACAGCATGGATGTTTGAAGGTGTGCCATTTTTGAATGAATGATTAACAAGAGAAGGATGAAAAGACTGCTGGTCCTGAGTGTTGGGTAATGGTTGATTTGAAAAAAACGAACTGACCCCAGACTCAACAGGAACTTGAAGTCCTGTGGATGAGGCAGGAATGGGAAGGCTTGTCTGTCCATTATAATATTGAAACACTTCTGTCACAGGTTGCTGTGCCCCTACTGCCACGTGATTCATGTTTCCGAGATAATTATTGTTGGAAAATACACCAAAGTCTGGATGGGATACCATGGTTACTTCAGAAAAATCGATGTATACCATACCTGTAATGTAATACAGAAAATATAACATGCTTAAGATCAAAATCATGACTTTGCAAAGGTATATAGATCATCTAAAATTGTATATGTATTTGAATATTAAGAAAAGTTTGTTCATATATCAAACCTTGAGCTGATTTATAATTATTGTTGACTCTTGGGTGAATGCCATCCTTATTATATCACATGCATTTATCACAAAAATTAAAGAACTGGAAAATGTTAGGGGCTGAATTTGAGTCAATATGCTCCCTACTCCCTCTTTCACAATGTCATTGAAGACAACGACAACCCAAGTTGAAAAAAAACCAAAACAAGGCTCCCCTCCTTGCGCCCTAGAGTTCAAAGTATACCTCACTCTCTGCTCAACTATTGGGGAATTCCCAATAGCTGATGATAGTAAGGTGACATGTCACAATTGACTCCATATTCCAGAGACTGTTCCCAGTATCAAAATTTTCGCACATGAATTTGACGTCCTCAACAGATAGCCAAACTCATAATACAGAGTTTCAAAAGATGAAGATTAATGTTAAATTATGAAGAAATTTTATGGTCGTCATAGTAATCTCATTCAGAAATATTCTATATCTTTGTGTAAAATGAAACCGGACTTGTTTGATGCTTGTTCGTTTGCCTGTTGGTTATGTTGTTGTATACCTTGTTATCTCCAAGAAGACTGTCAAGAGTTGAGACATTTCACATAGTGAACAAGGAAAGAAAACCCTGTTGTGAAGAGAAGTTCAGATAATTTCAAACATCTAATACGCATTGTTTACAAATAGTTATAGCACATATAATGACAAAACAGTCCAAATAGCTCACTGCCGCTGAAATAACGAAGACGCATGTATTTGTTCCTTACCTCAGAAACTCGTAACGAAATGTCGTTAATTTTACACCACTACAAAAAAGTATCTATACAATTTCATTGCTTGTGTCTCTTTGAACACAAGACATTTCAACGGTAACATTTACAGCACGCGGGGTACTTTGGAGAATGCTTTCTCAGACGAACGGAGCGCTCGAACAGGCATTGTTTCGTGCTAAAAAATATAGTGCGACCTGTTTACGGCTTTCTGCGTCCTTTGTGATTGTCGTAAAAGTTATCAACGTCGTAAATACTTTCAAAAATGAAACTGTATATTTTATAGAATACTGTCCAGATATTTTTTTTAATTAAAACGAAGTTAAGGACAAGGTCCAATCTACTTTAGATAACTAAAATATAAAAAAAACAATTTTTGTTTTCAAAAAAATGATACGGAAGCCCATGAACACCACATATGACTTAAGGAGGTTGTACGGTAGCCCCAAATTGCGCAGATGATTTATTCAGTTTCATATTTTTTATTGCCTCTTAAACTTCACCTGAAGTTATAGCCCCGTCACAGGATAGACTTTCTTGCTGTTTTAACCCTTTTTTCAAATTCTGTATTCTCAATAAAGTTCAAAATGTATGCGGGGTCTATGTTCTTTTTCTTGTAAAGATTTTCATAAAACTGCCTTAGTCTATTTAAAATGTCTTTTGGTTTGGTCAGCATAACTTAATCTTCACTGTGAATTTTTATTATTAATTTTTGTCTTTGTCTTTTCTTTTACAATAGTAAGAAAATACTTAGTGTTTGTTTTCACCTTTTTCCAACCAATTCACTTTTGATCTGATTTGCACACCATATGTCTTTTTATTATATAGATTTTCTAGACTAGCTTCCAGTTCATTTATTTTGTTACTGTTTTCATTGTGTGACTGCTGATATAGACTTTTTATTGTTGTCTCAATCTTCTGTATTTCATTTTTTGTATTTTTGGCTATTTTTTTACTAAAGGATATTGATTCTTTTTTAATCTGTATTTTGCATATGTCCCACGCTGTATGTACCTCTGTTGTTTTGTTTTCTGTTTTCGTATTACATGTCTTTATAATGGCTATAATCCTATTCTTGTATTCTTCATTGTTTAGTAGGCTCTTGTTAAATTTCCAATATCCTGAGCCTCTTGCCTCTAAATTTAATGAAACAGCAAGATGGTCAGTTGATTTTCTTATAGCAGAACGGATATCGATTTCGGAGTTATTTCCCTTGATATCAAAAAGTAGTCAGTTCTACTTTCTTCTTTTTTGTTATTTTTTTCTTCTCCAAGTAAATTGTCAAATAATTTAAATTCTCTTTTTAATGTAGTAAGGCCATTAACACATTTCTGTATTCTATTCACTGATTTTCTGTCAATTTTATCATGTATGTCATTCCAGTCCCCTCCAATTATTATCATGCCCTGTTTAAACTTTTCTATTTTGTTTTTAATTTTTTTGAAAAATCTGTTTCTTTGCTGTTTTTCATTTGGGGCATATATGTTGATAATTGTAAATTTGTTTTCATGTATTTGTAAATTTACCATAATACATCTTCCATTTTCATCAGACTATGTATTTATTATCTCTTGATTCAAGCTATTTTTTTTTAGTAAAATAGATACTCCTCTGTTCTGACTGGTAACAAAGTTATGTATCATATCTCCTCGCCATTCAGCATTGATATCAGTTATGTCTGTTTTTTATGAAATTTGTCTCTTGTATACATGACTAGCTTTTTGTTCCTTAGCCCATGCATAAAATCTGTTTCTTTTTTGTTTTTCTCTGAGATCTTGTGTGTTTAGCATTATACAGTGCAATGTGTATTTTATTTTGAATTTTTGAATATTTTGAAAATATTTTTAACTGATTAATAATTTTATGAGTTTTATCCTAAGTGGTAAGTAGTGGTTAGCGCTGGATAGGCTGCTCCCATTTTGCTCTCCTGACAATCTCATTTTTTTTACCAGATATACTTCTTAGACATCATCCTGATTTGGCAGACACCTACATTGGTGCATGGTGATCCTACTAATCAGTTTTGGATTGTTTTATGAACTTCCTGTTTTATGAACTTTTGGATGTTTTAATTTCATGTGATACTCTATATGACCACAGTGTGACTATGAGACCATGACTTTTACCTACACCAGGTGCCTATTGTTAGCACTGAGACCTGTGAAACATGTGCCTAATCAACCATGACCGAATGTTATTGAGAGACTAAATCTGTGTGCTACTAAATCTCCATCTACCCTGACCAGTGAACGTCGCCAGAGAATCAACGAAAGTCGATTGGACTCTGCCCGGCAATGGGCAGAGTCGCGGAGACGATAAACCCTCATCATCATCATCATCATCATGACCAATGAATTCTGCTCACGCACTAGGAGAGGTACTAATGGTGGCAGAAAAGATATAAGAACAATACCCTGTATAACTACAAATGGACAAAACACCATCAACACTGTTATTAGGCAGACAGGTGTTAATAGAAACAACTTAGTACACCTAATTACACAGCATGGCCTTTCACCATCATCTACATCTGATGTTAATGATACTGTGTGTGTTATACCATCTCGTGTTTCCATAAAGTCCAAGACATCAGGACAACATAGACTTGTCAATTATGGAAACCTCAAATATCTAAGGAAACATCATGGACATATTCCATCACCTTCCCCTCTGAAACTGATAACATTAAATTGTCATTCTGTTAAGAACAAGGCATCGTCCATCAGCGATCTATTGATATCTAATGACTCAGATAATTTGGCAATAACTGAAACCTGGTTGGGTACTTCAATAGACTCAAGTGTAATTTCTGAACTTCTGCCCACTGGTTACAGCATCCTGCATTCCTCTCGTAGTGATAGACGGGGAGGAGGAATTGCAGTAGTTTACAAGTCCAATTCGGTGTTAAAGCAAGTGGTGTCTCCAGATGAGAATGACTGGACTAACTTTGAGTATGAAGAGTACTCAGTAACTGCTGGCTCTACTACACATTTTAGACTGTGTAATATATCGGCCGCCGCCTTCTTAAAAGAATGGCTTTCGAAACAGTCATTTTTTCGAACAGTGGTCTTCCTATCTTGATCTCCAAGCTGTAATATCACAGGATGTTGTTATAACTGGTGACTTGAACTTTCACCTGGATGACTCTAACGACGGCAACACCCGTCGGTTTTTTAATCTCTTGGAAGGCTACAGCATAGTTCAGCACGTTACAGGGGCCACACATATCCATGGACACACGTTGGATGTAGTAATCACACGCGATGGAAGTCCTCTCATTCTGTCTGTGTCATCCATCTTTGATTCTCATCTCAGTGATTCCAAGGGAAATATTATGTGTGACCACCTGGCTATTTGTACCTCCTTAAATGTCTCAAAGACCAAACAAATCAGGAAAGAAGTCTCATTCAGAGATTCAAATCAGTTTGTATGGCAGATTTGATTGAGGATATCAAGTCATCCCATACTCTACAGTCTGTAGATGGCACAGTGGATGACCTCGTAAATGCCTACAATACTGGTATATGTACCATCATTGACAAACATGCTCCACTGATTTCTAAAGTTGTGACATTGAGGCCTAATACTCTGTGGTGTAATGAAGAACTCCGCGGTGAGAAACAGAAATGGCGCACAGCTGAGAGGTTATGGAGGAGAACACGACTTGCAATCCACAATCAGTTATACAAAGACCAGTGTCGAAAAGTGAGCAAACTTCTTATTCAAACCAAACACGAATATTACTCCAGTAAAATTGAACATTGTCGCAATGATCATAAAAAACTGCACGAACTTGCCAAAGGCTTAATGGATCAGAAACATGATACTGTTCTTCCATGTTGCGGGTCTCAAGAAGACTTATCAGAACAGTTTAGTTCATTCTTCGTAAACAAAATTGTCACATCAAGAAATGAACTTGCTTTGATGAATGCTTCGGTGGATGTTAATACTGTTTCTATGTCATCAGACAGTGAATTTCAAAGTGAACATTTGACAAAGTTTGACCCGGTATCTATTGACGAACTTCGCAAGATTATCATCAGTGCGCCTTCCAAATCCTGTGAACTTGACCCTATTCCTACATACCTTTTGAAACAGTGTGTGGAACGCCTGCTTCCGCTGATTTCTGCTATCATTAACAAGTCTCCGGTTGAGCAAAAGGTACCAATTTGTTTTAAAACAGCCATCATTCGGCCATTGCTAAAAAAAACCTGGTTTGGACAAGGAGGTGATGAAAAACTACCGGCTGGTATCAAACCCGCCATTCCTGTCTACAATTCTGGAAAAGGTAGTGGCAAAGCATCTAGAAGCACATCTTGATGCTAACCATCTTAACGACAGCCATCAGTCAGCTGACCGTCCATTCCATTCAACAGAGACTGCTCTTTTGAGGGTACACCATGACATAGTAAATGCGTTGGACAGCAATTGTTCAGCTGTTCTTGTACTGTTGGACTTATCCTCCGCGTTTGATGTTATTGATCACGATATACTGTTTAAGCGGTTGGAACATACATACCGTGTGTCCAATGATGCACTCTCCTGGATACAGTCTTACTTAACTGACAGGAGGCAAAGTGTGGCTATAGGCAGTATTACTTCCAAAGATAGAACACTGTCTTTTGGTGTACCCCAAGGTTCAGTACTTGGGCCGAGAAAGTACTGTCTATATAAATTTAGTATATTATTATAATTATTATTATTAATACAAAACAAGAAGAAAAAAATCAGACACTCTATCATTTCATTTATCATGTCACATGTAGCAGAAAGCAACAGGCTTTATATCATGTGTACGAAATCAAGAGGCCCATAAGGTCTGTACCGCTCTGGATATGAAAGCCCACCAATGTAATACATGCCTATAGGTTGGATATTTTAAATATTTCCAAATTAAAGCTCTGTCACTTAAGCTCTTTAATGGGGCAAAAACCAATGTGTAAATCATTAAATCATTACCGTCTTTATCTTTTAATGTCCGTTATTGCTATATATTGTTAAATATAAACCTCGTTCCCATAGATATTTTTCTGACAACCATCATTATATGCATCCCTCATAGTATAGGATACATCTTCAAATTGAATTTCACAGTTGGCATTCAATTGCTCATGAATGCAGATTAAAGGTAATTCATTGTTCATGTATGCGATTTTCAATATTCGGTTTAATTTGTTGTAAGATGATACGTCTTTGTTAATTTACATATCGGTGTGGCGAGGACATGAAACTCGGGACAAAGTTCGTAATTATTTTCGTTTTAATGCACAGACGCGAAATCCTAGAGAGTCAAGGAAAAATACACAACATCACTACTGCACCATTGTCAACCTAACCAGTTTCTATTTGACTACAGTAAATACGTACACCCGCTTGCACCGACGCCCAGCAACAGACCCAATAGTTGGAGAGACCGAAAGCCAGAAGAGGCGTGACGTAAGCAGACGTGGAAACGCATTAAGCATGCAATGCAAGTGCATTTGATAAAATGCGGAGCCTCCACTGGCATACAAATCAAGAGGGACTGTGTGCACCCCCTGGAGATCTACCATTGTCCATAATTCATTTATGGATATTAACAAATGATTTATGGATACAAAAAAGGGATAATGTATGAATATCCATAAATGAATTTTTAATTTTTAATTAAATTACTCTTTAATTTTCATAAATGAAACAGAATTATTGATATCCATAAATACATATCGTGTGTATTAGAATTATTTATGGATATCCATAAATTGATAAATGGACATCCATTTATAGTGATTTTTCCCCACTTGCGCTTTCCGTACATCCATGCAGTATTATGAAGTTCTGTTTCAGCACTGGCCAGATTTTATTCCAATCTCTGATTCTTGTTGTTATATTATTAGGTTGGCTTAGGTGATCCTTTCACTGACACTTCAATACAAGACTGGTGTTTGGGGAGATCGAAATAAGACGAGAACAATAAGTATATAAATATGATATGACACAGATGATATTCCACAACCAACATCAAAATCATCATCTGTCTGTCTGTCTCTCTCTCTCTCTCTCTCTCTCTCTCTCTCTCTCTCTCTCTCTCTCTCTCTCTCTCTCTCTCTCTCTCTCTCTCTCTCTCTCTCTCTCTCTCTCTCTCTCTCTCTCTCTCTCTCTCTCTCTCTCTCTCTCTCTCTCTCTCTCTCTCTCTCTCTCTCTCTCCATGTTTCACATGTATTTAGTAAAATATGAAATGTAATAATCTACAGAGTAATGAAAAATAAATCTATCACTAAGATTTTCTCTGTTTTAATAAGCGTTTTGAGGCATTGCATAATATTATAATGTCCACCTTTTGGAAAATAATGTCCAACACTCTTGTTTAAAAAATGTCTTTATTATACATGTATATCTATATATATATGAGTTTATGTAAACATTTAAATGCATTTAGAAAGTCTAAATATAAAAATATACTATTCTATTAAGAAAATCCAAGAATTAGCTCCCCACCTACTTTTTTGAGGGAGGTGGAGGGGAGCGCTCATTTGGGTGAAACTGGTGCGGATTTAGACATTGTCGCGTGAGCATTTCTCTCAGATGAGCAATGTGTTCATATTAGATTACAATCTCACCTGCATGTTAAAATGCACACAAGTGACATTTGTTAGTTTTCAGGTTGGAATCTCATGAGCTGCCGTTGTGCAGATTGTGAGCAAATTTTGGAATGGGAATCAGACCTACCGGTATTATAATTTTTTAGTTGTAACACACATGTGAAATAGACCTAGTGGTGCAGTGACTGCCTGCAGGATTTCATTGGTTTGTGATGTCATTGCTTCATGGCATCAAATGCGTTATGGTGGCACCAGATAAAGAAAGAAAAGAAAATGAAACAGCACCCATTTAGATTCTAAAGCAGTCTATTAAAATGTAATTTTCCCACATTTCATCCCCTAAGTTATTTAAGTCATATGATAAACAGAATCTTATATTCCTTTCAATTTTATGAGATTCATGAAACTTGTCTACAACTCTACTATGAATGAAACTCATCAGATATCCTCTCTCTCTCATTATTTTATTATAAAACAGATGTTTCCTTAATTAACTTTTTATTATTAACAAGTGCTGATTTCCTGAATCTTGATTATTAAGTTACATAGTTTCTGTCTTCTTGCTTCACATCAACGAACGCCATGTTCTGACAAGGCTATCCAAATCCTGCCTGTCCTGTGGTACGTCTTAATGTGAACTGATTAAAATAAAACAAAATATACCCAAAACTGCCTTTTGTGTTCAACACAAATATTGTCAATAAAGCTCAGCCGAAGAGTCTCTGTCCTTTGCTCCATGGTCATGTTATGGAAATGCCTTCTGTTGCTTTACTCAAGGTCATTGCAAAAGATGAACTGTGTGCATTTTACAAATATTAGATTATGCATTGCATATATTATTTTTCTAAATTTTCTGCGAAGGTCAAATGTTATGTCCAAGAGATAACAGGGATGAGAGCCAACGCTGTGGTGCTAGGTGTAGGTAGGGGTGTTCCTGATATCCCTTGCTTGGATACCACCCAGTATGCAGGGCGATTGAGGAATAGGGACAAAACAAAGCAAGTATCAATCGCAACAAGCTCAGGATAACTGTAGTAACCGTGATGGAATCTATAAAGGTCATAGAAAGGTCACGTACGTGACCTTTATTATTGTGTATATGTCATAATGTAATGTGCCCATATTTTTAGTACTTTAGGGGAAAATTTTCACTATTTCGATGTCCTGATAAAGCCCAAATAGTTCAGGCGAAACCGGTTGACGTAGATCGAATAAACCTAATACCCACTTATCCTGAGCTTGTTGCGATTGATACTTGCTTTGTTTATGTTATGTCCAAATTACATGGACACAAAAAGAATGAATGATGGAAGTGTAGCCTATTAAAGGCCTTTTTCACTACAGCATTAAAGCCCCAATATATAACGTGTGTATTTATATTAAAGAAGTTGTTATTCACGTTTTGTAAAATATGCTTCCATTCATGATCTATTTCGAACCGAATCCAGAAAATCTTTATAGAAATTTTTGTGAGAGGTCAGTACTTACTATGAACACCTATATGCCCTATTCAGACCACACAGCAAGCCCTTGAATGACTAAACATTTTACCTGTATCATGAAATCGTGAAGAAAAGTGTGCAGCACAAGTAACAACTACATCTGTACATTTGAGTATGCAGGTTGGTCCAATGGTTATTTCGGGATGGCTTTCTGAACTTTGTTTAACATCAGTTTGTATTAAGTGGGACCCACTTTTATCTTTTTTTTTTTGATATCTTTAAAAGTGTTTCTTAATAGATACCACTCAGTTTACGTATGTTTTCATCCTATCATTGTATAATTACCAAGTATGCCTATATTGGGGCTTTAACATGGCATGCATTAGTTTTAATATCATTAACATTGATCCAATGCTGTATCAAAAGTCAATTAATAGATTACAGCTTAATTCCGTAAAATGTTCCACCCCTGCATGTCGGGCAATACATTGTCTTCTGGCTAGCTAAATTACAGGTCACAGTAAGAAAATACTTCAGGCCCATGCACCCTTTACCTAATTGGATCTATTCTTTTAGTTAAACATTGTTAATAACTCATAACTTCAAGCACATGTCATGTTAAAAAAATCTCAACATTGGTCTTATTGTATTTTAGAAGAAGATGTTTACGCAGAAATTTCCAATTAGGCAAAAAGCTATGGTAGGCAGGTAATTGTGAAAAAACCTTCAAGAACAGGATTATATTAGCTACTGCTAAAGATGTACATAATTAAAATACATAATTTCAAAGTCATCTGACAATCTTCTTTATTTTTTCACATTTAGTTTAAAATATATACATACTTACAAGTATTTACAACCATTTCAAGCAAAATGCAAGTTATGTATATGAAATATCAAAGATCATACACAAATAACTTTAAACATATTTTTTGATAAAATGTATTTATGAAATATTATCACAGATAATTTTTTAGACTTTAGACATAACATTCATTTTAACAATTCAGGTAATAATTGAAAGAAAATTGCTAAGGCAATATTTTCGACCTGAAAAAAAAGCAATTTTTATTTTTAGCTATATTGACTGTATATCAAAATGGATTTTTTAAAAAAAATTCATATTGTATGTGAATCTTGGAAATTCCAAGTAAAATAACATGAGGAACAAAAGGAAACATACCTTTGCAAATTATTACGTTTTTTAAGAAAGGATTAAATCATACAGGTGGTGTTTGCTTTGAAACAGACCACCCAACTGAAATATTGACGCACTGAATCAGGTCTGGTGTATTTCAATCTCAGATGTGCATTGTATACACATTCTGTATGGACTAATCAGAGATCTTGTACCATTTTCACATGACAAATGACAAAATCACCAATCATAGGTCTTGTTATATATCTAATCGATGGACGAGCTGTTAAGTCTTGATTAATGCACCAATCAGAGACTGTGTTTCATTTCTCCTTTGGATATATATTGAAACCATTTTTTCTATAATGACCAATCAAAGAGTCTGTTATATTTCACTCTGAGGAGTCTCGTTGTACATAGAAAACCCCAACACTTCCTTAGAGAACATGTCAGCTGTGATCTGATGAGGAAGATTCTGATCAATAACATCACCAGCTTGTGATGAGTCAAACTCCTGAAGCTCGCTGCTCCCACCTTCTGCATTAAAGCCTAACAATGTCGTCAAATACTCTGCAAGCTCATACTCTGTCATGTGTTCACCTGGTAACAAATCACAGGAAATTTATATGGTTAAAATTTTTGTGGATTGATGAAACGCTTAAAACAAAGTTGATATGTTATGTTCATCAAAATAATGCAACAGGATTCTCTTATCAATTGTATTCTCAAGGATTCTATTTTTCATATATTTTTTTTGTTGTTGTTGTTTTGGACAAGGTTTCTATTTCAAATGATTATTTCCTTCAGCAGAAGCAGCAAAAATTAAATATCTCTGTGTAAAAATGTTTTGAAAAAAGCAAAAGAAAAATCATTCATCACTTTGTGTCCATGATGAGGGGATCTCAACTCTCTGGGAAAGATTCTTAGTAGGCAAACACTCAACAAGCCTCATGTTTGCATTCTGAAGATTTTTTCCTTCAGATTGAAATTAAAGAAATCTTTCATTTTCCTTGAGATGAGATAGGGGGATCTCAGCTCAAGAGGAAAGATTATTAAGTTAGCAAGCAAGAGGTGAAAAGAATGGATGAACCTGTTAAGGGTGAAAAGAACTCTCTGCCGTAGCTTCAAAGGGGTGAAAGATTCTATTTATCATAATATCAAACATTATACCTTTTGTTTGTAGGTAGTCAAGAAGATCGCCTCTCTCAATGGCACTGCCTTTAGGCGTTGCTATCCCAAGGACATCAAATGCCTCAACAAGTTTCTCAGGATCAAGACCAAATGCTGGACGATGGTTTGTGTACACTACAAAAACACAAGTAAAATGTTGTTTTTATTTTTTGAAAGTACAACAACAAAATAAAAAAAAAATATTATTCTTTTTTTTCTTACGGTTTGGCCTTACTATAGATATTATTCAATATGAAAGTAAATTAATTCAAGAGATTATGATAGAAAAATGCTTGGAAAGAAACTTCTCAAACAAAACCCCTTTTTCTCTGTCAGTTAAAATATATATGCACCTTGGTATTCCTTACCACTGTATATACTTGCTGAGACAGCAAAACAATAAAAATACAAAAAAATAAAAACACCATTTTATGTAATTTTCCAGTTTTACATACACTTGATGAATTCTCCCAGATCTATTGAGTCGACATATTGTCCTGTCTCTACGTATCGACTGAATTTCACCTCGTTCAACATGTCCTCAATCTGAAATATTCAGACATAAAAGTTTTTATTTCAAGAAAAGTCTGCATCACATTTTACCCAGTATAGGTCAAGCAGGATATCAGAAAATAAGCCAAACCCCTTTTTTTATATTTCCAATGCAAAAGTCCTTTGTATGAATAAAAACTTGTCCTCAATTCTTAAAAATTTACTTTATTCCAACTGTACCGGAAATAGGAAAACAGGCTATTTTTAAAAAAAAAGAAAATTTACAGAAAATTTTGGAAATATTTATTTGCATTCATTTTTGTACTCATTATTTCCCGACCTGATGTTCATATTGTACTAGACAGTATCACCCTTCCCTCATCGACAGGGTCTAATCAATAAATTTTAAAATTAATTACAGTTTTCAAGATTATAAAAATTTGTTTGTATTTTTAAAAATTTTTTTCTTAATCAAACAACACTTTAAAAAAAAAATACACTTGTACTTCAAAATTTGCTTATGCTTCCAATTCTTTCAAATGTTGGATTTCTTTCAAGTTTTGGATCTTCAATATTAAGTAGAATGTTTTTGGCTGTTTTTATATTCTATGCCCTCTTACCTCTTGCTCTGAAGGATAGAACCCCATAGCCCTCATCACAAACGGAACTTCAGATAACGGGATCTTTGTAGTTACCTCTCTTCTTCCCATATCATTCACGCCTTTACTGTAGATAGAATACATTTTTTATTAAAAGATTAATTTTTAACACAATTTGATACTTTTCCTTCTCGACAAGCTTTAACATCCTTACAGCGGGGACATGCACTACAAAGGCCTAGTGGTGCCTTCTCTGGTGTTATCTCTTGTGTTTCTCCACTGAGCCGTGAAGTCCACTCTTCTTACTGTGCCTCTATAATGTAGTTAGTGTGGACTTTGCCCTGACCCACCTGACCAGTAGACCAGAGCCAGAGACAAAAAGTGGTATACAATATAAGGTGGTATTTCTGTTGTAAATTACTAAAATTTTGTTTAACAAATACAAAAAATCCACACAATATTTCCTTGTCACAAAAGTTATCACAATTTGAAACTTATTAATTTGTCTAATACTATTCATTTTGAAAAGATTAGTTATGTACTTTTGGAGAAAAATGGTTCATAAGCACAGCAAGGCTAGTTCACTTGAATTTCTTTGCTATAGTGTTATAAAGAGTTATAGGTAGATTCTTATCCCTCTGTATTACACGTCCCTGCTTACAGTACCCTAAATAGATTGCATAATCAAAACTTCAAGAAAAGAAGCTTTTAAAATTTACAAACAAGAAGAAATAAAGAGGTTCCAATAAGCAATATGGGAGCAATTTTGGTTTTAAAAGCAATCGCTGAACCAACACAGAATCTCATTGGCTAATTGACTACTACTTTAAATCCTTTTGATTTCTCTACTAACTTAAAATAACATTTAAATGTTAAGTATTCTGTGTACTGAACAAATTTGTTTCACTTACTTTCTTATCTGAGCATAGTAGAAATAGTCTTCTAGTTCAGCGAACAGTTCACCTTCTCTACCACCTTCTAGTAGTCCGTAGAAAGGTACAAGATCTTCACCTCCAAGCCGTGATTGTGCTTCTAAAGCTCTGAAGAAAAAGGCATAACATTGTATGTAAAAATGGTAAATTCTTAGAAATATGAAAAGTATTCAATCTATTAAAACCAGAAATAGTCCGTGTTCAATGCATATTAGTGTTTATTGAGATATTCTTTTAAAATTATATTATTCAGTAAGGAACAGGACGGGACAGGACAGGACAGGACAGGACAGGACAGTTTGCATTTCTTCTGAAACTGCAACAGGTATGGGCTTACTGTTAGATAAATGTGAATGTATTTTTCTCAGGTGACATAAACTTTGGCCCTTACTTGAGATTAATCTCCCACATATGGACCGTCGAGTCTGTTCCTCCAGAGGTGAAGATATATTTTCCATCATGACTGCAGGCCATATTTGCTACCTATGCATTGGTCACCAAAAATAAAAGGACAATTGATAAATATCACATAAAGGAAAAGAGGACAAAAAAAAATGTAGATCATGTAACAAAGGCATATACTGCAGTATCGTCAGAAACCCACAAGACTCTGCTCGGTCTTTTGACTCAAACGACAGAGCAGAGGGTCATGGTTTTCCAACGATGATATTATAGATGTTAGTGCATAATCACTCTTTGACAAATGATGGATTTGCACATTCACAGCAATTGCTATAAAAACTATATACAGAAACTGCAATTAACCGAATTATATTTATCAGGTTTACCTTCACAGACCTGAGGTATCTTTTTAAAACAAAATAAAAAGTATCAAATTTCGTTGTCAGCAGATCTGAACATTTACAAATCAGAACTGCTAAACAGATGAATATTTCATATAAAACAATACCTCTGCTGGATGTGCAATTAGAGCCATTGCATTGTGTGGGTTTCCATCCAGCGGCAAAATGTGAAGTCCCACCTTGTATTTAGTGACATATACCATGTAGCGTTTGTCTCGTGCTGGATCCTTGGTCGGCAATACGCTCAGTCTGTCATACGAAAATTATAAACATTTTATACAATCTGTTATCACACTATCAGTTCAGATAATGTACTGTATTGCATATCAAAGTACAATGTATTATAGATAATTAATATTTCTAATTTAATGTATGAAATACAGTTAATGACTTCATATAAGGGAAACACAGTAATTTATTAACCAAGTGTAAACACATGAAATGTTCTCCATGGGAAGTTTAAAATTCGGCTTTCAGGTTTACTTCAGAAATGTATTCTTTAATTATGTACACGGCAAAAATTTATTTTAATTGGTATTTCATGTTCTAATACACAAAGCACTTCATCAAAAGAGGATTTCATGATACATTGGTATCTGAATGTACTAGCCCATGTCAAAGATTGTCTATATTACAGAATTTCAGATTAAATTAATTTCAGAAAATTATTCCACACACATTTCTGTAGTAAACGGCTGTAAATTTAATAAGAAAAAGAATTGCTTTATAACACTGAAGATCTTGTATGAAGAGATCTGTACAACAGAGGGTTTGATTTAGACAGGTTACAGTGTACAATGGAATCAATCTTACTTCTGTATAGGACTGCCATAGGTTGGTCCCAGTAGTGTTTTCCTGCACATTTTTGTGGTTGCATTGTAGAGCTTGAATTTAAACTGAAAATGAATGAAGAAAAAATTCATATTCACTCTGTGAAAAATTTTGAAAGCAAACAATGATTTAGCCGTTCCTGCCAAGAGAAATCACGGAGCTGATGTGATAGTGTCACCGACCTCTCGTCAAATAATATCTGATCACAGCCTTCAAAATCAAGGTGAAAGGGTGTTTCAAAGGGTCATCGGATAAAAAGGTCTAATAAACGATTCTTTTGTATAGTTATATGTATTAATATAATATTCTATGTTAAGTTTTAACCTTATTTTAACTATATTTGATCCGTGAAATGAATTTGAGGCTTTTAAATCTGATCTTAAGTAAAGAGATATCAGGTGATTCTAAATTTACCAGTTACAGGTTCACCAGACTAACTTAGTTTGCAACACAGATGTCTTCATATATATATTTATATACATATATGAAATCAGAAAAACCCTGAGATGGATGAATGAACACATGGATGCACAGAACCAATTTGTAAACAAGTAATCTGATTGGATGAAGGATAAATTTGAACAAACCTGGTCATTGGCTGTTACAATAAAATGCTCTTTTGTGATTGGTGGATACCATGCCATGCATTGTGGGACAGCACTCTGTTCTATCCTATCAGTGCTTGAGATCCGAATATCATCTTGGTCACTATTTTCAAGATCATACTCCACCTGTAGAGAAACAAAACAAAATAGAAACAGGATGAAATTTCTGTTATGGAAGTTATGAACTTTGAACCTTGTTATCACAATTAAAAGTATTTTTTTTCTTTTCAATTTTATTATGGGAAACAATATTTTATTTGAATGATTATTTTAGACCATTTAAAAAATGTATGCACAAACAGTTTCCGTTGCTATTTGCTAACGTTCCAAACTTCTCAAATAACTACCATTAATTTTCAAAAATCTAGTTATATAAACTATACAGATAAAGTTAAAACATTTTTGAAAAACTTTATGATAATTTTTTTTTTTTTATATTTATAACCAAGACGTACCAGGACTCGATCCATGCCAAGAGAAAGCAATCGAGGCTGATCAGTATCAAGATGAACTCCAAACATAATATCCTTAATAGGTTTGTAGTGAGCTCGGTATCGGCCTAAGTAGATGTAGGGCTCAGTGGCACCCCGTTGTCGCCTAAATAATGTCATTGTGAATTCTGCATCCTGTTAAAAAAAAAAGTTACAAAAATTTTGAATATTTAGTAAGAAAAATCATGAAAATTATGAATGGGTACAAACTTTCTCTCCATTTTCATCTTTTTCATAAAGTTTCCATGGGTTTTTGTTTGTTTCTAGTTAGATTCTATACAAAATGCAATTCTATAGCTTGACTTTTTCTCAGCAAAAAACTCAAATAAGGCCTTTTTAAGCACCAAATAGACCTTTTTTGATCCAATAGATTGGTAGATATGTAGTTCATTTAGCCAATGAAATTTTCATATTTTTGCCAATACAAATTTGAAATATCAAAATCTAATTTTCTTGATATAATTCAAAAATTACTTTTTAAAAAATGCATATATAAATTACTCAGAGAAAAAATGATTTATGAACAAAGGTTTAGCATGACAGATTCAGCAGATTGTCAGATTACAAAGGTAAAACTTGTGATAATGAATTGGATAGAACAACAAAATACTCTAGAGTCCAATTTTCATTTCTTCTCCTACAATTTATTGGAATAGTTTTATTCATGAAAACAGATTGGTCAAATAAATACTAAATAGCTTGCTGATATATAATTCATTTTTTGTGGGCCTTATTTTCGTTGACTCTCATGGTACTCTAAATTAATGAAATTACAAAATGTCCATGAACTGTTTAAATTAGTATAATCACATTTCATCTTTATTGTTGAACTCAAATGTCTACAAAATTGCAAATAAAAAAAAAATGAACTTTTATAAATATATGTATTCAAATTATGATTCTACTCACGGCTGTAGCAAGGAACTTGGAATCATGGGAGAAAGCTATGTGTGTAATAGCATCTCGTGCGTATCGGAAAGGTTCAGCGATTTCATCTCTCAAAGTGATGGAGTCCAATATTCTTACTGAACCATTCACAAATCCAACAGCTGAATAGAGAAAGAATATCAAATTATATCTTAATTATTTTCATTCATATGAAAATATCTTAGATTTCAATCTTGTAAACTAATTGCAAAATCAATAGTTTCTGGTACATGTGTATTTTTCTGCAGGCACCAAAACTATTGCTCTTCCTATCTCTGATTTTCAAAAACAGATGCTTGCTTTCTCAAACAGTCAAGTAATTAGTATGAAACTGAGCAAGGTTTGATAAAAATAAAATAAGTTTTTGTGCTATTTTTACTGTAAAGAACTCAGAAAATTATTCTTACAGAATCAGCAAAATCTGACCGCATCTGGTAGAAAAAATAGACTAAAATGAAAATGATTTAGATTTGAATTTGCTTTATTGTATTTGTAAAGGAACACCAACAAATATGCATTCACTCAGTTGTTAAATACAAAATTTCTCAGCCATCACAATAAGGGAGATAATTCAAACAAAAATTAAAAGTTAAAAAAGTGATATATGGCATACCACTTTAACAACTTCTCTGAATAAAACAAAGACAAAAAATGTGACTGGTTTTTGTTGATTGATTCATATACTCACCAATGTAAGCTCCTTTGGGATCATAAGAGCAGCAACGAATCAGATTTCCTTTTTCAAATGTTCTTGAGACCATGACTTGCCTACAATAAAAATCTGAAGGCTTAATTTCTTTCAAATGCAAATCAAACTTGAAAATAATTGCATGATCTCATTTTTTTTTTCTGAGAAAGATCATCAAACATGAAAAGTCCATCCAGGTTTTTTGAAAATTAGTTTACTGCTTGACTTTGATAAATATTTAGGCAATGACTGAGAACTGTAAACCGATCAATGAGATCAATAATGACAAATACATATGTTTGTCAAGCTGAGAAAAAAAAATGTAGAGAAAGTATTAAATAAAATCAAAATAAATAAGTAGGACACAATATATAACTTATTTCAAAGCTGACCGTACCGAGAATGCTTTTCCACATTAAATGGTGACCAAGATTTACTGTGTTAAATAGTTTTATAAGTAAAATGACTTGCAGATATTAAGTGACAACACAATAAGAGAGACCTCTCTTTTCCATCACATGGATTCAGATATATTAAACAGAGTTTAGATTAGTGAAGACGATATTAAATTTTAATTAATCGTTTACTACAATAGAATGTAATGTACGTAGCAGATATGTATGATGTACTTGAATCATTACAAATAAATCGCCATTCAACTTACCATAAAAACCTGCATAATGAGCACACCTATGTAATGTGCACAAATACTTTTTGGGGTTGAAAATACTGAAATATGCCTCTACTTGGATAATGTGCATATCCAAAAATTCAGTTAAAAAATATTCATCAGGTGCCAAGAAATTCATCTCAGAATGTTAAGCTTACACATTAAATATAAACTTTATTTATTTTACATCAATTGCGAAACAAGCTATGTTAAATTATACTAATCACTCTTGTTGGCCCGGATGTAAGCGCGCGAGGGGTCTTATTGTGGAAAACCCACGTGGTCGCGCAGGTGACCCCTTACCTTTTCACTTCCGTTCTGGGAATCGAACCCCGGTCGGCTAGGTGAAAGGCGAGTGCGTTACCACTGCGCCACCCGACCACCCTTACACATTAGATCAACATTATAAAGTCCAAAACTCTTCAAGACTTGTTTCCACGTCATTTGTTGACTTTTAATTACCTTCTTTTCTTTAATTATAAATACAATGGGATTGAAGAAAAAAAAATCTGTTTCTGCATTTCTTGTTGTTTGTTTTCTTTGATATCAGACACATTTCACTGTACAGTTAACCTAGACTTAATAACCTTATGTTCTATCACATACACAAAAAAAAATGTGCACATTATGTGGGGTTTTATAGTATCTGGACTGATATACAAAGCTATTAAAGAAAACAATCAAACTCTGAAATGGAAAAAAAAATTCTGTTTTCCTAATATTTTATGGTCAATCCTCAATTTAAATAAAAGACATTTAAAGCCATATCTCACAGACCAGAATTTAACTGAAAGAGGAAATGCTTTCTTATATTTTTATTAACTTAGAAGTCAATTCGATAATAGATTTTATTATCTTACTTCTTTTCGTAATCCCAAATCTTCAGAAGACCAGAGTAACTTCCAATCACAATGTATGGTCTAAAAAATAAAATATTTCAAACTCAATAAGCAACATCTTGTATCTTGCAATAAGTAAAGAATTCCTTTATTACCTCTGATTCCTTTTCAGGTTATAGATGGCCTAGTATTTCAAGGCAGTTAAGTAGCATTTATTGATAAATTCAATGAACTTATTGTCAGTTAGTTAAGTATATAAGGTATACAAAAATGACACAGTATGATATTTCTGTCCTAAAATTTTCTGTGCTTAAATTCTCCATAGAAATTTATCAGGAAAAATTATACTTGTGTGAGGTTTTTTACATATTTTTTAAATGCAATTTTAAAACTCCAGATTGTGTATATTTATAATTATGATGGTTCAGGTCCTATTTCAATATGTATTCAAGAGATCGAAAGACCATTTGATAACAAGGGAAGTAACTCACTGTCTGGGATGTGCTGTCAAGGCATGAATTGCTGCGTCATGTTCTCTGTGTATCACCTAAGTAAAAATGATAAAAAACCTATTTTCCATCTTGTTGAAATCATAAGATAAAAGTGTGGGATTCACACAACCAACTTCACTTATTTTATAAAAGCTTTCTGGGAATCATACAAATAACACTGTTCAAAGTTTGTCCTTTTTAATTAATAATACACTCAAACCTGTCTTAAAGGTCAATTCTACAAAGTCACCTGCTTCAGGTCCCAATACCAAACAGCTCATGACAATTGAACTTCTATACAAAGACTTCCTGTCTTTATAGATTATTTTTCTCTGATTCTTTGTGTGGTCCTAATTGACAATTTCACTATACTTCGTTGTTTCTCACTTTGCTATTCAAAGTTGACATAACATACAAAATGAACAGCTTATCTCATTCAAATATTGCCATGCAAACCTATTTTGATGAAAAAAAATAAGATCAAGACCATATGCATTTTAATGAAAATAACATTCAAGAAAATCATGTTTTATTCAAAATGATCTACAGAAATGAAACTTTAAATATTTTTTTCTTTTCAAATGAATAAAAAAATAAACATTGTCATACAAATTGCATATCTTGAAATTTCATTTTGAGTGAAAAAAGTAAACAAAAAAATAAAGATTTGCAAAAAAAATAATAACCACCTACACTAGAATTGTGTACAAGAACTTGAGAGAAAGTGACCTTGACCTTTCTCATTATAATTACCTTGACCTTGGTGCCATCTGCTGTGATGCTTCCAACAACTGCAATACTACTGCCAACCACAAAATCTTTGATGACAAATTTCTTGGCCTCAATGGTCGCATCAGGGGGATAGTTTGTTCCTTCTTTGGCTCTAAAAGGATTTTCATCAAATTCCAATAACTTTTTTTATTGACATTTCAATAAGTCTTAAGAAATACATAAAACATTCTCGCTCCCCGAAGCTCATTAAGACAAACAAAATTTCAGATATTCATCTTATTTCTGGTACAAAAGGCTTTATTCATGTAGTGAATCCATGATCTGTTCAAAAAATGGTCCCATATAATTTTTGCCCTTGAGAAAAATTAATAGAAATTGAATTTAAGGTATTTTTTATTCCAATTTAAAAAGAAAAAAGAAAGAAAGAATAGAGATGTATAGAAATTGTGAATATGAATACTTTATTTCATTTTGATAGCTGTTTCAAGGAATATAGATAAATCTTAATTTTTTATTCTATGTTATTATACTCACACTGCTTGGAAATCTGTACTGTATGCAAATGAGACGGATGTAATGGGTCCCAGATGGAAATCTTGATACCTTGACAAACAAAATATTAAAGGATTCTGTTAGCTAGGCTGTGGTATTGAAAACATCTGGACCATAAAGCTCAAATGTTTATTGTTTATTTTTTTTGTAAAAAATGTGGTATTTATGGAATCCAAAAATACCAATACAATGTTTGAAAATTTACAATTTTTTACCACAAAATGTAACAGCTGTAGCCAAAAAAATATTTATTCTAATGACACCATACAATTTTATCTGTCAATAGATTTTATGACATTATGCAGGTTTGTCACCATCTGTACACCGAATTCTATACAATGTACATGAATTTACCATGACAAAATCAAAATCCCAAAATTCTTTGAAATCTTATCTTCCCATATCATCATAATTGCTTGATTAATTAATTAAATAGTCACATCATCAACTGATGCAGACAGTGTACATCTATACTTGGTACATAAACGGAAACATTTAATAGTTTCTTTACTTACCAGTGTACCAGTTTTAGACTTTCGTCAAAGAATTTTACATGTCCGGCCATATCTCCAACTACTATGTACCTGTAAAAAAATGTTTTAAAAATTATACAAAAACAATTTCTGACTTTCGTTACAGAATTTAGTTACAAGATTTCTGTCTTTGTGATTCTTCCGAAGAAGTAAGAAGGTGATTGAGACAATGCTAGGTGTTGTCTGACTGACAAATGTAACTGCTCTGGTGATGTGAGTGGGTTACCTGCCTACGCATCATTGGGTGAAACCATCTGTACAAAATCTAGATATTGAATAGGTTTTAAATGGTTACCCATCCAACTGTATCTATAGCCTAATGATTTCTAGAAGTTGTAAAATCCTGGCGCTTATAGGAGACCAGGGGTGATTTAAGTGGAGGGTTTTTTTTCAAAGGGGGGGTAAAATGCATTTGCCCATTCGATTTTATAAATTATTGAATTCTCCAAAAGAGACTGGAATGTGAGTTTTAATTTCTGTGTTCTGGTTTTTCTGATCACAATTAAATGTACTATCAAATATGACAGCAGGAGCATAGCTTATAATAGCTTATAGATAATAAATAAAAATTATTTCAGAATCTTAACAAAACATGACTTTCAAACTGAAAATGTGTTTAGTTTAATTAGTTTAATTACTACATTTAATTAATATTTCAATCCATCAACAAATAAAAACATAATCTCAAAAGTATGTCAAATATTTCAAAATTTTGTCAAAATGTCATGACTACAAATACTGATAATAGGTGTTATTAAGTTTAAGGGACGACAACGGAAACAGGGGAATTTTTTATCTAATGAATAAATAACGCTCTCACTTTTCAGTCGTTTGAAGGACATTGATTCCTCTCTCCTGAAGGCGAATTATTTTCAGAGCTTTTTTGTTGGCAGAAAGCTCCATACTTTTTACTGAAAAAACACAACAAAAAACATTTTTTGTTCAAAAGTGGAATATAGCATTTCAATTATAATTTGAAATTGGATAAAGATTCTTGTTACAAAATAAACAAGATTTGAACTTTTTTAAAAACTTTTTGTCATTTTACAATTTAAAACTTTTGTCATTAATTTGCATAAATTTTAGTCCTTGGTTTAACAAACATATAATTCCATTATACATACGTTTTGTGACTGGTTTGTTATTGTCCCACACAACAAGATTTCCAATGGAGGTTCCAGAGTACACCCTGGAACTATTCCGCTGGAAGATAGATTGACTGTAGCGTCCCACAGGTTTGTTAAAATCTTGGTCTGTGAGTGGCGGAGCAAAGTACTCCATGTGTTTGTCACTCTGTAAATTGCAAAGAAATAAGACCATGATGTAAATCATATGTCACCTGCATCCTCTTTGAATCTCAAAAAAAGAAGTTGAATAATAAACAAGCTCATAACAAATGCAATAAATTTGTTGAAAAAAACTTATACAATGTAAATATTTGTTTAAGTAACACTATACAGTCTATTACTGGTAATTGTTACCCTATGAGCTAAGATCTAGTAAGTTCTCCCACTGTCCTTGTTAAAACTTTCAACACCACCCATCCAACAATGCTCCCTATCATTTATTGACTTGATTTGAAAAAATGTTTACTACAACAGATCTTTTTTTCAATAGTTTGATGAGTCAGATATCTTATGAAACCAGAATATATTTTTCCAGAAGGCAAAATATCAAAAAGGTAGGTTTATTACAAGATAACTTTATTTATCGGTATTTCAGTTATAGATAAATACACTGTAGATTTATCACCAAACCTGGGCTTATTGTCAGATAAATAAGTTTACATAAAGATTATGAGGATAAGAATAAGAAATAATTGATAAGATAAGAAAAATAATTTATTTCTGTGGAATACAATAGTTTTTGCTACACGCGTCATCCAATTATATTCATAAATGACATGAATTGTAACATTTAAAACTGGAAAATATTTAAATTGATGATGTTTCAAAAAAAGCTAAAACTTGGTTTTGATTTGCGAATGTGACATTGTTTAAATTGACCTAAATATATATGATGGATATTATCAATGAATCAAAAGATACTTGTACATTTTCCTTTCACTTTTTCAAACGACTCAATGTAAATTATCTTAAATTTCATTTGTTGATAAAATGCCATCTTTTCAATATTGTTTTTAAGTTTGTATTATGATTCTGTTGACATGACAGCATCCTTTGTTGTTGTTGACAATATTTTATTTACTTGTGTACTGATCAAGTATTGTTTCTTGTTTTAGTTCTGTGAAATTCTCATGATACAACCCACTCACCCAGTGGAAGAAAACAACTTGTGAGTCACTGTTTGTCACAAGGTAATGGATGTCCTCTTCATTAAATTTTATAAAATTCTGTACACCATAATTTGGACTCAGTTCAGCTGTGCACATGGGATTCTCCCCATCAACTGTCCAGTCCCAGATAGCCAAGATCTGTAAGGACAGAAAAAAAAACATGCATCATTTATCCCACAGAAAAATCATAATAGACTCTTTAGAAATAACCAGACTAGAAGGCACTCTCCTTGAAATTCCAAGGGTTACGATCTATCTCAATCTCTTTGTCCTCTAATTCCAACTAATATTAATAATCATGACCCCTGGGATTTAAAGGAACGAAGGACATAAATCTTACCTGCTTCTTTGCAGAACTAAGTGTTGCTAGGTAACGAGCATCAGGGGTCATTGCCATTGCAACAACACCACCTTCCTGGTCATCATCGAAAATTGTTTGTACAGGTACCCTGTGTAAATTAAAAAATCATATACAAATATTCTAATTCAAATAAAAAATGGAATGAAATTAAAAGGAACCATAATCATGAACATAAAATATCACTGAAATTGACATCATAAGAAGTATTTACCCTATACATGTGTAGTTTCATTAAGGTTCCAGGTCTGTTATACTGACCCCGTGACCCAGGTCTGCTATACTGACCCTGTGACCCAGGTTTGTTACACTGACCCTGTGACCAAGGTCTGCTATACTGACCCTGTGGCCAAGGTCTGCTATACTGACCCCGTGACCCAGGTTTGTTTTACTGACTCAGTGACCCAGGTATGTTATACTGACCCTGTGACCAAGATTGTTTTACTGACCCCGTGACCCAGGTTTGTTTTACTGACTCAGTGACCCAGGTATGTTATACTGACCCTGTGACCCAGATTGTTTTACTGACCCTATGACCCAAGTATGTTATACTGACCCTGTGTCCCAGGTATGTTATACTGACCCTGTGTCCCAGGTATGTTATACTGACCCTGTGTCTCAGGTTTGTTATACTGACCCTGTGACTCAGGTTTGTTATACTGACCCTGTGTAAGTGTCCCAGATGATGACCATACTGTCCCTGCCTTTGTCTCCAGTTGCCAGCCAACGCTTATCCTCGCTAATGCATGTACATGTCAAAGGATTTGCCTGAATCGAAAATAAGATTATCAATTAGTTTGCATAAGAAAATTTTGTTATATATACTAAATATCATACTATATAACATTTCTTAGTAATTCTCTCACATAGATTAACATAACTTTACTATACATGTAAGCTACAACGCAATGAGACTCACATGACCCTGTAGAATATGTTGACGGTTAGCCTCGTAGTCATATAAAACACCAACATGTGCACAGGCATACATGATCAGCTTCCTGTTATTGTCAGTGAGGTTCTTCACTGGAATATTCCTGTTCAGTCCAAATGACCACACAACATTCTGAAAGACACACACAGAAAAAAGTTAATTTGATTTAATAAATCTTGACTGCAAACTTTGCAGCAGATAATGTTGAGACAAACTATTTGTAGTTACCATTCACTCAATTCAATTTTACATTTAACTTTCATTGATCAAGTATAGGTGACAATTTTAGCACTACATTTAGCCTGCAAAATCTGGCAATAAACACTTATTTATATTTCATTCATGCCTGATGTAACCTCCTGAAACCAACTACAAAATACTATTCTAAATTGTGTATAGAAGTTATTAAAAGTATTCTATTATAAAACCATAAATATATACCAGTGCTGTATTTGACATTGTGCCTTCAATCTGTGAAGGTTCCCTCTCAACAACTGGAATTTTCGGAGCATCTGGAATCACATTTGTTTCAGGAGGTGGTTCCTGTTGTGTGCTCATTGTGCCCATGGTTTCAGTTGGTGGCGGAGGAGACAGTGTTTTTTCACGGGTAACAGTGCGTGGACTTTGGACAGTTGCCTCCGTTGGACCAGCTGTTTCACTTTGTTGTTGAGATATTTCTGTCTGTGTGGGCTCTTTTGGAGCCTCAGTGGGTGGGGCCTCTGTGGGGGGCTCAGTGGGTGGGGCCTCTGTGGGAGCTTCAGAGGTTGGTGCCTCTTGGGGAGCCTCAGTGGTTGGGGCCTCTGTAGGAACCTCAGTAGGTGCTTGTTCACTTACTTCACTTGGTTTTGGTTGTTCTACATCCATTGATGTATCTGTTGTGAATACTGGTACCAAATTCTCTCCTTCTTGCACTGTTTCTTGTGTATTATCCTCTTCTTTCTCTGCTGGGTCAGTTTTAGCTTCACCCTCTACCGATACTTCTTGTTGTTGCTGTGCCTCCTCCCCAGGCCCTTCTGTAGTGTCTGGCGCTGTGGGTTCTGCTGGTGGTGCTGAAGTACTTTCTTGCTGTCCGTCTTCCTTACTTTCGCCTTCTGGGGCACCTCCAGCATTTTCATTTACATCTTGAGGTGTTTCCTCAGTTGTATCAGCTTGTTCAGTCGGTGCTCCAGTATTATCTTTCTCTGTGTCTTCATCCTTTTGGGCTTCTACTTTAGTTTCAGTTTCTACTTGTTCTTGCGTTTCGCCCTCTCCCTCCTTCACTGGCTCTGCAACAACATCATCTTGTTTTTGTTCTTCTTCTTGTGTTACAGGAGCACTTTGACCCTCCTCGTCAGCCATATTTGTTTCCGCTAAAACACAGATGAATAAGGACTCTAGATTGTCTCTATATACACCTATATCCCTTTAAATTCCTCAAAATAACCATAGGAAGACTTTCAGTAACACATTTTCCACCATGTTTGTCCCTAGCAACACTGTTTACATGCTTTGGGCATGCGCGACTGCCATTAATGGATATATATATGTCGCAAAGAAAATTATTCATCGAGAATTTGGGACTATATAGTAACTCTTAAAATAATTGTCCAATTATATATACATCTTGTAGTATCGACAATATTTGATCAGTCAATCTAAAAATGATACTTTATAACATAATCTACGACTTTCAGAAATAGTTCAAATTCCAAGATGGCGGGAAACTTGACAGCCGACTTTGTGGAGTTCTTATCAACACACCAGGAAGAAATAACAACTTACGTTGTATATCCATATTTGATCTTAGCGGTAGTGGTATATCTAGTCTTCGGAAGTATACGAAGCTTCAATTATAGAACAATACCTGCATCTGTACATCAAAAAATCCTTTTGATCACCGCTCACCCAGATGACGAATGCATGTTTTTGGCTCCGGTTGTGTTGTCTCTTGTTCGGGAAGGACATTTGGTCAGCATATTGTGTCTTACAACAGGTATATATAATAATTTCGTCTACACATTATCGGTTCGTAATAAGGTCAGTTATTAATCTGAAGTATTAGACCTCACTATTATGACCAATGTTGTGTGGGCGTGTCCTCATAGGATATATCCATGTTTGGAGCTGATCTGACACGATACAGACCATACTACCCCAGGTTATGGTTCGAATCCTTCTGACGTTGGATTTAATTTCCCATGTAACATCAATAGCCTTACCTTCTCTAGCTGAAACTCTCCCGCATATTCCATGCATCCATGCAGTAGTTTTTTCTCCTACTAGTATTGAAAGGGAGGAAATGGCGGGGGGGGGGGGGCTATATTGGCTTATCGATCGTTTGTGTTCCGATATTAATGCTATAAATCTCTACAGATCTTAAGAATATAAAATGAATCTTCATTTTCATTTTTTATCATTTTATATTTCATTTCATTACAGTGCAATAAAACACAACTTGTTGGAGATCTTATACTCGACTGGAGTTCCCTCCCTTCTTTTAACGCATATACATTGCAGATTTTTTTTCTGATGAATATATAAATATACACAAATGATTAAATCATAAATATGATACTTCACACAGAAAGTATGAAAAAATGAAAATTATATTGCATTTTGCATATTATTTATCAACTTATTCATATAACTAGTCCATAACATTTTGGATATTTGAGTCCAAGATTCATGATGTGAGACTCACTCCATTTTTGAGGAATGTTTCGATAGTTTCCTATTTATAGGATAGAAATCTATCTTATCTTTTATTGATCAATATTTTAGAAATGGTGTTCAGAACTTTCCAGGAAAAAGTCATGCAAGATTTACTGAGTTCTTCTTGGTATCTATTAATATGAGAAACATCAATATCTGACAGTTCTTTATCATAACGTTTATATATATATATATAGATACATTTATATATATATATATATACTTTTTTAGTTCATTATTTGTTAATAATCTGAATATCAGTTTGAAATAATTGAAAATAGTCCTATATTGAAATGATATTGAAGATGCAGGGCTCTCACACACCATTTTGGGACTGGGACCGAGGGCCCTTAGAATTTGGAAAAATAGTGGTATTTTCCTTAGCATTGGGAAAACTTGGGGTCTAAATTGGGAAAAAAGATACTATTTTGCATTGGGAATGGGGCCGAATATCGGCCCCAAATCTGGGAGATCGAGAGCCCTGAGATGAAAATTAATTCATTCAATGGATGATATTTACAACTGCATCATCACAATTTTACTTGGAAAACAGATAGAGAATCTTGAGTTGAAAAAAGTATTTCTGCAAATAATATGAACCATGTTGTAGTCTGTATATTGTTGTTTGTTTGTTTCCTTCTTTGTACTATTTGAACCATAACCAAATATTTACAAAAGTAAAACATGATATATATATATATATAAGGTCTCAGTTATTGTGTTGCAGGAAATTACTATGGATTGGGTGAACGCCGTAAAGGGGAACTTTTACGAAGCTGTGAACTGTTGGGAGTTGGTAGACAGCAGGTCAAAATAGAGGACAACAGGTTAGTTAAACCTACAATGACATACATTATAGACTATATCAACATTACACAAAGAATGGGGTGGTCTGGGTGGTGCAGTGGTAACACACTCGCCTTTCACCTAGCCGTCTGGGGTTCGATTCCCGGAATTGATGTGAAAAGGTATGGGGTCACCTGCCCGACCACGTGGGTTTTCCCTGGGCACTCCGGTTTCCTCCCACACTAAGATCCCTTGTGCATTTCCATCTGAGCCAGCAAGAGTGATTAATATAAGTTGGAAAAACTTGGTTCGTAATTGTTGTAAAATAAATAAAGTTTATTATAATACAAAGAGCTTCAGGAAAAGAAAAAATATCAGCAATGTATACAATATGATTTCCTATTTCAGTATTATCAGTAGCTTCCAGTCCAATATCTTATCTGCTGAGATACAATAGCTGGGCCCAGCATGATAATTATATGGTAAAGTGAACTTAACACTTTATACCTTCGTTGATTTTCCAAGTCTTAATCATGAAAAATTCCCATAATACACTTTATTTTTATATAAAGTTCTAAATTAACTTAAATATTTTTCAGCTGATGGACAACAAGTTACATTACAAGAAAAATATTTGTTTGCAAAATGATCTTAACAATGCACTATAGTTTTGATGAAACCTAAATGTATTGTTTATTAGATTATTTCTCTGAAGTGCAATTTTTGTGTAAATTTTCAAAATTGTTTGGAAATTTGTTAAATTTAATTTTAATGATAATTTCTGTTTTTTTTTTTTTTTTTTTTAATTGAAATACTGAAATTTCTCATTCACACGACTTAAGTTTATTTCTTTCATATAAAACAATGTTATTATGTCCTCTTTTAAAAATAACCTAGAAGAATCATGGCTACCATCACCCAGATCACAGCTGTAGACATGTTAGTAAGATCGTGGTTTTATGTTGTGACATCACCGAGATCACAGCTGTAGACATGTTAGTAAGATCGTGGTTTTATGTTGTGACATCATGGAGATCACAGCTGTAGACATGTTAGTAAGATCGTGGTTTTATGTTGTGACATCACCGAGATCACAGCTGTAGACATGTTAGTAAGATCGTGGTTTTATGTTGTGACATCATGGAGATCACAGCTGTATACATGTTAGTAAGATCGTGGTTTTATGTTGTGACATCACAGAGATCACAGCTGTAGACATGTTAGTAAGATCGTGGTTTTATGTTGTGACATCACCAAGATCACAGCTGTTTACATGTTAGTAAGATCGTGGTTTTATGTTGTGACATCACCGAGATCACAGCTGTAGACATGTTAGTAAGTTCATGGTTTTATGTTGTGACATCACCGAGATCACAGCTGTATACATGTTAGTAAGATCGTGGTTTTATGTTGTGACATCACCGAGATCACAGCTGTATACATGTTAGTAAGATCGTGGTTTTATGTTACGACATCACTGAGATCACAGCTGTAGACATGTTAGTAAGATCGTGGTTTTATGTTGTGACATCACCGAGATCACAGCTGTTTACATGTTAGTAAGATCGTGGTTTTATGTTGTGACATCACCGAGATCACAGCTGTTTACATGTTAGTAAGATCGTGGTTTTATGTTGTGACATCACCGAGATCACAGCTGTATACATGTTAGTAAGATCGTGGTTTTATGTTACGACATCACTGAGATCACAGCTGTAGACATGTTAGTAAGATCGTGGTTTTATGTTGTGACATCACCGAGATCACAGCTGTTTACATGTTAGTAAGATCGTGGTTTTATGTTGTGACATCACCGAGATCACAGCTGTTTACATGTTAGTAAGTTCATTTTGACTCATCAGTATTTAGATTGACACTACCATTACTAATGCTAGGAAATGGTTAAAAATCCATAACCAACTATCATCTAAAATCTTCAGTTTTTTTGTAACTGTTTAATATCTCAATTACTTCAAATTTACATCAGAATGAATATCATTGTCAATTAACACTGTTAGTATTCATACAGTGTAATATGTATTTTGTTTTTGCTAAAACGCAACAAAAATATGAAGGTACTGCTGGTCAGTGATGAAAAATAACAATCTTATCGTCACATCAGGTAAAAAAGCTAGTTAAACAACCAGCAGCAATGATTTTTTTCTTTATTTACATCTTCATACTGTATACAAATGTATGTATGTCTTACCAGATAAAAGATATTTTCAAGTTAATGATCTGAGCCCAGACAGAATATGGCTAACATTCTGGTCGTAGAAATTTGACTCAACTTATGTACATAATACCCACATTAGGTAATGAGGCACATATTTACAATATAAATGTAACGTATCAATAATCAATTAATTAGTCTTAAAATTAATTATGATATAATTGTAGTGTAAATTAAGACGTCCTTTGACTTTAGATTTACTTGTCAATGTCTGGAGAAACACAAATTTGATACAAATACAAGTGTAAGAAGTAAGACAGATCACATTTCGTTATTGTATTTTGCAAAATCATTTGTACTGAAAATTGAACTATGATTATGAAAAAAAAATCATTTGTTAGCCTGTCAAACAAGTATACACAATGCACAGAGGTGTATAAGTAAGTTGATGATTTTGTAGTGAATAATTTAGAAATTTTATGTCATTTTTAAGCCTTTATCCTGATGATCCCTCCGTATCTTGGGATGAAGAAGTTGTGAGTGACAGAATACGCTCCACCATCTACAAAATACAGCCAAATGCTGTAAGTATATCACATCAGATTTATGGTACTGTAAACTAGCATAACTTGGATGAGATCTTATTTTAGTGGCAATCTTAATTGAGTGGCAATCATATTTTATTGGTAATTTTACTGTATCAGTAATTTTAATTTATTGGTAAACTTATTTCAGTGGAAATCTTACTTTATCAATAATCATAATTTAGTGGTAATCATATTTAAGTGGTAATCTTACTTAAGCAGTAATCTTTATTGAGTGGTAATCTTAATTTAATGAAAAATGAAAGGGCACAGCTTTAATGTAACTATTTACAATTAAACTACAAAATTGAATGTAGAATGAAAATATTAGGACAATCAAAGCTGTGAAGAATAACAATTTCCTAGAACTGAATCTAGAATCATTCTCAATAGTTTCTATGATAACAATACATGTGATCTGACTGCAGTATACTGATAATCATTCCTGGAGCATTTGATAATGTAAGTTATGTAGGTATATGAAACAAGTAAGGTCAGTGGGTAGAGCATTGGGCTCTCAGTAAGGGAACTATTTGTATTTCTCAGGAAACTGAAAACATGATTTGTCCTGTGATGTGTTTGTGTCATTGGACAAGACACTTTACACCATTTTCTTCGGGTAGCATGCAAGTCATGTGATGGGCCTTCCTTATGTTGTTCAGTGTCATAGCCACCTGCTACAAGAAGTCCCTGCCTCCAGTTGACCATGGTTGTTGGCAAGATGATAATCTATTAAACAAACAAAAAAAGACATATTGCAAAAATTTCTTGTCTTATTTTTACCAAACCAATCATACGATCATATCTGGAGATCTGATAACCAGATATACGAGCTCTAACTGATTTCTTTAATACACCTACATGTTTGTTAACAGGTTATCACATTTGACTCCAGTGGAGTTAGTGGCCACAGTAACCATAAAGCTGTTTATTCTGCTCTCCTGTAAGTATTGGTCTACATCTGTAGTTGCTGGCTAAAAGATTTATCTCCCTTTACAATGTAATACGATTGGTTCATTTATAGAGCTGAATAGTGAGTCATTGTACCTGATTGTAAGTTAATGAGACATATCAAATGCAATTATACTATATCAATGTACAATAGATATCATTAGAAACAAACTTTGAATGAAATGAAATTAAAAAAAAAAAAAATTAAGCAAAACTGACCTATTAGAAACCAAAATATTTTAATGTGACTTAGGGTATTTTTTTTTTTTCTAACTAACAGCAATGTCAGATTTCATGAAACCTATGCATTTTTAGCCCGCCATCTGTTGAGGGTGGGCTATTCAAATCGCTCTGCATCCATGGTCTGTCCATCCATTAACAATTTTTGTTATTGCTATTTCTTGAGAAGTTCTCGATGGATCTTTCTTAAATTGCGTATGTAGATTTCCCTTGGTCCCTAGTTGTGCCATTTGATTTTGGTTATGATAAAACAAAAATGGCTTCCAGGCAGCCATCTTGTACTTTAACTTTGAAAGTTTGTTATTGCTATTTCTTGAGAACTACTGTATAAAGATCAAACAATGGTGGGCGACAAGAACCCTCTGGGATCTCTTGTTAAACTTCCCCTATTAACCCTGTACTTTTATTATTCATATTGAGGTCATCTACATCAGCACTAAATGTTTAAAGTTTAAAACTTTCGAAAACAGCTGTTTGTTTGTTAGGATTTTTGGTTTTTAAGTTTCCTGATGGTGACAGCTTGTTTTAGGTTTTGAATTACAGAATTCACAAATCTATATTAATATAAATATAAATATAAGCAGATTCTAAGATAAAGTGAAAATTATTGATTGTTTCAGGAGCCTGTGTAACCAAGGGATTATGCCACAATGTACGTATTGTTACTTATCAATTAATTGATTTCTCTTTTAGATATGTCATTGTGGTAACTCTAAATCATCAAGCATGACAGTAAACATCAAACTACTAGTTGTTGGTGACATTTAGAGATTGCAAAATAATCATATGCTTTCCTTAAATTTAATTGATTTTAGCTGGTGAAGTATATATATATAGAGAGAGAGAGAGAGAGAGGGAGAGAGAGAGAGAGAATTAATCACTTAACATGACAAACAAATATATCACTAACATTTTCAGGCCTCACGGCCATCTTCAGGTGATTACATTGCATGTACACTGTCCAAGTTTATTTAGCTGAAGTCAACCTACACGTGATGATCGGAGATGTTGAAAGAGGTGTTAATGGATATGGTTGTAAAAATGTGCATTTTCTAATTTTTCAGATTCTAGAGTATTCTGTCTGAACAGTGTAAACATCCTCCGCAAGTATGTCTCCATCCTGGATCTGCCGTTGTCCTATGTTATGTCACGAAACATCTACATCTCCTCACCATTAGCTGTCTTTAAGTCTTGGGTAAGGTTTCACTTGTATAACTTAACAGATAATAAATTGTGAGATTTAAAAAAAAGAATGATAAATGGGAAAATTCTTTACAAACTGCCAAATCTTGTTGTTTTGGTCTTTATTTTTACTAAGAGTGTATAAAAAGATTGGTTGTGATGTTGGAGTGTTCGAGAGAAGGGGGTTGATTTGGAAAATTTTGCATAATACGCGTATGCATTGGTGTGTTTGGGCGCATTCAGCATTAACTTTTCAAAGCAACTCCATCTGAGTTACAAAGCAGCCTAGAGTCAAGTTAATGAGTCATTTGCATGGTAACGTGACAGACTATCATGTTTGTGCTAATATATAACCTTGACCCTTGACATTCATGGTCATTAAATCAAATATGAATAGTTTAATAATTTAATTTCAATAATTAGGAAATCTAGAGCAGTTCTAATAGACAAGTAAAATACAAAACAGGAAAAGTTTAAAGTTTGAGATAAACATGGCTGACCTTCATCAGTAAACCAAATGATATTTGTGGTATGTAGGTACATTTGCTAACGCCAACGCCAACGCCGATGCTGGATGCTGACTCACCGCCCTCTTTGAGAGGCAAGCTGAAAAACACATCTTATGAGCATAAAGGACGTCAAAAGTCTCCTAAAGCCTTCAGTGAACTATCATCATCTTAAGGGTCAAACATCAAAATAAGAGGATATTTTACTGGAGACTCTAGGAGACTTTTGACGTTGGCATTGGCATTGATAGGCTCGTATAGAAGTGTACAAGGGTACTAATATTTGGTAGGGGGGTTGTTGTGGGAGTTTACTATTGCTTCATGGAGTTCGAATGAGTAATTTCTTGGAAAAAAGTCTGTCGCTGAGTGCTAGTTTACAGTTTAGCTGTAAACAATGTGAGGCAAGCTTTTGTACTGTTCGCAGTACTCTTGTTTGATAAAATTTTCACATTTGGATGATCTTTGATAAGAATATTGATAGTTCTCGCATTTTCTTGTTGATATTGATTTTTATTGCAGAGAGCAATGTTCGCACACAGAAGTCAGCTGACTTGGTTCCGCATCCTTTATCTCATCTTCTCTCGTTACATGCTGATCAACACCCTCACTGAAGTCTGTCACCATGGCGATTGTTAAGGGAGACAACTCCTCTGTGAAATAAGTACATGTATCAAAGAAAACTCAATTTTATACAGATTTACTGTTTCTATTTTAGAATATAAATTTATCAGTTTTTTTTTTTGTAAGCATACATATAAAACTGTATTTTCATTTTTTTTAAATTTGTTTGTGGTGCAGTAGGCGGAGGGTTAAATGATACAAGATTGATTTTACAGATACTAGATTTACCAACAGAAATTTTGAGGAAATGTTTGTACTTTGGACTAAAAGTAATAGCACCTATAAGTTTATATAACAGGTACATATTTTTGTTATTATGATTAATAATCACAATTGCTCTGTTTTTTGTTTTGTTTTTTTTTTATCATTCAATTTATTTTGTTGCTGATATAACATCTAGGAAACAGAATCTAGATTTTTTTTTAATTCCAGCTTGTATTTTTATTTTAGTTTGTGAGAAGTTTGTTTTGAACAGTTTTTAATATAAATAACAAATCAATCTGTAAGTCAGTTCTTGCTTGTGAGTGGGTTTTTTTGATGATACATATCACATCATATACAATTAATAATCATGACTTTCCAATATAAACGCCTGTTTACCTAGACCATCTGTCTAAAGTGAAGAACAGCATGTGGTGTTTTCTGTGATAAAATTCAAACATCGTTTAAAAATATTGATTTGTGGATTTTTTCAAGGTCAATTCCAAGTTTTGATATTACAATGAACTTTATCCTTTGATAAACCACCAGGAAGAAAATTAAATCCTTAAAAAAAGTTGAAGTTTCTTTGGAATTTTGTGGGAATTTCTTGTTGAACGTCTGTAAAGGGACAAAATTTAAACATAACTTAATGATTGTACAGGAAACAGATTGGCTGGAATGTGACTTTAATTTTTTGAGTATACTTTCATTGTATTTTGTATTGTATCTGTGACTTTGAAAAAAATACTCATCAGTTGTGATGGAAATTCATTTTAATGGCAGCTTTGCATTGTAGTGCTTCATCACTTGAATGTAAGATGCGTGTAGCATGCACTAATCTTCCAAAGGGCACAAACCATATGCCAGAATCGTTCAAAATGCGAAAACACACTACATGATAATGTTATGATTGTACATGCAGCAGAGAAAAGGAGATAAGGGTTTAATATTTGTATCTACATAATGATATATAAATCATGGGAGAGATATTGTTTGTTAACGTCTACACACATACTGTATGTGTTACTATTACTAGGGGAGGTAATTTACCAATATATCCCTGTCAGGTGGATGCATTTTGTTCTGTGGTGGTGAGTTATTTTATTATCTATATATCTCTATATATATATAAAAATGATATAATATACATTTTAGGACATTTTTATCAATGCAGACATGTAACAACTGTTTTGTTAATATTATATAGCGTTTTTTTTTTTAGAGAAAGTTTCCTCGAGCTTTTGGAAGCTTTATAGAATGGCTGGTACGTGTAGTATTCTTTAGGGATTTGATTCTCCTTATCTGTTTTTGTTTTAGTTTTGAAATTTTTTTACTTGAAGTTCAAATGTCATTGATTTGTATTAGTTTGATATGAAACATCCGAGTTTGCTGGACTTCAGAATAATTATTGTATTTGAAAATTGATTTTTTATATACTGTACAATCAAATTGTGTGAATGATGAATATTTGGTATTTATTTTCTTTGTAAGATTGATAAAGCCTTCCTTGAATATGCCAAAATTTTTACTGATAAACTTATTCCAGTCTTTTTGTTATGTTTTCCGTTTCACTTGTGTATACCATTTCTTTTTGTCTGCGGGAGCCTCTCTAATATGCACCCCAAAATTGCTAAATCTGGATGTTTCGTAAATATTGCATTCACGTAATGTAGTTACTGAATTAAAACATTGGACATCACAACTTATATAGGCAACATTGGTCTTGTGCAGTAAAACACAGCACAAGTTACCAGCAGAATTCACAATTGCCTGGTCAGCTGGCCTACATATTGATAACCTCAGATCCAGGTGGATGTCTCACTGCTCCCTACCCTTGGCTGTGTCTTTTTCTTTGAGAGCTGAGAAATGGACCAGTCTGTGGTGTTGTGGTTGTGTTCTTGTTAAGGCTCTTTACCCTAATTGTGATGTCATGCGAATGGCCTCTTGTACATTTTATTTTACAAAGATTGCAGGTGTTTAGTTGTTAAGACTACTGTGGAATATTTACATGTGAATAAATTCTATTTTACATAAACTCTTCTTCAAATGGATTCACCATATATCAAGTGAAGGCAGAACCACACAAAAGTCCTGCAAATACTCTTTGAACCAAAGATATTGTCGTCAGTTATTATTTTGATAACATTGATATGGGGTTTTTTTTTGTTGCAATTCAGAGTAATAAATAAACAATTTTAAAAAACGACCCCAAACATATTGAATCTGAGCTTCTTTTTTTTTTGTGATGTTTTGGTTCGCTTGGCTTGTCATGATCACAATTTGTCCATATATAATGAAAAGTTTACACCATGTTGCAAATATCAGAAAAACATTTTCAAAACAGTAATGTGAAATTGATTTATTGCATGTATTAATTTAATTAAATTTTAGTAGAGAACTATATGTTGCAATAAATGATATGTTAGTTTTTAATATTTCTTTTTAGTTTTTTATGGAAATTTATATTGAGTTTAATTATGTATGTGCAATTTATATCTCTATAATCTTTTTCAGTGTCAATAAACTTGAATGGAATGGTTTGTTGTTGTTGTTGTTGTTGTTGTTGTTGTTGCTGCTGCTGTTGTTTAGTGTAAAAATGTTGTCTAGTAGTAGATAGTGAAAATTGTGTCTCACGTGTGGTAAAATTAGGTCCTAGAATGACCACCAACCCCATATCTTTTGCGTCACGCTCTTGCGTTCTAACCTGTAAGGTTCTCGGATTTCATTGAGACAGACTGTTACTATTCTAACAAGTGCCTCGATAACATCAATGAAATAGCTGGAGGCCAGTTATGTTTTGAAAAACATTGCTTGAAACGTTCGTGATGTGGCTACACTACCCATCTGGATTTGACTGTGGATTTATAAAGGTTAGCTTGTAGGTCGTCATATTGAGTCTGTCCAGATTTTAGATAAGACGACATATTTGTTATCAAACCACGTGATTCCAAATCTAACAAAACATCCCTAAACTCTCGATCAACAACGACATCATCTATGTCCAGCAAGGGGAGACTATCCATGATGGCTTTTGTAATCTTCGCATCAATATCGCTTCCACGAACCATCAGGTAGGGCTATGCTCTTGAACTTCAAATAGTTCTGCTTCTTCTGGCCACAGTAAGGGATTCTCTGGATCTTGTGATCAGAACGTTTAGGAGTAAAGATATATGTACCGTTAAGTATTACAGTCGTCTGCTGGCCAAGAAATACTTCTGAGAACACAGTTGTGCTCCAGAAGATTTTCACTTGTAAGATGTTCATGTCCAAGGCACTATGGAATGGAATGTTTTCGATATCCTGGTTGGAAGCTGACAAGAGTTGAACCCATGAAATGTTTGTCTTCATTTTTACCCAGAACAACAGTAGTACATCCTCATGGTTTGGAGTGTAAATAAGAGTTTTTAGAAACTATGTTCTTGTCCAACCAGTTTCTCTTTCATCAGTGCGGATATCAACGTTAGGGTTAAGATATTTCCCAATGAGATGATGTGAACAAACACGTGAGTAACAAGGACACCACAACTTGTGATGAAAGATGAGCTGGTGTTTTGCGTGCTTGGGCAATATGGCCGAGTTATGATTGAATCTCTAGTGTGCACTATGGATAATAGCGGAATGTTTTACTACGTATCTTCATCAACACCAAAGTTTTGATATTCAGATTTAGGCATTATTTTGTGATAATTTTTAAAACATTTTGCACACATACCAATCTCTTGATCATTATTAAACAAAGTTATCTGATTTTAAAACATCAAACAAACAGTTGTGCTTGGGAAGTCTTATATTTCCAGCAGATTTCTTGGTTTTAATGTCACTCCTACAGATCTACCTCTCATTGTGAGAACGGTGCTGTATTAGATGTTTTAAAGTCTTCGTCTCTGTAGAACAAATAGAAAGTAATGTGAAAATGATAATTGATAATATTTGAGTATATGAATTATATAATATATTGTTAAGATAACGTATAATTAACACATATAGTCATTTAGGGACATGTCGGCATTACTTCTGTTCGTGCTAGGAGTTTTGACATATTAGGAAAGGCACGTGTGTAAATAAGGTTTGGCGTGTAACAGGGTGGTCTCCTATGTCCATTATTGTTCAACAAGTCATTGGGGTGATACACATCAAAACCAAAAAGCAACACTATGCACAAATGGTGGTTTCGACCTTTGGGTAAGGTTAGGGTAGAGATAAAGCTTTCTATATGCTATTTTTTAGGGGGTGGACTGATTATGGAAGACAAAATGTCATTTTTGACGTTTTTCTCACAAAATGCTTAAAACTGTTTTTAGTATTCAGTTTATGGTTCAAACTTTCCTATTTCGTTAAAATGATTATTTGTGATATGTTTTGTGACATGATCTAGTAATTTAGTTACGTAATTAGTGACTAAAGCAAGTGCGTCATCGATAAAGGATGAAATGTAAAACCAAGGAAATCATCTTTGATGGCACAAAGCCATGTGTTGGTGAGTGGTCTCTAGGCATGAACAAATCTTTAGGCCGACCTCTATAAGGAATCAACATGGCTGGAAACCCCACCTTTCTAATATTTTACCAGATTTAGTGTGGGACCAAAATGTAGTGACAACAACTTCTCGGTGTTTGACACTGAAAAGTTTTACACTCAGTTGTGTGTTTTAAGTTGGCAGAAAATTCCATTCTGCATGACCACGGCACTAAAGAAGTTCTAAAATCACGTTTAGAATACAACAAATTTAAAATCACTTTATTTAACATACAACAAAATTTTAACAAAGAAATTTTATTTCATTATACTCAAAACAATAGATGGTGCTCAAGAATTATAACAAAAAAAAGTTTTTCCCCTCTTTCCAATAAATGTGCGCTTAATGAAATATGTAATATAAAGAGCACTGTTTATACAGTATACCGTTTTAAGAAAGGCACAGTTAGACTACATGCAACTACAGTTTTTTTATTTAATCAAAGTACGGAGAGGCGATTTTCTAGAACCGTGTATTTTTCAACACGTAAATCTTTTTTCTTTCTTTTTTAAATTGCATATCATTTTCTAGTACATGGTATTGTGCATATTCATCATTGTCACATCGTCTTAAATCAATTTTCACTTTTTATCATTATATTCTTGAGATTACATTTGTATATATACATATACACTTGGATACATGGATCATCCTGGCGATGTGACCAGAATCCTAAAAATATAGATTGATCTTCGTATACGTCAATATTCATTTTTTTCTGTCGAGATTTGAGAGTAAGGAAACAAGAGAATCGGTAGAACTGATAGATGCTCCCCGAATAAACACTGATTCCAAAAGTGCTACTTTGACAGTATTATGTTTGAAAATAAAAAAGGGCAATAACTCCTAAATTATGCTAAAGAGAGTTACGTTTCTTGTACACTGAACTTCTCCTTATCGAGATATAACTACCTGTGAGGTTTCATGTTGATACCTCTTATAGTTTTTGCGATATGTTCCGGACACAATTATGACGGGCGGAAAAAACGATGACTTTATGCTCTCCCTTTTGGGAGCAAAAAAAAAGTGGGAAGTAGGGGGTGGGGGGGCCGTTATCGAATGGCTTATTGCGAAGTCTATACCAAATTAATTCCTAATGTTAGATCACGTTCCTCTTTAGATAAAGCCTTCATCATCTTCAATCACAATATTTGAGTCATTGTTTCTTGTAGTGGTTTCAGTATTCGGTGCGGGGTTATTATCAGTTGGTTTCGGTTTCGCAACTGCGCCGACGCGAGGAATAAATGTTGACGGAGGCGGGAATGGAGTCGACACTTCGTCGTGTTCGTCGTCGTAATCTCCGGGAGCGGGGCTTGCTAACCAGACGTCACGTGACGTAACCTGTCCAGTACTCTTTGCTGAATTATGAGATTTGTTATTTGCATAACCATCGTCATCATCATCTCCGCTATCGTACTCGTTGTATGGTTCTACCCGGGAACCTCCGCCACCACCACCAACGCCGCCACTGAAACAATATTTTAAAAGACGGGTTTTGATTTCTGATAATTTCATTGGTTCTTTAAGGAACCTGTGATAATATACTTACTACAATATCTTTTATAATCAATCTATTTCGTGATTCTATCAAAGGATGTCCTTTTGTGACGATCATTTTGTGGTCTTTGTTGTTCTCAGACTGTAGAAACATACTCTATATTGTTTTCGAACGCTGGAATAATGAATTTAAAGTGAAATGCCTTAATGTTTTCGATATTATCATTATTATTATTACATTCTTCACGGTCCGTCAAGACATAAAAGGTCATGAGGGCCATCAAACGGTAAAACACACAGCGAGGTTTGGATATGGGTCGCTTTTTAGAATAATACAACACTAACAATTCAAAGTCTCTATTAGGCTAGACGTCATTGGTTGAACATTTGATCATTATACATCCATGTAACATTTCACGTCAATTACTGAAAAGTTGATGGTTCTGCGTGTCGAACAGTAATTCCGAGTACTTACGCCCCTGCGCCGGCTGCAGCACCGCCACCCCCACAACAGCATGCGATGCCGAAGATGAGAGCGAAGACGAAGAGAAATCCGATTACACCCATATAGATTGTACAAGGCATGCCATTCCAGCCGATTTCGATCACCCCCGGGATCATCTCATAGCAGAAGTATTTTTTCTCTTCCTCTGTAATACGTAGAGAAATACATGTTATTTGTGTGTATGCAGCCACTCCCCGCTCCCCGGGATTTGTATCAAAACAGTGCCTAACTATATGTTCCTAACATAATGCCATCCAGTATTGCCCATCCTCAATACTCCATATGTTACGATTCTTTTGCTCTCTGCACACCTGGAACATTTAAGGTTCCACGTGCGGCACTTTGTGGACAAGACGAAGAGACCGGTTTGGTCCTTTGATGTACATCAGACGAATCTTGAAATCGCACAACAGTGCATTGTAAATAATGGCTTTGATGTCGATCGTCGTTCCTTTCTGTGATTGGTCAGTTTTTTCGTCTGGAACCAACCAAAATACTTCGCTTGAGCCTTCAATTTTCCACGACATGTTCCGGGGGTGGAGAGAGCGAAAGTGATCGTAACCCCTGGAGTATTGAGGACGCGTATAGACTGTAATCATATCAAAAGTGCCAACCTGTGTCTTTCAGAAGGAAAACATGCGAAACAATATTCGGTGAATCATTCAAAGAGAATGAGAAACTGTAAATGAGATTTTTTTCTAATTCCACTCATTTCAAATATTTTTAGTACTACAACGAAAATCTATAGCAATGTCTACTCACCCGGCGGCGACGTTGTAGGACCTGAAATAATACAATTCGCATTACAAATAGATAATAAAAAACATAATACATATTGAAAAAAGCAATTATTCATGATTACAATAACTTAGAACACGTCTCTTTCAAATCATTAGATTTTGGAAATTAAAACATTTGAACTAGTTACAGGTAAATAGCTTTGTGTGTTAATAATGAAATTTTCGAAGTAATCTTTGATATATATATATATATGTCTGTGTACAGATAATTATTATTTCTGATCTTCTTGTTTTTGGTTTGATTTCGATTGTTTTGAATTTAAATAGTTATTGGAATATTTGAAATTAAGTGAATGATTCTCAATAAAATCTTATATGAAACAAGGATCAGACGTCATGATGCCTGGACACCCAGCTGTAAAAAGTAATACAAGTACTGGGGAAGTTGTCAAGCGAGAGACCTGTGTCCTTTTAAATCGCTTGCGAAAATGTCTATGACTTATTGGCTGGGCAAAAGTTATGTTCCTCGGTGAAGACATTGTTTCCGGATTTCCATTTTATTTTATTTTTTTAGTAAAATTTGTTGATCGTGTGACTTACCCAAGGTCTTGTCGATATCAGTAGTTTGTGGGCCGTCTCCGTATGATGTATACGCAAGTACGCTGACAACATATTTGGTGTCATAATCTAGAGAGCTAATGACGTAATTGAAAGTTGTGTTGCTGACGTCAGCAGTTTGTGGGGTCCAGTTATCCAGAGCGAAATATATAATCTTGTAGCCTGTTAGGTCACGAATACAGAAAAAACTTGTTTATAGCAATGAGCTTTCTGACAAAATAGTCTCAAAAATAAATGTAAAATAAAGCATTTTTATAACTTCATGTTTTGTTTGTTTGCTTTTTGAAGAGAGGAAAACTGTGGTAGTTGGTCACTAGTCCAGAAAAAGAAGTTGATAAAAATTTTTTTCACCGATCTCACCAAGAAGTACGCCGTTCCTGTAAATTTCCTCTACCTCGTCCCAAACAACATCGACCTCTGAGTAGGAAATTCCTGTCGCGTTGACGTAATTTGGGGCACCATTAGGGGCTGAAAGTGAAATGTTTGTAAGTATACTATAGACATGTCATGCTAGAAAGGCTATTTTACGACGGTTAAAATTTTCTCTGTTTAAATAATAGCATGAACCAAAATGTATGTATTTTTCCCACGAAAGTCAAGATACCAACTTTGCTTTTTTATCAGTTATATCATCAAAGTGTTTTCTTCTGTTCTCTCAAAAATTATAACTTTTACTACCCATAATACCGTATCGATATCGGTTCTGGAAAGTTATGTATTTTGGACCAGTCATTTTGTCCAGCTGTATTACGTGAACTATTGACCAGCGTGACCTCACACCAGGATGGTTTTGGTTGTACAAACATGTCACGCATCCAGAAAGAAAAAAAAACATAGTCTACCAATCCATATTTGAACGCCAGTATGTTGTTGCCGTCTATCAATGAGCCACATCTCAATGCAATTTTTCTCAGAAGTCCGAACATGCGCTTCTTTCATTGAAAAACGGTGATTTAAAAATCATTATAATTGGTGACTTATTTCTTATTTGAATTAACTAGCGAGTTGTTGACCGACAGATGCAAAAATAACTTCATTTAAATAGTTGCTGTTATAAAATGAAGTTTACCAAGAAATGAGGCTCATTTGAATCTAACCCTTTGTTTTTCACCGGTCAGTTTTTTTTTTAAAATAAATATTATAATATGAGCAAAATTCAATTCATTTAAGTATTTGTTTGGTGGCAATTCGTTTACATGGCGTAGCTTTGGAGGTACAATTCTTAAGGGGTCCGAAACTAATGCACCAAATTATTAACACCTTATATGGAATTAATTTATTTAAAATGTCATCTTTCAAATGCGACTTTGGTCTTAAATTAAACGATGGAGACATTGGAAGACCGTTCCTGTAAACAACTAGATATTAAATAGAAACCTTAATGTGGCGTGATATGATTGATAAATCTAATTTTGACATGTTAAATGCAACCATCGCAGGAAGTATCTCCGACGCACGTTATCATGAAATCGGTCTCAAATCGAAGCTTCTGTTAATAGCGTGAAAAATAAGCTTATTGGTGAGGCTGGGATCTGCTGTAAAATATCGTCTGCAAGTTCTGTGCGTTTACATTCAAAGTGACATTAATGTCATTTTAAGGAGATATATATCGAAATATATCGAAAAAACAAACACATCTTACCGTCTGCCATAGATTTACAGTCAATTGTGACATCGGCCTCGTTTCCGCTGGCGGTATAACAGTGTAAGTTAGCCGTGTAAACAGCGAACTTCCCAACACCATACACAGTGTACGTCTGTACCAAGTAACCAGGGATCACCATTTGCTGAAAAAATTCAATTATGCGTTATTTTCTTAAAATTATCATGTTAATGAGTGTTACATGTATATGCCATTCCACTATTACTTTAAGGTACACGTGTCGCACTTACTTCTGTGTATTCAGCTGCCACATAGAAACATACCGAAAAAAATTATTGTATAAAATATCTGCCAACATGCTCAAAACATTAATTGTGTTAAAATCCCTTATTATGCATATGTTTGTTCAATTTCATAACTGTTCGAAAAAACGGACATGCAGCCATCTTGTATTTTGACGATAAGTTGTTTTTTTTTATACTTACTGGGAAATTGTTCACCTGTAGACCTTCTGACCGGAAGATGATACCTACAGGGTAATTGTTCACCTGTAGACCTTCTGACCGGAAGATGATACCTACAGGGTAATTGTTCACCTGTAGACCTTCTGACCGGAAGATGATACCTACAGGGTAATTGTTCACCTGAAGACCTTCTGACCGGAAGATGATACTTACAGGGTAATTGTTCACCTGAAGACCTTCTGACCGGAAGATGATACTTACTGGGAAATTGTTCACCTGAAGACCGTCTGACCGGAAGATGATACTTACTGGGAAATTGTTCACCTGAAGACCGTCTGACCGGAAGATGATACTTACTGGGAAATTGTTCACCTGAAGACCGTCTGACCGGAAGATGATACTTACTGGGAAATTGTTCACCTGAAGACCTTCTGACCGGAAGATGATACTTACAGGGAAATTGTTCACCTGTAGACCGTCTGACCGGAAGATGATACTTACAGGGAAATTGTTCACCTTCTGACCGGAAAATGATACTTACTGGAAAATTGCCCTCTTGTAGACCGTCTGAGTGGTAGATGATACTTACCGGGAAATTGTCGACCTGTAGACCATCTGACCGGGAGATGGTAAGGTGGTAGCCCTGCACTTGGCTTGTAGGGTCGTTCGGTCGGACCCAGGTAAAAACAAAAGTTGTTGAATTCGGGGACGAACATGCAAAATTCGAAGGCATAACTGAAAAAATATTGAACAATACGAATAAAAACCATGTTACTTTTATTTTTCATTCTTTTGTTTATTTTCCCTCTCTTACTATTGTAAAAACACAGACAAAAGCCCCTTTATTCAGAACATTACGCCAGGACCCTGAAGTGTTTTCATTGTCTGTGCCAATCAGAAACAAATCGATTGTGATGTCATTATATAGACAATGACGTTACGTCATGAATTAATAATGGCGTAACAAAATGGCTGCCTCTGTTCGATTTGCCCTCGAAATCTTTATTTATTAAATCTCGTTACATCCCCATCAGTTTCCAAGCAAAACGTAAAGTTAGTATCAACATATAGTGTAATATTGCGCGACCATGAATGAATTCATGAATGAATTTACAATAAAAATAAAGAAACGCAGAAAGGAGAAAGGAAAGACTTCGAATTATGACGGACATTATATCGAGGTTTTCTTGTATTTATGAGATTTCATTTATTTTATGTCTTTCTCGAAAATAAATATTCAAATAAATAAATAAAAATAAAAAACAGACACATTTACAGACGTCAGTAGAGATGTAAAATAAATTAGAAAATAAATAAATAAATAGATAAACATCAAATATTGAAATATTACTAACATGTCTATTGATTTCTTCCACCCACCCTTTTTATGTATTTTGAAGTGCTTTAACTTATTTGCGTACAAACGATCAATATATACTTACATTGTCCAAACGCCGGAAGAAAAAGTCCAAATATGATTAAAATTCCACAGGGACTCTCCATTTTTGTTGTGTAATCGATTACATAGAAAATACAGAATTTTAATTAAATTAATGAAGTTTCCTTTCAATGTTTCGTAACTTTCAATTCAACAGTCTACCCCATATTTCAACCTTAAACATACAGTGGAGTAATAGTACTTAATCAATATAGCTGGGTTCAAATCTGAACGCATTGTTATCTTAACAATATTTAAGCTTAATTTGATCTGTCATTCGGGGCTTTTTCAAATATTTAACACCATCGATGTGAAAAGTAATTAAAATGTCACAGAATTTTGGAACATTTTTTCTTCAGTTTTTCCATTAATATAGATGTTATTTTGTCAAGATTAAGCTAACATTGGCCGAGCTAAAAGGCAATGTTAGATGTACCATAATTCTATTTTGGCAAATAGGCAAAACCAAAGCTTAAAGAATTATTATATGTCCAACTGTATCAAGTATTATCAGCTTAATGTAAATTACAGATTTTAAAACATTTTTAAAAAAATGTGTAAAATGTCATTATTTTCGGTTGGTAACAGATTAAACCCGGGGACGCGTGTATTTTAGTCTTATTTCTTTTCATAGTGACAATATAGCACCGTTTTATAGATTTCAATACTAAATTGGGTATGACGTCATCCTTACCAGGCCTCTATTTCACGAATCTTCCTTAATTTAAGGAAATCTTGACTAATATAGAAAACTATCATGTAACTTCAGGAAAAAAAAAAACTTAGATTAAAAAGATTTTTAAAACTTTATTTTATACTTTTCTATAAGCAATTTTTAGTTACTGAAAATTCATTAAGTTAGGTTAAGGAAACTGCAGCCTGTAATCGTTGACCAGCGGTCAGTAGGTCACCGTATGACGTTTTTATGGATATGTAATTTTCATATACATTACGTACGTCAACATTGCTTTAAAGCAATAAAAGGGTAAATAATCAAATTATAAAATTAGGCAACTTCTTACATAGAAATTATATACATGTAGTTACACGTCTTTGAAAAGCTCACGAAGTCACTACCAAATAAACGAATTTGAATTCTGTATGGAAATTTGACAAACGGATGATCTCATAGAATAGGTGAATTTGAACCGAAAACATCCTTGGTCCATTCTGACAGTTTCTCAAAAAGAAAAATAAATAAAAAAGTTTTTTGATTGATATAAATAACATAATTTGAAATTGAAAATCGTATATGTGGTCAAATTAGTGTCTACTGCAATTGCACCAGTAAAACGTATGTTGATCTATCAGGTGTGCTGAATGTGTATAAATTCCTTAGAGAGGTGCGATGTTTTCTTGTCAAATTAAGGACTGACATCGATCTGTCAGCGTAAATACAAAAAACAAAAACAAAAAACAAAACAAAACAAAAAAAATGCATTCTGACATAAAACTGCACACACATGCACACGTGTTTTTGTCACTAATGACAAAATAAAAACTTTGTACTGGCATTTTGAAATATTCACAGTGGGCGTTTTCGGAGTACACTCTTTCTCAATGTAAGTACATTGTACCCGGCAGATTATCTTTGAACCTGTTTCCAATAATACGTCTAGTTCGTGTTATGCTAATCCGGTATACAGGACTAAATCTCATAATACCGAGCCTATAAGGTTAGGGTAATGTTGGACTTAGGGAGGTATGCTATACATGTATATTTATCTCCTTTTCAGAAGAATTCGACAATAAAGATGGCTCAGTAATATGTTACACACTAATAATTTTCCCATCTTTAAAACTTGATAAATAAACTATATAGAAACTGTATTTTCGTATGTCCAAAAACTTTTACTTCTGAAAAGTGTTGCATTTATTAACTCGAATGTCCTCGTGTCCGTTTCATTGTCATTGTGTATGTGTGTGTTCTGGGACTTATTCAAGTTGTATTTAACGTCGCATAATTGCAGTTAGTTATTTTCTCTTAATGATTAGGCATGGAAACATGAAATATATTAGGTTTTAGTTTAGTTGAAACATTTTTTTATTGACAAAACAATATGTCAAAGGGATTGGTCTGAAAGTTTTACCACCTTATGATCGACTTCTCCCATCAATATATATACCATATAGTACAACAACAATAGTCACATGGGGGCATCTATAGTATTAACCTAAGAGACAAAAAACGGATTAAATAGCCACTTGAGCTATTACATTGATATAAGAGAGACAGAGACAGAGAGAGAGAGAGAAGCGGGGGGGGGGGGGGGGGGGGGGGGTATATGCATACTGTAAAATCACATTTTTTCGTGGGTGTTCAAAAGTCGTGGTTCTTTAAAATGTTCGTTTGCGTGGATAAATTTTGCTCACGAAATTCACAAGTAATATTTTAATCCATGTCAATTTGATCTGTTTATCATTTCCTCAAACATATGAAAATCGTGGATAATGAGTAAGAACGGAAATAAAAACACCAAGACAATGACAAACCTGATATTTATAAGCTATTTATAACGGAGGATACAATATCTCCTTGATTAATGAGAGGATGCTAAAACCTAGACCAACGAGAGGATGTTAAAACCTAGATCAATGAGGATGTTAAAACCTAGATTAATGAGAGGATGTTAAAACCTAGATTAATGAGGGGTGTTAAAACCTAGATCAACGAGAGGATGTTAAAACCTAGACCAATGAGAGGATGTTAGCGTCTGGATTGATGGAGGATACAACCTCTCCTCCATTAATGACAGGATGTTAAGATCTGAATCATATCCACAACTTGTCACTATGACTGTGATTATGTCGAGAATTTCTATCTGTCAATCATTTTAACTGTCAAACATCCTTTACTAGTGGTGGACGTTTGTGATTTTGTAACGGCAAGGCAATTGTAGAATTTCTAGGCTAAGTGATTTAGTGCAGCAGATGGTGTTGTTTGAGGTTCGGACAGGGCTCAAGTTAAAAATGGTCTTCCTTGTCAACTGTGTTACAATGTCTAAATATTGGTAAATCAACACAAGGCATCATACAGATATATATAATGAAAGTTTTCAGATTTGAGGTAAATGTTGTGATTGTACCTGAATTTGATACTAGTACATATCTATTATGTACATCTAGAGTGTATATTTATATATTGATTGAGTGGTTGTATCTGTTGAAGATTTATAACTAACCCTCTCATTTCAGATCACTTTGGATTAATCCTTTAATTCCTTAAACAGTGTATGTGTCTGACCCCTGCGTGATCACTGGGTCAGTAACTGACCTGTATACACCATTCACACTGGACACCGGTCAAGCTTTAAGGTACTTAGAGTCTGGTTGCTCAACAGCTTGAAGTTCATGCCAAAATAAATTAAGATATAAAAATATCCGTACCTCTATTATAGTGAAGTGGTCAGCTGAAGAGATTGTAAAATTAATAAGTGTGAGACACCTATTAAATAAAATATCTAGGTTTTGTTCAGCACGAGACATTCTTGTCAAACACTTAAGTGAACATACATGAAATTTCTTTCTTATTCTCCAATGAATTGATCACAGGACTACAACCATGAGTTAAATCATTTTTACAAGTTTCTTAATTTTCTTTTAAACTTATCTGATCATATTTTTTAAGAAATTCTTTCAGAAACTAATTGAAGGAAGCATATAACAAAAGCCAAATTGAGTTTGTGTTGACAGCATTTATCCAATATAATGATAGATATTGATTGTGTCACCCAATCAGCAGCCAGCGAAATGTGTCACTCTGTCACTCTGTATCAGTTGGTGGCTACTCACTGAAACATGCAGGAAGCCACATTTGGATACACAGAAGACCATGAAAGACCAGAATCCTTCCATCAGAAAAAAAGCTTTATTTATATAGAAAACAGATAAATGTTTATCCGTTTTCAAATTTTAAAAATCCTGATATATCATAATCAAGAGTCTCAATGTATTACTGCCTTAAGCTTTTACATCAACAACATTCAAAGTCGCGGTTTAGGAGAAGTTATTTGAACATTTAAAGAATTTAATTCATGACATTGGTTTGTTTCTTCCCAAACATTTAGTCAGGATTCATCACAGGAACCTATAAACAAAAACCTTGATTCTTGACCTTTTGGTTGAAAGTTATTTAAAGACTTTAACATCTTTGAACCCTGTTTGTCCTGGAATAACGGTCAATGTCATTTTTTTCAGTACACCTTGTTTGGATTTATCCCAGGAGTCTACCAATCAATTATTATGACTTTAGACATTTTAGAAGTAGTCTCAATTGAAGGTCTGAATATATCCGACCCTTGTGAAGTTGAATATGGGTCAAGGTTATTTCTTTTTTTTTAAACTGTATTGAGCTTCATCCAGGAGGTACACCAGCCATATATCATGACTCTAGACCTTTTGATTAATCAGAAGTTGTTTGAAGATTTTAACAAATTTAGCTCCTAGGGTCATTTCTTTTCACAAACTTTGTAAGGATTAATCTCAAAAAACCTATTATTTCAGTGGCAACTTGAAGGTTTCAACCTATTTGACCCCTGTGACCTTGAATATAAGTCATTATCCATGGAATCATGGAGAAAAATATCATGATTCTGGGCAATGTTCATTGAGCAGAAGTTGTATAAAGTTAAATATATGGCAAAAACACCACACCACAGCATAAACATTCTTTGGGCCAGGTGAGATAGAAATGAATCTTTAAAGATTTTATAAAAACAGCTGTGGACTATTTTTCAGATTTTCAAGGAAACATTAAAAGTTTACAACACAGGGAATTGGATTACTGTTCTGGTTAAGGGTGGTCAGGTGGTGCAGTGGTAATACATTCACTTTCCACCTAGTCGACTGAATTCTCAGAACATAAGTGAAAAGCTACAAGGGCACCTGCCTGACCACATTTGTTTTTTCCCGGGTACTCGGGATTCCTCCCATAATAAGACCCCTCGTGCACTTACATTTTGGCCAACAAGAATGACAAGATGAAATAACTTTTTTCGCAATTGTTGTAAAATATATCAAGTTTATATTCTATAATAAGTATTTTTTATAAATTTCTGCTTCTCCTTTGAACACATCCTGGATCTTACGGGCTCCACTCCTCTCTGAGGACGGGTATCTCCACAAAATTGTATAAAGTAAAGAAAAAGGCTAATTTGTAAGTACTAAAAGGTTAACATTATCAAAATGAAATCATCTTAAGAGAGTTTAACAGTTAGCATCTCCTATGGATCAAGTCAAATGCCTCTGCGGCCTTACACTCAAATGATGCAGCTAAACGGAGCAGAATAAGACTATCTGCCAGGTTAACAATAGCATTTAATGAACCTTCACAAAAGAGGACATAGAAAAAGGAACATTACTGTTGATGTTCTCTGTATTTACATATCAGGATGTAGGTTCTCTTCCACTTCCATATAAGTTTTTTTTTCAATTTTCACTATAGTTGAAATCCTATTACTTCCTTAAGTGACTTATATCTTACTCAACTATAAACAAAGCAGAAAAGAAAACAAAATATTTTATCTTTTTCTATAATTTTAATATTCTTATTTTAAACAATATCACACGTTCATCAGTTTCATCAACTTCAAAAACTATGAACACCTAAAATTGTCAATAATAATCAGCTGTTGAATGTATACACAAAAACATTGAACCAACAGCTAATCTTACAAAAAAAAAAAAAAAAAAATCTTGAAAGACCAGGCTGTATAAAGGTTGAATTGTACTCAGATCTCTATTAGCAAAACAGGACCTGTATTTAAATTTCAATTTTACCTCAAAATCTTTGTTTTCCTTAGAGATTTGACTGGTCTATATGTCCTCAAGATATTAAATCATAAATGTATACAATTTCATTTCTAAGCAGAACATTAATCATCCTTGATAGCAGAAGATGTATTCTGCCTTTTCGTGGGGCGGGGTTATTTTTTATGAGCAGGTATTAATTAATGTGTCATTTGCTTGTGAGAGAAATGTTATACAAATTCGTAAGAAAATGAAATAATTTTCGCCTGCAAAGTAATGATATAATCATCAATACCTGCTATAAAGGGCAGACAACTCTGTATTGCGAAAAGACAGAATACATCTCGTCTTCATTTTCCTCTCATACTTAGTTTGAGGTATCTCATGCTCTTGCAGAAATGTTTAGGCAAGTTGCTCGTTACAAAGAGATTACGTCCATTAAGAAATTCAGGTATGAGGATGGACATGGCATGTAGATGCAAGGGTATGTAGCGAACTTTACTTTGTTGTACTCCAAGTCTCTTAAGTGTCCTATTGTCCAGTTTCTTAAAAAGAAAAAACAAAAAATTCATTTGAAATTCATCAATTTTTAAACACAGGATGAAACTTACAATTTTTTCAACAACAAGAAAAAGAAGGTTGATTTTTGTTTTTATCATAGCTCTCTGAAAAACCAAAATTCAATAAAGATGAAATTTTCCCTTCTAATGATGATTTTCAACAAAGAACACTGTACTCTTTTGAAATAATTCTTTTATTTGGTTTTCCTTTTTAGTACAAATACTTATATTAACATTTGTGAGACAATGCTTCTATATAACAAACAGAGTCCCAGAAAACAACTTAATTGGACACAAAATTTCAGCAAAGGGCAAACAGAGTTTTAACGAAGGGCAATAACTCTGTAATTAAGGGGTTGCAGGTCCTGAAACTGGAACACTGCACACCCTTTTTGTATGACAAAATGTATACACCAAGTTTCATTGTCCAAGGTAAAATAAAAAGAAAGTTATGCTCTGGACAGAAAAGTTTTAACAATGGCTAATAATTAAGGGGTTAAGTGCCCTGACTATGTTTCTCTGTACTTCATCTTAGTATGACAAAGGGCCCGACTATGTTACTCTGTACTTCATCTTAGTATGACAAAGTTTCATTACAGCTTGAATGTAAGAAAAGTTATGCAACAGACATGAAAGGACAGATGGATAGTTGGATAGAGTGGCAACTATATGCTCCCAAAAATCTTTCCAGGGATTTTAAACAAGGGTGGTCCTTAGATGCCATCCAGCACATGACTATCATAATGAATTATGAATATTATGAGAGCACTGCAAACAATTACAAAATACACCCATCTGATCCTATCCTACTTGTTTGGTATTCATAAACATGGTACTAAGTGTCATGTTTGAATATGTAAAAATTCATTTAACCATGACTGCTGAAGGAAAATCACATGGAAATGTTCCCTAAAACGGTGAAATCCAAACCATGTAAAAGAAAAATAGAAATTACTTTCACAAATTACATCTTTATAAATTATATCAATTTTGTCATTCCAACAGAAACAAAACGTGAAAAAAATCATGAATAGAAATCCTTTTCATCAATTGAATCTGTTTCGTAATTGATGGATCCCACAAGAACATTCATGTCAAAACTTAGGGTCCTTAAACCTTACTTAACTGAACCAAGGACCACTAAGAAACTTACAACAAAACCTACACAAGTAAATTCCGACAGCTTTCAAACATTTTAAAAAATAAATTTTTTCATCCAAATTGAACACATATCATTAATTTTAGACTCAAAAGTTTAGGTCATAACACATTACCTGACTAGTAGACCAGTGAAGCAACCTACACCGAAACTTATGCTGTAAAAAGTGAACTCCCACGCATTAAAGACAGGAAAAAATAGAAATAATTTTCACAAAATGAATCTATGCCATTATTACCAGACCCAACAAAACTAGGACAATGACCAATTAGTTGACTGAATTGTAGACCACTGAAGAAACCGGCACCAAAACTGAAACCAATTGTAAAGGGACAGACAGATGATCTGACACACAGATGTGGATAGTATACCATGATTCACAATAAGTAGCGCCTGATGTGATGGCTGCATGCAAAGCTATGGTATTCATACCAATCATAAACGCCATCAGAAGACAATTCAAAGCTTTATCAATCAGCAAACATTTGTGTATTATGGTCATATACCTAGCAGAACATGAACACATAATGTTTTTATGTAACATTCATTGTGATTGGTTGGCTAATGAAGTTCTCCACCAATCAATCTCTTTGTTACTTATAGCTCTGTTTAAGTACTTCATTTTGTATTAAGACTTACCTGTGGAGCAAACTTGAGGAGGTTTGAGTACTTGTGATCTCCTAAGATGGGCGTATTTAATCCAAATGACAGGTGAGCACGGAGCTGATGTCGTACCCCTGTTGTACAGAAATTGACAAACATGTTCAAACGTTTCTCTCAGAATATCAAACCAAACATATTGTTTCATTAAAATGCAAACTTCAGACAAGAAAATTGCCTGAAGTATTTGGCAACACTTCATTATTACTTCTGTGGTTTTACGATTTTACCCCGCATATCACCATCCACCAACCTTTGTAATAGAAAAGTGTTGAATCACTCAACTAGATCAAAATTATTTACATTTTTTTTTGTCTGAGCTGTCAATCATACTGTTGAGATATCAGTTATGAATGAATAAAACACCCGTATAGGTTACGAGTGACTTATTCGGAGTAAACACAATAAAAAAATGCTTTGCATGAAATGCATATTGTGGTTGTTGATTTTGTAATTTGGGAGTCATTGCGATGCCAAAGAAAGCACTTTGCTAAAATCTTTCAGCCAACAGGCAATTGACAACTTAATCAACTTTTTTTTTAGAATTCATTAAAAACATAAATGTTTGTGATAGCTGATTTCCCTATTTACATTGTCAATAATGATGATGTTAAAATTAACTTCCCCGCAAACATTTTTTGAAAATGTCAGAAAAGTATATATTAGATGATCAAAGAAGTAACCGCACCAGCACAGACAAGTGAAATGTCAAATTTTTTGAGGCAACCTGCCCCTTTATCAAGTCACAAATATTACATAAATTACATCATATACATATAACATAAAACAAATACAAAGTTATAAATCAAAATTGAGAGTGGTGGTGTAAATTAAGGTGTCTCGATAATCCCTTCGGCCGATGGATGCTGAATATATTATAAGTATATATTATAAACTAGTATACATGGATACAAACATTAAGACCTGCGTGAAATTCAATCCCTAAGACCTAGCCTTAGGCAATGGTGAAATATTGGCCCTATGATCTTACTCTATAAAACAGCTAGTTATTTTACACAGACACAATGGTATTTTACAAACTTTGCGAAACTTTGGTAGCAAGAAATTTCTTAAAGTATGATGGAACTCACCTGTAAGTGGGAGACACTCGACAATGGCTGTGTTCTCATGACTAGCTTTAACCTTGTAATATGTCTCGGCCTTAAACGTTTTTACAGATGACTTCGTGGCAATCCTCCCATCAGGCAAAAAATTCAGCTTAAGGGCCATCTGCGAAGATATTTAAAACAATTATTAATTGTAACAGGACCCAATGTCCTTTAAACTACCCCTAAGTGATACAAGTACTTCAACACAGGCAAGGAAAGTCTGCAGAATACCCTTAATTTTCAAAAATAAACATCACACTGGCCAGGAACCCTGATATACATCTATAAAAGTGCCAAATCAGAAAAAGGCACTTGTTTGCACATCTAGAGGCCATCAGTATTAATCCCTGTAAGTGTAGTGAAGATCTGACATGTGTTTTTAAGAATAGTTGGAAACCTTTAAAGCAGAAAGCCAAATAAAGAAGAAAAAAGGAAGAAGAAGAAGATGATGAAGAAGAAAAAGTAGAAGAAGAAGAAGGAGGAGGAGGAGGAGGAGGAGGAGGAGGAGAGGAAAAAGAAGAAAAAAAACGAGAAGAACCTAGGTTTAACCAATAAATTAACAACTAAATTATCCAATTTGAAGCTAAAAACATTTCCTACCCCAAAAGTGTTATACAGTAAACATAACTACCAGTTAATTACAATTTTAGATTTGTGTCTATGTCTGTGAGAACAATAAAAAATGTGCCTACAATTATAAGATCAAAGATTCTAAGTATGAGTCAGTGGGTAGAACAAGAGGCCCATGGGCCTTAACAATCATCTGAATACAAAACTTTCAGCAGGGAGAAAGGTTATTTCTTCTACTTTGAATGAAATCTTACTAAGAAGCTGTTTTCCATGTTGCAGATGGTAGTTGAGGTGAGGAGTTGGCAACTGTTATAAGTGTTACCTATTTTTTGAAGTGCTGACCAACTGGTGAAATTTGAGAAGTTTGAAATAGGTGTTGCACAGGAAAACCATGATTATGCAATCATGTTACAAAATGGCCTCCCTGTCTGCCATATCAATGTTTTGACAAGTTCAAAAAATAACAACACTTTGTTGGCTACATTTCCTTAACATTGCCATCAATTTATAGCTCAATGGCACCAGTGGAGCTGGAGAAGAAGTTCAAAATATGTTTTAACTAGAAAATGTCTGTAAGACATGAATGCCCCCCCCCCCCCCCACCCCATGTGAAATAATAGTGAAAGGTACGAATGAAGTTGTTAGGTGGTATATACTGATTTGGGATGCGATGCAACGGGACGGGACGGGACGGACGGACATGGGCAACGCTATATGCCCCCGGCCATAAATGGCGGGGGCATAAAAAGATGGTGGCCATCTTGGATTTCAGATCACCCTGAGAAATAACAACTCATGGTCAGGACCATCTCAGGATCATTTCATGCAAGTTTGAGCCCAATCCCACTGGTGGAACTTAAGAAGAAGTTTAAAATGTCAAAAGTTTATGCACTGCAGATGACAACGGACAAAGCACAATGTCTGATGACCTAACAAAACATTATATTTTTGAAAGTGTTAGTTATGTTAGTTTAGTTATGATGAAAATTCATAATTTTCCATTTTTAAGCAATGAGTTTAATAAATGCTTTAAATTAAGTTTGATATCATTTTGCATACTTAGATAAATCATGGGGTACACTTTTCGAATTAAGATGTGAAGTCTTTTGTTTAAAATGGTGAAAGTAGCAAACACTTACCATATAACGACTGATAAAGACTGACAAATTTTATAATCACTTGAAAACCATTTAAAGAAAATATAACTTAAAATCTGACAGAAATTCGTCTGATGATATTTTTGTTCTAGGTCAAATGACCTTAGGAAATATATTCTTTGTTTTAGGTACAATTCAAGTACTGTACAGTTTAATTTTACAAGACTAATATAGGCAGGCAAATTCACAGGTATTAAATTTTGCATATGTATTTGAAGTGATGTTCATGTATACAGGTATTACTGCGATTTTCTGAGATTTTCCATCCACCGTAAAAATATTTTCTGGGTATCTAATTTTACACTATTTTGATTGATCGTAGATATACCGAAATCAAATCCCCGCAAATATTATCAACTATACAGTATCACTTCAGTACAATGTATAAACAACAAACAATCAACAAAAATTTTTTTTTATAAATATATAAAAATTTGGTGGTACATGTACTCTAGAATGAAAATAAACATTTTACAATATAGCTAAGCCTTATTAATTAGGAAACCCTCATTGATGGCAAAAATCTTATAAATCGTAAGATTTCTGGCAAGTTCAGTTAATTGAATGGTCAAATAGAGTAATTTCCCTTGATAATGTTTAGACTACTGACCCTGCTCTTGCCGTCAACAGTTCCTTCCATCATCGGGATATCAATGATACCTGAAGACAGAAAAAAGACAACATTATAAACAAGATTAAGTATAAAGACAAGGTCATGTAAAATGTCAAGGTCATGTCAAAAGGTCATGGTCATGTCAAAGGTCAACATTGTGTATAAGGTAAACATAGGATTTTTTAAAAAAATGCTTTTAACCGCAAACCACCTCCAGTGGGACCAGGAATATCTGTCTGGTTCTATAAACAATGGACTCACCCTCTGTTGGGTTAGGAACCCCTATAATGATGGTTTGGTTCTATAACAATGGACTCACCCTCTGTTGGATTAGGAATCCCTTTAGTGATGACCCTGTTCTATAAACAATGGACTCACCTTCTGTTGGGTTAGGAACCCCTATAATGATGGTTTGGTTCTATAACAATGGACTCACCCTCTGTTGGATTAGGAATCCCTTTAGTGATGGCCCTGTTCTATAACAATGGACTCACCTTCTGTTGGATTAGGAATCCCTTTAGTGATGACCCTGTTCTATAAACAATGGACTCACCTTCTGTTGGGTTAGGAACCCCTATAATGATGGTTTGGTTCTATAACAATGGACTCACCCTCTGTTGGATTAGGAATCCCTTTAGTGATGGCCCTGTTCTATAACAATGGACTCACCTCCTGTTGAATTAGGAATCCCTATAGTGATGGTTTGGTTCTATAACAATGGACTCACCTTCTGTTGGATTAGGAATCCCTGTAATGATGATTTGGTTCTATAAACAATGGACTCACCCTCTGATGGACTAGGAATCCCTATAATGATGACCCTGTTCTATAACAATGGACTCACCGTCTGTTGGATTAGGAATCCCTATAATGATGACCCAGTTCTATAACAATGGACTCACCCTCTGTTGGATTAGCAATCCCTATAATGATGACCCTGTTCTATAAACAATGGACTCACCCTCTGTTGGATTAGGAATCCCTTTAGTGATGGCCCAGTACTTTTTTACCACTTTCTGTTCCCGGAAGGCTTGAGATAATTTTGCTGCCATTTCCTGAGTTCTAATAAAGTATGATAATCAGTTTTGATAAATGTCTGATCTGAAATTCGTATGATGACAGGAGAAAATAATTATGTTAACTTCTAGAATATTATTGTGAAAAACCTGTCTCTAAAATCATTAAACGCTGTATAACTGCCGTTGTGTTAACTTCATCATCAGTACAAAGATAAATTTTTGTTATCTGTTGTCATGCTTTCTAGATGGTGTCAACATTTGCTGCAATTCACATTTCACTACTCATTGCCAAAGGAAATTCCAAAATGTGTCTGACCAAAACTCTCTTTGGTAGACATCTATGACAAATGATGACGAAAGTCTTCAAAAATAGTTTCCAGGCCACAAATCTTCAATTAAGTCAGCTACATAGCATAAACTTCACTGAAAATATTAAACATTTTCTCCCAAAAATAGTTCATTAGCCTTTCTTTGACCTTAAAAACTTTTTCTATCACACAATAATTAAAAAATTAAAAAAATTCAGCTATTCATGTTTCTCACTCTTGTTGGCCCAAATAAAAGCATGTCAAGGGTCTTACTGTGAAAAAGAAAGTGAAAGTCAGATATTTAAAAACCTAGGAAAAACCCATGTGGTTGTGAAGGGGGAAAACTATGCCTTTTCATGCCTAATTAGGGAATCAAACCTTGGTTACCAAAGTTAAAGCTTGTATGCTGTTGTTACCCCAATCTTCCATATTTAGATTACCTACCTGGCAAGAAGCATTACCCCAGTGGTGTCCTTGTCCAGTCTGTGTACCATGTATAGACTGTCCGCTTTGTTGGGTAGTTTTTGACCAATTTCCTCTTGAAGTTGTGCAACACTTATGGCTACACCTGGGCCTCCTAAAGGAAAATATTCAGACGGAGCAATAACTTATTTCTCCACTTGAGAAATATAAAAAAGTACCATAAGAAAATAAACACGAGTTTTCTTTTATTGAAAAGGTTGTTTTGTTAATTTTACAATTTGTCATGGAAAATTTTGATTCAAACAGGATGCATCTGACTTTGACATTTTACTCTCAAACTTACCATGGGAAGGCAGTCCATAGGGTTTATATATGGCCACAATGTCATCTACATATAAACAAAACAGAAATAATTGAATTGTTGTAAACAGATCAACAGAAAAATATTTACACAATTTTATCAAATGTTTTGTGTTTCAACATCATTCATATGCACTTATGTACGTTGTTTAAAATATGAGGAGCTTTAGATTTATATTAACGGAGAGCTGTTATGGAGGATATACCACATTTATAAGACAATAACTCTAATATTTACATGTATTGCTGTACAGTAATGTTAACTTGCTGTCCTGTAATAAGCCCACCCTATGACTTTGAGTAAGAAGCAATGTATTACCTCCCTGAGCTTAGTAAAGGATAGATGTATCACAACAGGCTCTCAGTCCAGGCTCATCAATCTAAGTCAACTGACATTGCCCTTACTTAATATCATATATATATATATACAACTGTATATATATTTTTTTTTTTTCCTCAAACTGTAACTGAATTTCTGAGGTCTGCTTGCTCCTAGCCAGTGCTTTGAAAAATTTCCTATCATCTTAGTATCAAATGCAGATAACAAATATTTCTGAACTCTGTGATCATTTGGAAATATTTTAACAAAAGGACACTTGGACAGAATAGAATTTTGGCCTTACATTACCTAAAATAATTTTTTTATGTGCCTGATAGTTAGGTTTAAATTGGAACTTCCCACTAATAACTGCAGTGATTCTTGTGTCCGTTGACCATTTGTGGTTTGATTTCCAACTTACCACTGTCATACAAGATGTGTCTGGTGATCATATTTACAATCTCAACAGTTGTCATTTTATGGAGTTGAGGAACTACAGTTTTCATAACCTTCATTCCTTTGCTGTCACGAAGAGGGGCCCCTCCTGAAAAAAAGGATATCATCAAAATATGATAAATCATAAATGTATAATTAAATGTATTTTGCTTCCATTTTGAAATACCTGATACCAAGATCGTTTTCCTATTCAGCCTAAGATGGAGACTGGAGGTGCATGGTTCGACGATTCTTGAGAAGCGATAACAAGAATTGTTTACCGACAGATGACAGACCATGGGCCATGGACGAAAGGTGATCTGAATAGCCTAAAATCTAATAACATTGTGCTAAAAAGATGATTTCTTTTTTCACATCAGATTAACTTTCGAGATTTTTTAATTGATAAGAAATTCAAAAAAACTTGATGAAAATGCTATAAATTTTTAACTTGAATGACACATTTTTCAAAGAAATGAAGATAAGGGAACATCATTAGCCTTGAGGGTTTGTGCAGGTCTAGATGTGCCTGTCATGCATATATTACTACACATGCACTTAATATACATTTTGACCTTGCTATAATGATCTTACAGTGTCTTAATTTTGTGAAGACTTCATCATCTTAGTTACTTATTAAGACATTAATTAATATCTATTAATTAAACATTAACTCTATACATCAGAAAAGACAACAAATAAAAAGTTTATCAATAAAGTCTGGTAAGATTCTATGATAAATGTATTTTTCCCCAGACTTTTATACAATTTTATTTGCATGCTTTTTTTTTTCTTTTTTTTTTTCAAAAAATGTAATTACTTTTAATCATTTCAAAATATACTTGAAAACCAATTACCACTGAAAGATTGAACAGATGATAAAAAAAGTTTACCTTCTAGATTAATTCCTTGACTGCCTCGTAGCTTCTGCACTGTGCCATAAGCTGAGCTCGACAAATTTTCAGTCTCATTCTCCTTCCCTGTGGACAGTGCACGTTTTCTTTTTATTAAGCTATCTCTTTCAAGGTCATCCATAACTTGAAATTGAAAAAGACGATCACTGCGCTTATCCATGTCAGTTCTATTAAGTTCTTTTTCCCTTTTTTTAGATTTTTTTCCTTTACCAGAATGTTTTACATCTCTTACAGACGCTTTATTTTCAGGCCCTTCATGGTCTGGAGTCAGCAAATCAATTGGTTTCCTTTCAGGAGTAGATTCAGCTTCCTTGAAATATTTTTCATCTATAAAGTTCAAATCTGATTCTTGATCATTCCAAAATTCGCTATTTATGGATGTTTTCAAATCATCATCAGATAAGTGCTCGCCAAAGAACTGTTGATCAATAAAATTAATATCGCTAGATCTTGTTTTTGTACTGCCTCCTTCAGTTTCCAAGTTTTGAATCTTTGGAGTTGCACTCTCAGATACCTGATCGGGGTTTGAAATTGCAGTCTCTTGGTAGGAAGATAATACTTCACTGTCAAAATTTTCAGTTTTTATCTTCTCAGGCTTTGCTCTGGGGTTTTCTTTGGTTTTCATCGTTTTTGACTTTGAAGTTGGATGCAGCTTTTCTGTATGATCTTTCGGATAAGTATGAGAAACTGTTTCTACACTAGAAGATATAATTTCTTGATCGGAAAATGTTCTGTTCTTTTCCGAAGATATTTCTTTCTTTGCATGAGAAAACAAGAAATCTGGTTCTAGTTCTGGTATAACTTCATTAGGATGATTTCCTTGTGACGATTCAAAGTTTAATAACCCGGCTGATTTTTCAGCTTTTGTTAATACTGTATCTTGTTGAAAATACTGTTGATCTATGAAGTTCAAATCACAGCTATCACTATCTTTAACTTTGGTGCTAATTTCCTCATTTGAAACAAGATCTCCTTGAAAATACTGTTGATCTATAAAGTTCAAATCACCATTATTTCTATCAGAACTTTCATCGTTAGCTTCATTTGAAACTGTCAATTTTTCATCACCATATTCAACCGTAGTAGGTGTAGCAGTATGATATGGTGATGTCTTTCCTTCCACATCCTGATCAGTTTCAACATTGTCCATCGCTCCTGATTTACTCACCTGAAGGGAATCAACTTTTCCATTCCCTGCTTTACGTGTCCTTGATCTAGATCTCTTTGAAACTAAATCTTGCGCCACAGAAGGCTCACGATATTTCGAATCACTTTTGAACTGATCTAAAAGAGAAGCATAATAACTTTCTTCCGAATACGATGTTTCTCTTCCGTCGTTAATACGTGCCATAGTATTCAAAATATCTTTTTTCACACCAACTTGATTTAAGTCATGAAATTTCATCCTCGCATCTTTTTGATGTTTTAAATCTGTCACGTTATCGAAACGCATCCTTCCAAACCGCAAGTTTACAAATTGCATGTTGTATGTTTCATTTTCGCTTAATCTACCTGCCTGATATTTTTCGAATAATTCCTTTTCAGAGAGAGATGATGATCGAGGTACAGACCACCTGTCTTCTGGAATCGACACACCAAAATAGTCGTCTTCGTCTGCCACACGGGACTGGAATGTTGCTTCTTTGTCTTTATGATCAATGTCGTCTCTTTCTGCTATACTTGAACAAAGTCTTCCTACAAGATGATAATGACAACATGATTTCTTTTGTACCGATGAAAACAACTGTCGACGAAGAACACTCACGTTGCACATGGAGGCTGCCATCTTTACTTGAATGTCACATGGCTATTTTCTAAATTTGGACACGGAAAAATAGATCTTCCGGGTCTTAAGAGAAATAATCGGCTGGAGGGTCTATGTCACATGTCAATGTAATTTTTATCGTCAAATATTGTTTTAATACAATATCAGCTTCCTGCATGGTAGATCAATATCTCTGCAAATATTAGAAGTTGTGTATAAGTGGACATGGAAGAGTCTGACAGTAGACTTTTAAATTTTAATTACCACGGTATTTGCGATATTTTGGTCATCAAGAAAATTGAGAAAGTGCAAAAAAGAGATTTTCAAATTGTTTTTAATGATTGCAATGCTGATCTTCAAAAATCTACATGAAGTTTTTGTTCTTTTTATAATATTAATCATGGATTTATATAAAGTCTAATTTTTTTAAAAAATGAACATCCAGGTAGAGAAAAAGTTCTATCAGGTAAGAGGCATCCCGCAAATGGAACGGCCTTCCGAATTACCTGCGAAAGGTAGAAATCATTAAGAGTTTTGTATGTTGCTCCGTATGTAGGGTAGGGCTGTAAGATTGTGATGTATTCTTTCCCTCATCCTGTGGTGTAAGAGTTTGTTTAGCTTTTTGATGATTTTTTCAGTACTTTGTAATGTGTAGTTTTTAAATTGTTCATGTTGCTTTTACTAGAGCTTTGTGACGTTTACTTTTATTTTACGTTTTCAGTGTTTTGTGATGTTTACTTTATTTGACGTTTTCAGTGTTTTGTGATGTTTACTTTATTTTGTGTTTTCAGCGTTTTGTGATGTTTACTTTATTTGACGTTTTCAGTGTTTTGTGATGTTTACTTTATTTTACGTTTTCAGTGTTTTGTGATGTTTACTTTTATTTTGCGGTTTCAGTGTTTTGTGATGTTTACTTTATTTCACGTTTTCAGTGTTTTGTGATGTTTACTTTATTTTGTGTTTTCAGTGTTTTGTGACGTTTACTTTATTTGACGTTTTCAGCGTTTTGTGATGTTTACTTTATTTTACGTTTTCAGCGTTTTGTGATGTTTACCTTATGTCACGTTTTCAGTGTTTCTTGTAAACTTTATTTCATTTCATTTTTTCTCTTTACAATGTGTTTTAACAATTGTTGATGTTTACTTATATTAATCCATCTCCAGCTTATGTAATGTTTACTTTATTTTACGTTTTAAATGTTTTTGTGATGTTTACTTTATTTTACGTTTTAAATGTTTTTGTGATGTTTACTTTATTTTGTGTTTTCAGTGTTTTGTGATGTTTACTTTATTTTGTGTTTTCAGTGTTTTGTGATGTTTACTTCATTTTACGTTTTCAGTGTTTTGTGATGTTTACTTTTATTTTGTGTTTTCAGTGTTTTGTGATGTTTACTTTATTTCACGTTTTCAGTGTTTTGTGATGTTTACTTTATTTGACGTTTTCAGTGTTTTGTGATGTTTACTTTATTTGACTTTTTCAGTGTTTTGTGATGTTTACTTTATTTTACGTTTTCAGTGTTTTGTGATGTTTACTTTATTTTACGTTTTAAATGTTTTTGTGATGTTTATTTCACGTTTTCAGTGTTTTGTGATGTTTACTTTATTTTACGTTTTAAATGTTTTTGTGATGTTTACTTTATTTTACGTTTTAAATGTTTTTGTGATGTTTACTTTATTTTGTGTTTTCAGTGTTTTGTGATGTTTACTTTATTTTGTGTTTTCAGTGTTTTGTGATGTTTACTTCATTTTACGTTTTCAGTGTTTTGTGGTGTTTATTTTACGTTTTCAGTGTTTTGTGATGATTACTTTATTTTGTGTTTTCAGTGTTTTGTGATGTTTACTTTATTTTACGTTTTCAGTGTTTTGTGATGTTTATTTTACGTTTTCGGTGTTTTGTGATGTTTACTTTATTTGACTTTTTCAGTGTTTTGTGATGTTTACTTTATGTTTTCATGTTGTGATGTTTACTTTATTTTACGTTTTAGTGTTTTGTGATGTTTACTTTATTTTACGTTTTCAGTGTTTTGTGATGTTTACTTTTATTTTGTGTTTTCAGTGTTTTGTGATGTTTACTTTATTTTACGTTTTCAGTGTTTTGTGATGTTTACTTTATTTTACGTTTTCAGTGTTTTGTGATGTTTACTTTATTTCACGTTTTCAGTGTTTTTGTGATGTTTACTTTATTTCACGTTTTCAGTGTTTTGTGATGTTTACTTTATTTTGTGTTTTCAGTGTTTTGTGATGTTTACTTTATTTTACGTTTTCAGTGTTTTGTGATGTTTACTTTATTTGACTTTTTCAGTGTTTTGTGATGTTTACGTTTTCAGTGTTTTGTGATGTTTACTTTATTTGACTTTTTCAGTGTTTTGTGATGTTTACTTTATTTTACGTTTTCAGTGTTTTGTGATGTTTACTTTATTTTACGTTTTCAGTGTTTTGTGATGTTTACTTTATGTCACATTTTCAGTACTTTGTGATGTTTAATTTATTTGAGGTTTTCAATGTTTTTGTGATGTTTACTTTATTTTATGTTTTCAGTGTTTTGTGATGTTTACTTTATTTTGTGTTTTCAGTGTTTTGTGATGTTTACTTTATTTTACGTTTTCAGTGTTTTGTGATGTTTACTTTATTTTACGTTTTAAATGTTTTTGTGATGTTTATTTTACGTTTTCAGTGTTTTGTGATGTTTACTTTATTTGACTTTTTCAGTGTTTTGTGATGTTTACTTTATTTTACGTTTTCAGTGTTTTGTGATGTTTACTTTATTTCACGTTTTCAGTGTTTTGTGATGTTTACTTTATTTTACGTTTTCAGTGTTTTGTGATGTTTACTTTATTTTACGTTTTCAGTGTTTTGTGATGTTTACTTTATTTTACGTTTTCAGTGTTTTGTGATGTTTACTTTATTTTACGTTTTAGTGTTTTGTGATGTTTACTTTATTTTACGTTTTCAGTGTTTTGTGATGTTTACTTTATTTTATGTTTTCAGTGTTTGTGATGTTTATTTTGTGTTTTCAGTGTTTTGTGATGTTTACTTTATTTTACGTTTTCAGTGTTTTGTGATGTTTACTTTATTTTACGTTTTCAGTGTTTTGTGATGTTTACTTTATTTTACGTTTTCAGTGTTTTGTGATGTTTACTTTATTTTGTGTTTTCAGTGTTTTTGTGATGTTTACTTTATTTCACGTTTTCAGTGTTTTGTGATGTTTACTTTATTTTACGTTTTCAGTGTTTTGTGATGTTTACTTTATTTTACGTTTTCAGTGTTTTGTGATGTTTACTTTATTTTACGTTTTCAGTGTTTTGTGATGTTTACTTTATTTTACGTTTTCAGTGTTTTGTGATGTTTACTTTATTTTACGTTTTCAGTGTTTTGTGATGTTTACTTTATTTTACGTTTTCAGTGTTTTGTGATGTTTACTTTATTTTACGTTTTCAGTGTTTTGTGATGTTTACTTTATTTTACGTTTTCAGTGTTTTGTGATGTTTACTTTATTTCACGTTTTCAGTGTTTTGTGATGTTTACTTTATTTTACGTTTTCAGTGTTTTGTGATGTTTACTTTATTTTACGTTTTCAGTGTTTTGTGATGTTTACTTTATTTTATGTTTTCAGTGATGTTTACTTTATTTTACGTTTTCAGTGTTTTGTGATGTTTACTTTATTTTACGTTTTCAGTGTTTTGTGATGTTTACTTTATTTTACGTTTTCAGTGTTTTGTGATGTTTACTTTATTTTACGTTTTCAGTGTTTTGTGATGTTTACTTTATTTACGTTTTCAGTGTTTTGTGATGTTTACTTTATTTTACGTTTTCAGTGTTTTGTGATGTTTACTTTATTTTACGTTTTCAGTGTTTTGTGATGTTTACTTCATTTTACGTTTTCAGTGATGTTTACTTTATTTGACGTTTTCAGTGTTTTGTGATGTTTACTTTATTTTACGTTTTCAGTGTTTTGTGATGTTTATTTTACGTTTTCAGTGTTTTGTGATGTTTACTTTATTTTACGTTTTCAGTGTTTTGTGATGTTTACTTTATTTTACGTTTTCAGTGTTTTGTGATGTTTACTTTATTTTACGTTTTCAGTGTTTTGTGATGTTTACTTTATTTTACGTTTTCAGTGTTTTGTGATGTTTACTTTATTTTACGTTTTCAGTGTTTTGTGATGTTTACTTTATTTTACGTTTTCAGTGTTTTGTGATGTTTACTTTATTTTACGTTTTCAGTGTTTTGTGATGTTTACTTTACGTTTTCAGTGTTTTGTGATGTTTACTTTATTTTACGTTTTCAGTACTTTGTGATGTTTACTTTATTTTACGTTTTCAGTGTTTTGTGATGTTTACTTTATTTGTTTTTCAGTGTTTTGTGATGTTTACTTTATTTTACGTTTTCAGTGTTTTGTGATGTTTACTTTATTTTACGTTTTCAGTGTTTTGTGATGTTTACTTTATTTTACGTTTTCAGTGTTTTGTGATGTTTACTTTATTTTACGTTTTCAGTACTTTGTGATGTTTACTTTATTTTACGTTTTCAGTGTTTTGTGATGTTTACTTTATTTTACGTTTTCAGTGTTTTGTGATGTTTACTTTATTTTACGTTTTCAGTGTTTTGTGATGTTTACTTTATTTTACGTTTTCAGTGTTTTGTGATGTTTACTTTATTTTGCGGTTTCAGTGTTTTGTGATGTTTACTTTATTTTACGTTTTCAGTGTTTTGTGATGATTACTTTTTTTCACGTTTTCAGTGTTTTTGTGTTTACTTTATTTCACGTTTTCAGTGTTTTGTGATGTTTATTTTACGTTTTCAGTGTTTTTGTGATGTTTATTTCACGTTTTCAGTGTTTTGTGATGTTTATTTCACGTTTTCAGTGTTTTGTGATGTTTACTTTATTTTACGTTTTCAGTGTTTTGTGATGTTTATTTTACGTTTTCAGTGTTTTGTGATGTTTATTTTACGTTTTTAGTGTTTTGTGGTGTTTACTTTATTTTACGTTTTCAGTGTTTTGTGATGTTTATTTCACGTTTTCAGTGTTTTGTGATGTTTATTTCACGTTTTCAGTGTTTTGTGATGTTTACTTTATTTTACGTTTTCAGTGTTTTGTGATGTTTACTTTATTTTACGTTTTCAGTGTTTTGTGATGTTTACTTTATTTTACGTTTTCAGTGTTTTGTGATGTTTACTTTATTTGACGTTTTCAGTGTTTTGTGATGTTTACTTTATTTCACGTTTTCAGTGTTTTGTGATGTTTATTTGACGTTTTCAGTGTTTTGTGATGTTTATTTTACGTTTTCAGTGTTTTGTGATGTTTATTTTACGTTTTCAGTGTTTTGTGATGTTTACTTTATTCACGTTTTCATGTTTTGTGTGTTTACTTTATTTTCAGTGTTTTGAATTGTTTCATGTTTACTTTATTTACGTTTTCAGTGTTATTTTTGTTTTGTGATGTTTATTTACTTTTCAGTGTGTTTTATTTTACGTTTTCATTTTTGTGATGTTTACTTTATTTTTTCCATGTTTAATTTTCGTTTTCAGTGTTTTGTGATGTTTATTTTACTTTTCAGTGTTTTTGTGTTGTAATTTACTTTTTTTTGTGATTATTACTGTTTTCAGTGGTGATGTTTACTTTTCATGTGTGTCCCTTTTTGTTTTGTGATGTTTACATTCTCTTTTCAGTTTTTGTGATGTTTACTTTACATTTGACATAAAATAAAGTATCGTTTATCTTGTAACCAGAATTGTCAACTGTGATGGCTGGAATGCCACAAGTGTCAGTTATGCAGCCCATTCTTTTCATTACGTTTGCCAACAATCTAATCTACCTGATCTAGTCAAATCTTACATGTTCTTATTTGCAGACGATGCAAACATTTTTAGGACCGAGCAGGAAAAAGACGAGGTTACCTTACAAAAGGACACGGATAGCATGGAAGAATGGAATTAAAGATAGCTTGTAGTGGAACATCCTCCAAAATGTAAACATATCTACAAATCAACAGAATAAACAACATATTCTATAAATAATAAGTGCTCACCGATATGGAAAGTGGAAGGATACAGGCATACTATAGGCATGGGTTCTGATGTCACTCCATAAAGCAAACTCCATGGTTGCAATGCTTTATGGATGAAAAAAAAAAAAAAAAAAATCTGACATTATACAAAACAGTAGTGCCCACTCATCGAGATTTTGTCAGCTCTGTCTGGTCGTGATGTAGAAGTAAGAACATTGAAAAGAGAGTACAGAGACAAGTTATTCTAGTGTTGAAGGATCTCACACGTGATGAAAAAGGAGGAAGTTAGTGTTACCTCAAGCTGTATAATTGTAAATGGTACATATGACAACAGGGTTAATGATATACTCGATCATTGTAATTGTCTCAGCTCCACAAGAAACTTCCATGAAAGTATTTCCACAGAGGACAAAATCATATATAAGACACTACATTTTTCTCTTTGAGGGTGTGGAGAATATGTAATAATTTGCCAGTGTCACTAAGCTAAATGCTAGTTTATTTCCATTGATAGTATTACCATAACATTTAATGCATAGAGTTCTACAAAGGTTTCTGTTTTAATCAAAATCATAACAAAAGTAACTTTTCTTTGACTATGTCAACATTCTGATAACTTATATATGTCCATTTAGGCTTTTGGGGGCGTGACCTTATGGTGACCATTTGTTCCATCAGATAACACTTTAATATGTAAGTGAAATATTAGAGGGTTCATCGCTGTGTTTGTTTAATCGCGATTTGAAGGACTTCAGGTCTCTTGCAGATATAACCTTTTCCGGCATACTATTCCATTTATATGTAACATGAAAGAGTCATGAAAAACACTGCTACTACTGGGGTTCGAGAGCTTGTGACCCTGCAGTCTCTAACCGCACACTCTACCACTCAAATGAAGGGAAAATTCCACTGTCGGAATCAAGTTAGGTTACATGTGCTCCCAACTTCTACATATCTACAACCCAATTGTTCAATAGTTCCTGGTGGTATTTAATCCAGACCATGGTGTCTTGTAGTAGAGGTAACAAGCATCTTTGTGAACAACTTTTCGTTTCAAGCTATTGGTGTCATGAGTTTAACAAAGCATCAGTAGATATTTCATTTCATATTCGTGCACATATGAATATCACGAGGATGAGGACATCTGTCTTTTATATCCAGTCAGTATGCATATTAGTTTAATTGTCGCCTTCTAGCTTCCACTAGAGGGAGTTTTGTTCTATCTGTAAAGTGGCGGACCAGTAAGCCTGGTGTCGCGGATTCAAGCCCTCCAGGGCTACGCTACCTTTCTTGTTACAATTAGATAAACTAATCAAATGTAACTCAGTTCATATTTCTCATTTTCAATTTTCATTTTTTTATAGGGGAAGTCAATTCCTGTATTGTTGGTAGTTGATAAGCTGATTATACTTTACTGAATTTGGTAGGTTATAGTACTGTAGCAGTAAATATAAAACGATAAATGGCAAGACAGACTTCGAGCAGAGCACAAACTAGAAGTAAGATAAGTGCCTCTCTGACGCATTCTCTAATTGACAACCAGATAAATTGAAACACCAAAATCCTCCCAACATAAAAATCTACTTTGACAAATCATATCAAGTATTGCTGAAGCAATACATGTTCCCTACCGACCCCTCCGTGTGACCTTGACTTGGACCCAAAAACCGTGAAACTTGAAATCCATGCTTTATAAGTGTGAAGTTTGATGAGAATCCACTGTTAGAGTGCTGACAAACTTTCACAGACGAACAGAAGGAAAGGGAAGAAAAATTGCTCCCCTCCCCCAGTTTTATCGGTAAGGGACCCAATCCTATTGCAGACTTTTAGTATTTTGCAGAGAAGTGAAAAATATAATAAAAAAAAAAGTTTCATATATCAAGGATGAAAATCGCATGAAAATAGCACTTCCCTCACGATTTACATTCACCAAATTTGTTTTTTAAGGTGGCTTTGTACATACCGCTGATATTAAAACAACTTGTGTCTCATTAATTTCTTTCAACTTGAAATGATAAAAAAAGATTTTTTCACTGTCTATATTTTTATACCCACAATAGATGTGTTCTTACCAGATGTTTGTATAATGGAAGAATGGATCTTAATAAGCAAGAAAATTTGATGAACTTTTAAAATTTTCTTATGTGAATTTCAGGGTTCGGTATCCTTCTGATCTTGTTGTAAATGTTACAGCGAAGCTTAGTTTAGAGAAGTGATACCAAACATTGAGAATTTCCTCAGTGGAAATAAAATTTTCACCAGAGGGGGCTGAAGATCAGGGCTAACATCATGAAATGGGTTCTAAAAGTAATTATTGGTGATCGGGGAAAACATTAACAAGTTGAATGTTTAAATTTCCAAAACAAAATATCCAGTTGACCTGAATAGCATTTAATTTTTTCTGTAAAAGATTTAAAATTAAAAGTAAACATCATGTAGTAGAGAAATTTAAGGGAATTGTAATTAAAATTTGATGAAAATTATTGTAGGAGCTTCTCATGCTGAAGGTGTGGCACTAACATTTTTTCTGATTTGCAACGTTGAAACTCTAGTGTATGATATTTGATTAAGCTCAAGGACGAATATATACATCCGCAACACTAAACAACAGATTAAAAACTGCAATCAGCACAAAAATTTTTAGTGCCATACCTTCAGCATGAGAAGGTCTATAATAAAAACACCACTGAAACATGTGTGTTTACAGTAAACAAAAACAACACAAGCTTCACTGAACTATGGGGGCCAAGTGAACACACAAATAAAACAATACAATATGTGTAATTATTTTTATGATTTTTTTAATAATTTGTTTCATGCAACTGATAATGATGGTAATGATGATTCTCAGCTCCTGGTCAGACAATCCCCAACCCCTTCTCCTCATTCCTTCATACCCCTTCACTTCCAGCCCCTCCAACATATGCCTCCATCCCATTTTCCCTTCCTATTTATCCAACCATATTCACCCTCCAACATCTCTCTTGACTACTTAAAATAATTATTCCAGTCTCCAACACAACTTCATTCGATCAGATTTTGAACCCAGCAGTCCTTTTGGAGTTTCAAAGTTCACAGGTACAAATTTTACTTTCTTTCGTGTTTCTTTTTCAAACAGCTGAAATTGAAATTGAAAGAGATACAAAATTGAGGATAGAACAAATGAGTATTTCTTTTCAAAAAATTTAATAAACTAGAAATAATAAAGAAAGAAACACTAAACAAAATAAGTAAAATATTTTTATATGACATATTGAAGTAAAACTTCCAATCCTTTGCATGGAATATAGAGCATTGTTTTTAGTGATATAAATACTGCATTGGAAACCAGCTCACTTGCTCTTTTTTGTACATTTTTCTTTCGTCGGCACATCATAATGAATCTCATCACTGAATGAAATGACACATTTCATTAAACACGGTAAAACTTAAAAATCTTGAAACCCAAAATTTTACGTTCCTTAATTTTGCATATTTTATACACAAAAACAAATGCAGAGAAGATAAGTGAATTACAATATTTTGCAATGTATTTTTTAAGCCTATAAATTCAATAACTTTACTTACATCATCATATGAGGTTTCAAAGAGGTCCGAGAGGTCAGTTTCTGTGGTTTGGATTTCGCCATCAATCCTCTGTGCGCTCCTGGCCACGTCTGGATGATAGTGAGACTGTAGGCTCTAACAAATACATATGTAAATTAGAACAAATTCTATAAATAGTAATAATGGTGAGCTTGGAACTGGGAGTCCAAACTAAACAGACATTATCTTCCTCATACCTAGAAAATGAAGTTACCAGACAGAGGTCACCAATTTGAGATAGAGCTGAAGCAGACATGGTAACATTTCATCTCTCCCTATCACCTCTATGAAATGACATGGACAAAAAAATAAACATCAATATTTATCAAATAGGCATCAAAATAACCAGATTTTTAAAATATTCTTGAGTAAATCTTGAAACGTAGTTCATTATCAAACGAACACAATGATTTACCAACCAATGCGAAATTATATTTTCTAAAATCTGAGACTGCAAAAAACATCTTTCATTTTTACTTTCAAAACAAATGTGTAGTTTTTAACACAATATTTAAGACAGAATATAAGTTTTTTTACCTTAGATTTAGTTCCATATCATACCTTAAGTTCCCAAAGACATCTTTCATTTTTACTTTCAAAACAAATTTGAAGTTTTTACATAAATTTTAAGACAGAATATCTGTTTTATACCTTAGATTAAGTTCCATATCATACCTTAAGTTCCCAAAGACAGCTGTCCATAGCGTGACACTTTGTAGGATCAGGTTCATTTGGATCATAGGGGTCCTCGTGTATTTCTAAAACATTAAACCTTTAATGTTTACAGGAAAACTTTCATACACATGTTTATCATTACAACTTGATTCTACATGGCAAACGTTCTCGGTCGAATATCCTTATTAACATATCCTATGAAACTTGAAATGACCTCTGAAGAGTGAAAGCCACAACTAAATTCAAGTCAGTCATTAAGTTTATTTTCATTTCTACGTAGTGTCCGTGTAGAGTAGAAATTTCTGAAATATTTATGTAAACAAGAGCGATTATATTAATTTCTGCTGAATCAACGCCAGATATTTCACATCCTCTTGAGAGCCAGGATGATTTCGTCTAAACTATTTTAAACTACCATAGGAAAACGTGGTCAAACAAAATGTGTTAAGGGTGAAACAAAAGGTAGTAAATAACACAAAAATAAAAATTTCAGTTAAAAACATGTTTTTGTTTGAAAACACAAATAAATAGAAAAACGCACATCTTGTCATAACAGGTGTTGTTTATGCTTTGACAAAAAGGCTAATCTCTCTGATGAAATTCCTAATTTTGTTCATTTCCACATGGAGATGAAAAAGCTTTCCAGATTCAGGAAACACTTTGTATGAAGATAACATGTTCAACTATAAGCTTGGAATCACATTCATAACAAACAGGTGAGTATTCACCATGTAAGAGAAATGAATGAGTATGTTGCCATATAATCTATAATCGGGCCCAGAAAGTCAACACATTACATCAATCTGAAAGTGCTGGCTTTTCTACAGACTGAATTAAATATGTGTGGGCTTATCAACAGGCACAGGCATAATTATTGTCACCAGCAGCTAGGTGTCTGTTGAGTATGATAATGTCTCAGATGAGTTTCCTTGTATGCTAAACAGTTTTAACTTAATTAAAAAGTGGGAACTGACCATGCTTCATAAAACCATAAATTCAGTTCCTTATTTGATTTTAAGCTCCTGAGGCCAACAAAGAAACCATCCCTATAAATCAGGTGTCGTCTTATTACAGAGGTTTCAATAATTATTATTCTTTATAAACATGTATGTTGGACCCATCACAAAGATTGTTGCCAAACAAACAGAAGTAGTCCTAAGTTCCATCAGACCTTACCTGATGGTCCCTCCGTGCGATGTAATAATACACGACAGTTTGGGTGTCTGTGGATGAGGTTATAGATGAACGGTATGGACACCGTCAGACCAGAAGGAGGAGCTGTTAGTGAAATTCTGGCTAGTCGCTTAGCAAATGCTCCAACCAGGTAAGCAGGCAGGTGGCTGAAGAATGAAATATAGATATTTTTCATCTTTATGAAATTTTTTTTAAGCACATCATTTTTACTTTATCAATGTTGTTTTGAATCTTACAAACGTTTGGTGTGCTAGGCAAAACAAAAATACAAAGTGTTGTTAAAGCAATAGGTGTCCCCTATTGGCCTCTACAAACTATTACATGGTAATAATGGTGTTGTTTGGTGTTACTTTGGGGAAAGGAAGGCAAAAGGTATGTTTAATTCCAATTCAATATAAATTGTTGATCTGGAAGCTACCATTTGTCGAGTATTTTCTATAAACAGTACCTACTGAGTTGACAGTGACTATACAACCAGGAAACTCCAACTCATTCCATACCTTATGGTCCTTTACATGTATTTGAAGTTTGATTAAGGAATGAAGCAGCTAGAGTGCTGACAATGATTTCCTTAAAAACAGCAACAGTGAACTTGAACATGACCTTGACAAAACAATTTTGAAACTCCACAATATTGTAGTTGTTTGTACGTGTGGAATGAAGCCCTACAATGTTGACAACAATTTTCTAATAAAAGTAACCGTGACGTTGATCTTGATCAAACAACTCTAAAATCAAATTTGTCTCAAGATATTATGCTTGTTTCTGAGTGTGTGAGGTTTGATAAAAGTCGTGTATGGAACAAAGCAGCTAGAATGCTGAGGATTCGGAAACTGAAACTTGTTGTCTCTTAAGGAATCGTACCACAAGAGTGATGACATATGTACATATACAGATGGATCGAGAAAGAAACTGAAAATGGCTTCTTTGGTTGGGAACTGATAACCTTTTGAAAATTTGTTTGATGTATTTCTTCAGAATTTCATATTGCTCCAGACTTCTTTGCAAATAAGCAACCTTGTTTGACAAACCTCACAATGTTTTGGTGTTTTGCTATTCACTGAAATTGTGTTATACTATTCAGTAAAGTTAAGATAGTAGAAAGTTTGAAAAAATCAATTTGGGAGTGACAGAAGAAGAGTGACATCTCAAGGACAAAAATGACAGGTAACTATATGTCTCTCCTGTCTTACTTTGTAAGTCTTGAAATTACTAAGTAAAATACCAAACACACTGTAATTTATGTCTCCCCTACCCCCAACCCGAAACACAAAATTTGTCTAAATGCAAAATTTTAAAGTGAAATATTGATACCACTGCCAGAAAGTAACAATACAGTCTTGCAGCTAAGACAAAAACAGGAACGAGAATTAGAGGATTATAATTGAGATGAGGATGGGTGACAGAGTGTTGTTGGATAAAGGGGTGTTTTGATTACGTTCTGTTTGTCAATAGGTGTAAAGAATTTATCTAAACCATCAAATCTTCCATTTCAACACTAAACTTGGAACAAATTTATTCCATTTTACTTACGTGGATGTTAAAAACAGGTCTGCCAGAAAGAAGAATCTTGCTCTGTACTTGGCATGAAAGACTGACGGTTCGAATAAGGCATACAGTTTACCATAGAAGTCTGGGTAGTCTCTGTTAACAGAATACATATTATAGTGATGTTTAAAAAGGTTATTTATAAGTGGTATGACACTCTTTCTAATAGTTGAAGAATCTAGATTATAAATGTATTCTCTTTTTGGGCTATTACATACTGTTTTTTACTTAACCAGAGCACAAGACACTTACTGGACAGATGAGGTTAATTATATGGGGCTAAATTTATTCATAGAAATGATACCCCTGATGCTACTTCGAAATGTCTACTGACAACAAAGAGCAGAAAAAGCCAACTCTATGAACTACATCCTCTGAGGCCTCTTTATTAAGGAAGACATTATAAAATTTACAATATTAGGTAACTGTACACCCCCATCCCACTTAATATATGATAGACATAACAAGTCAGGAAGATTCAGTAGTATACATCAAGTCAGTCAACATCTTCCATTGATGGAAATCAAACTTAACAAAGGGCAATAACTCTTGGACAAATTCTCTGGTAGTGTGGGGGGTAAGGGAGAGGGGGACTTATTTAGTAGTGGAGGACTGAATGATGGAAACCTTAATTTTCACAAAAATGGTGTTTTATCTGCAGACTGATATGAAATACTCACAGATTATATTTCTGAACAAGAACAAATATTCCATTTAGGGCTAACAGACTGATGGCACCACCTGTAGGAATAAATTGAAAGTATATGTTGTGATATCACATGTTACTATTCATGAATTTCTTTGCTTATCTGTGTCTACAAACAAATATATATATATACAAAACACATACAAGAAAATACCAACATGTCAACATAATCAAAAACTCAAATTCAGTGAAACTTGGTAAAAATACAAACAAAAGAAAGATTTACACAGAGACATGGAAAATAAGGAGAATAGGACCAGATGTTGCAGAAGAGTAAGCATCTTCTGCTACATTGACATATAAATATATGTCAATCAAAGCAAGAAATGTAATTTAATTTTGACATCCTTCAGATGAAAATCTTTTCGTAGCTAAAGCATTAAACTGCTCTCCAGTTGGAGTTTGTATGTAATTTTAGAAAGGAAAAGTCTGATTACTGGGTAGGAAGTTGACTTACCTATGTTGTAAGACTCGGTAAGAAAGTCACACAGCATCAGTGGACTTGTCATATATGGCATCACCTTGTCATGGAGAATGATCAGAGTCCGTCGATACAGGTTAGTTGGCAGCTGAAATGGAAATTCCATTTATCTTCAAACTAAAATCAATGTATCAGACTTTGTAAACACTTAGAGCTTGTCCAAACAAATGACAACTTTACAGAGAGTGAATGAAAAACAAACAGAAAAGGAGGCTTCTGGATATATATACAATGTATACTTATGCAAATAAAAATGATTAAAAGAGAATTTATAATCTTCTAATTCACAGATCAAAATATTTCCTGGATTTTTTTCTAGCTATTGTTGAGAAAACATAAATTTGTAAAAATGTTTGATTATCTTTTTTTTTTAATTTTTAGTCCAATTTTTGTTGTTGTTGTTGATTGATTCTCTTTTTAAGAATCTATCTTTATACTGGTAGAGAGTTAACATAGAGGCCAAAAGCAAGGCAGTGTCAAGGGAGACAATTAGAAGACAGAATTATATGAGAAGAATCTAAGAAATTTAGAATCCAAACTCAGTTGCCCTTTCCACTATGTAATTGGACCTGGAGTATCTTGTGACCTAAGACTTTGAGATGTTTCAGTTTAAAAATTTGAATATTTTTCCTTTTGAATGTATCGTTTGTTCAGTATCATAGTATCATACCTGGAAGGCCAGAAATGTTACCCAGGAAGTAGTGAACAAACGCTTATGTTCCTTCAATGACGACATCTTCAAGTGAACGTCTTCATCTGAAAGGATGAAAAGAAATGAAAGTTTGTATTATGCACTTTACAAGCTGAGGGGCTTGACAAAATTTGAATCTTGAAATAAACTTTGAAATGAAATTCTAATTAACTAACCATATCAAAATGAGTAGTTTGAGAACAACGTAGTTCACCTATTGATGACATACACATTAATGCTTGAATGTTTTAATAATCATCTGCCTCTAGACATTTATGTTCCAGTAGTGCCAGTAATGCGAAAGGTACACGCAAAAAATTCGCAAACAGAAATTTACCATTCTGTTGCTAGAAATATGAAACATCCGGTTCAGTATAATGATATCAATTCATACAAAACGCTTTGACTATCTAATGGTAAGCACCATTTGATGGTGATGAATCAGTCCTGCTAGAAACAAGAGGGATATGGTCCTCAGCGGTCATCTGACAATCAATGAATGAATGAATGAACCACAGAATTCACTTGAAAGTAGCAGAAACTCATAAATGGTAGGTTCTGTGCACAATCATGTTACAAAATGACTACTGTGGCTACCATGTTGAATATTTGATCAGACCGAAAAATAACAAATCATCTCTTTCTTTCCCTCCAAATATTTTTGTCATCAGTGTGAATGAAAAAAGTTCTAGATGAATTATGTTGGACCAATGCATAAAAATAAGTTTTGGTCAAGACAATCTGAGGTTCACTTCATGCATTTTTGATATCAATGCCACTCCCTAATGAATTTTCAAGCAAAATTTGGTTGAAATCTACCAAGGCATTAGGAGAAGCAGTGTTTTGGAAGAAAATATTGTCCAATTTCCCCTTTTAGAGCCCTGCCCCTAAGCCCCTCGGGATCAAATCAACTTTCTGAATGTAAGAAATGATTCTCCATCCACAATAATGTTTTGTACCAACTTTGGTTGAAATCTACCCAGCCATTTTGGGGCCACGCCCTTAAGTCTCTAAGCCTCAAATCAAAATTCTGAATTTATGAAATGATTCCCCATTCTTAATGCTGTTGCAGACCAAATTTGGTTGAAATCCATTCAAGCATTAAGAAAGAGTAGCATTTGAAGTAAAAATTTCCCCTTTTTGGGCCCCACCCCTAAGTCTCTAGGGGTTAAATCAACTTAATGAATTTTGTATTATTTACCAACCCTACTGATAATACAGACAAAATTTAAATGAAATCCATTCCAGCATTAAGAAAGAGCATCATTTTGAAGAAAGTATTGTCTTAATACTCTTTTGGGGCTCTTTCCCCAGGTCCCTAGAGGTCAAATAAAAATTCAGAATTGAAGAAATGATTCCCCACTCTTAAATATGTTTCAGACCAAATATGGTTGAAATCTGTTTAAGCATTAAGAAAGAGTAGCATTTTAAAACAAAATAAGAGTTAAATTTCCATGTTTCAATGTTCAAGGGACTGTCAAAAACTTCTTCATCAATCAAGACTTTGAATCATGCTAGTATTAAAAGCATGCCACACATAAGTGAATATTGACAGGATAAATCTCCAAAGTGACAGACTATCCTGCTTGAAATAACAGATATTTTATGGCATTTTCTCTCTTTATTTCCATCATTACATCATCTATTCACAGGAGAATAATGCGCTGACAGGGCTCTTGATCTGCCAGATTTGGGGCCGAATCCCAATGCAAAATAGTATCTTTTTTCCCAATTTAGACCCCAAGTTTTCCCAATTCTAAGGAAAACAATGTTTTTATTCCCAATTCTAAGGACCCCGGGCCCCGGTCCCAAAATGGGGTGTGAGAGCCCTGGCTGATGAATTGAAATTCCCCTTGATGCTAACTATCTATTGAGCAGACAGTAAGTGCCTTGGGCTAACAAAACTGAAATGCCATATGACTGGAGTGACTAAAATTTAAGAAAACTTTGGTTTTAGATCTAACTCAAAATGTAACTAATATGTTTTGAAAATAGCAGATTTCTTTTTTTACCTGGCAATGTGGTTAAATATGTTGTTAGATTTTCCTCTGGTGAAGCTGGAAATGTCACGCGTTCCAAGACAGCAAAAATATTGTTAAGATATATGTCTCCAGGTTTCTACAACATAGAAGTATGGGTTATTATTTTAGCAGACATCATCTTTCAAGTCCATAACAAACAATTTTCCTAACATCAGCACTAAATCAGCAGACTGTGTTGAAATGTATTATAAGTGGCAAACACAATCCATGAATGATTTATTCTTGGCATCCTACACAAAAATGTTTATAATATATGTGGTTATATTGTACATATGTTATACATGTACTGAATCTACATGAACAAAGCAACATGTTTTAATGAATTTGGATCATCTACTTGAACGTCTCATTGGATAAAAGATCAGTTAGAACATCAAAGCCCCTTGAAACCCGCATTTCTCTAATACTAACCAATTCCTTGGTTCTGACCGCGTTCTTACATAATCCTTGTTATTTAACCCTTAATTCCACGAACCATTATTCCATAAATACCCCACATTCTTTGAACTCATTTTTGTCCCCATCCCTTAGTATTGTCTCACCTTTTTGTAGAATAGTTATGTCACGCTCGCCAGAATTTACCTGTGGCACACATGACTACATGCAACTTTAGTGTATCAGTGCTGATAACTTTTGCATGTTTATGTCCGCCCCAACAGCAGATAATTATGGGATTAATGGTCATGGTGGTGTGAACACATACTTGTACTGTCATCTACTACAGAGTGACTGTTTTATTGTTCTATAAATAGATTGTCATAGAAAAATCAACCGCTGTTGAAACAAAAGTTTGCGTCTTGCTTACTACCAAAAGACTGAATAACATATACACAGCAACAGAATATGAATGAGTTCTCAACTGGGACTATTGACATGGGTTTTTCTGTATTTAAATGAACTGACCGTGTTACGTTTTCCCTTTAGGTCCATCATGGTTGACTTTAATACATGGAATCGTACATCATCATAAGCCAGGTACTCCTGAAATTTTCCTATCAGGTCCTGGAGGTTGATTTCTGTATTCATGAGCTGGGTCATTATCTTCTGTAAATGACATATCACTAAATTAACAAGGATCCACTTCATTATCTGTTTATCACAAGATTAATAGATTTTTGAAGAGGCAGTTTTAACTAAAAGTCAATATTTTTCTTCCATTCTTATCATAAGACTACAAAAGCTTCCAGCTACTACAAGTAGATCCTATTTCAAGTGATTCTGGCTGTTGACAAGAAAATAAAAACAAACATAATTCTGACTTACCATAAACAGAGGTACAGGAAAATGAGATTTTTTTGAAGAAATTTTTGTAACAGGATTTTTTCCTTCTGTCTCCACAAACTTCAACAAAGTACAAAGAGCCAGTTCCTAGAAAATTGAAAAAAAAAAAAAAAATGAGAAAAACACAACAAACAAACAAAAATCATAAACCGGGTAATCTGAATTTTTTTTACATTTCAAAAAAGACTTTGTAAACATAATTTCTCATTAGATTTGTTAAATTTTCTTATATGAGATCATATAAGCCAATGCGACATGCTTCAGAATTGATTGTTTGTAAAACTTTTTGTAAAATAATTCGTTCAACTTTAAATTAACTTAAACTCAATCAGTGACCATTGGAAGAATATCAAAGACGATTGAATGACTTCAATATGCTTGGTTTCCTTTATTGTAAAGATTTCAACCAGCAGGTCAATAAGGTAAGCTTTGACAGGTCCAGCACTTTCTTAAAACCTTCCTGCGTAAGTGACATGTTTTGTATGATGGCTCGCAATATTGTTAAATTGTAAGAACACTGTGTGTTCTCTGATCCTTTCTCAAGACATCTGTGTTTCTCAGATAGCTGAGAGCACTTACTCTCTGTGCTGCCTGGATTTTGTCCTTGAGGAAGCAACTTTTACTCCAATTGCATGGATAGTATGCAATGTGCCTTCTGTATGATGTACTTCCAGCTATTGTGAGGAGACTCTGTCTCAAAATTATCCTGCCTGTTTGTGGCATAATAAAACCCAGTAAACAAATAAAACCAGTGAAATTATTACCTACCTGTACAGATGAGAATTCAGAATTCAGAAGTTGGATCAAACAGTCAATGGCATCTTGGTAACGATCCATCAACCAAACTTTATATTGAACTTCTTTGCTTAAGCCTGAAAATATAAAAAAAAAAATTAACTAAACCAATCTTGTGACACACCACATGACCATTTTTAGGTGAAAGTGAGAGGTCACTGACATGTCAATTTTCCTTTGATAGTGTTTAGATTCTGTAGCAATGAATTTGTGACCGTGTCCTTTTTTTTTATAGAAAAATAAGAATAATTGTAATGACCTGACTGTAAGCTGTAATCATGGATATTACAATGTAAAAAATTCTGCAGTCATGAACATGATAAAAATCCAAATAATAACTCAAATTCTCATTTCAATTATGTCAGCAATTGCATGGACAGGGAGCAGTCCAAGATTTGTAATGTTACAGATCAGTCAGGCAGGTGAGAATCACATCACAATTCATTACATTGATTATCAATATTTGTATAATTATTGATGACTGACCAATGATTCATTTAAAAAGAAACAACCAATAAAAACTATCATTATGTGTGTGACTGTTTTTTCTTGTTTTCTGGTTTGCTAATTCTAAATAATTCTGCATTGCTCAAACACATCAACCATCAATCTATCCAGCAATATTAGTTTATACCCAAATTTAGGAACAAGGGACTTTCCGTGATGTCATAATAGCATTCTTTGTACATATAACAATCCAGCAACACCACTTTATACCCAAATAAAGTAATAAGGGACGTTACATGACATCAGAACACCATGATCTTATGACATTTTTTGACAAGGTGATTGATTACAGAAGATTTGTCACGATAAATGATGAACAATTTTAAAGTTTGTTGGAAGAAATAGACTTGAAAACACCACAAAGGCAACAAAATCCAAGATGGTCACCTGTCAGCCATTTTGTTTTTCAGATAAGTCCTGAAATGTGATGGGCACAACAAGGGACCAAAAGGAACCTATATATGAAATTTGAGAAATAGCAAGAACAATCTTGCAAAGTCAAAATCCCAGATGGGCACCTGTCAGCCATTTCGTATTTCTGATCAGTCCCAAAATTACATGGACACAACTAGGGACAGGGGAACTTACATATGAAATTTCAGAGAGATCCATCAAGTACTTCTTAAGAGATAGAAATGACAAACTTGCAAAGTTAAAATCCAAGATGATTATCATCTGAAGATTGTGGGCTAAAAAGCAGAAGAAAATTTGATCAATACTAAGTTCATACCAATCAAGATTGTTAAGAAAATTCACTATGGTTTTTAATCTTCCTCTGTAAAATGAATGTTTCTTCTGTATGATACCAGAAACTCCGAACAAAACAATATGAAGAGGAATATTACAGTACATTATCTTTATGGTATTTCAGTTACCACTAACCTTTATCAGTTGTGTCTGTAGGTACAGTTTCCAGGAACATCTCCCCTGTTGTCAAAAACTTGACAAAAATTTTGTGAAATGCTCGAATGCATGCCAGTAAAATATCCTTTTCTGGTGACTGAAAATAAAAGTGGATAAATGAATTATAATTAAAATACACTTGAAATCAATTGATCTGAAAGAAATACAAGATGTATTGGTCTTCTCCGTGAATAAAAACATATAAATCAACTGACCACACATTTTTATTAATAATATTTATTCGGGTAAACAAATCAAATTATTTTTAAATGAGACATTATACCATGAAAATCACAATGCAGCTTTTTATTATATATGTTATTTTAGTATTTAATGCCAAACACATTGCAAATGACATTAAAAAGACCGAAGAATTATTGAACGTTTTGGTCAAAATACTAGCTACAAGAATGAAATATCCGAAAAACTTGATAGTTAACTGCCTAAGCTTGGTCCGTTTTTAACATCTGCTTGTCAGTAATAAAACATGCGCAAGTACCATCTACCACATCACAGAATTGAAATTTCTATTTGAAATATCAAAAATGTGGAACAAAATCAGTATTAGAGTCACCCTAAGCATCTCGTGGACTTAGATAACATTCTGTTGACAACAGCGCATAGAAAAATGACATAGTTGAAAGATAATATGTCATATCAAGTTCCTGATTAACTTTTATAGTATTTAGAATCCTCTGTGAATTCGAAACCATTTAGTGTATGTTTAATAATTTGGTGTCAATAACACAAACTTTGACAGTTTTGATGAAGCATAACTTATTTTATAATATTTTACTTCTAGGTTTAAACAGTTGAATATTTTTTACCTCTGCATATGTTATAATGTCAATTATTTTATTTGACTCCTTTCTACTTTCTGTACAAGTTTTCATGGCAGTTTTAATCTCATTTAAAATATCCGACTTCGGTCCATGTGGTATCTTTTCCGCCATTGTGGTGCTCTGGAGTAACCACCAATCAGAAAAGCTTTTACAAATTTTCATTTCATTTGAGATTCTCGGATGTTTACATGATGTCAAACCTAAAACTGAGCAGACAAATTTCCGAACATTTTCATCGGAGTCCAAATTTGCGCATGCGCATCCTTTCTCACTATTCCTTGCAGCTAGAGATGCGTCATGGCTTAGATCCCGTGACTTGCGACAAGAAATAGTTGCATCGAAATTTATGTCTTTTATTTTTGAGGTTGTAGGTTCACTGTATCAAAATGTTCAGATAAATTGCTGATAAGGTTGGATTGAGGGTTTTTGACCAAAGATGGGTGGTTTTTCATCGTTAAATTTGTAACTCAAAATCCAGGTAAGCATATAATGTATTCATGTCAATATGGCGGACTTGCGACTCATGGGAAGGCATGAATGGCGGACCGCATGCGCGCCGAAGTGCACCGGTGCCGAGCGCGTAGTGTTGCAATACATATATATTTATTTACATTGACTTTATATATATACCTATAAATGTATCTTTTTGAAATGAAGAATGTGTTTAACTTGACGTTATACTTGGACTATGCCAAAATATAATAAACTGTTTCGAACTCGATCGAGTTCTCACAAAAGACTGCACATTCAACATGTGGGGGCCAAGAGTTGAAGTTGCATTTTAGGTCTATTGAACTTTTAAATAACAATTATTTCAGAGTTCCTTGATTACGTGATGGTGTAAGGTGTATAAGCCTAGGCATCGCATACCTTACTCTCATGCGTCTAAGATGACTTTGGCCGCCTGATTGCATCAGCGGATCTGCGACCCTCCCAGCATTTCACTTACCCGAAATCGCTACATTGAACTATATTTCCGGATGTTTTTAATTACTTTCTATTAAACAATTAGAATATAAGGATGATTAAATTTTTTAAATTGATAACAGAAGGCACCAATTAATCATATTTCTAAAAGATGCATGTTAAATATCGACTATTTAAGTTAGCAGTTTGAAAAGTGACTTCCAATTTTATGCTTACTTTGGCATATCACTAAAGAAACTGGTTAATGTGATCAATAGACTTGTTAAAAATTCCCATTTTTTTTCTGGTTCAACAGTAATCATTTAGATAGATGTCTTTCTCTTGTGGGTGATGTCATTGTGGATTATTTGGAATGTATAGCTAGCTTAGCCATACCATATAGTATCTTTGAATGCCATCATATCATAGGTATATGTACTGTGGCACCATGTTGGAGGTATGTCTAGAAATGTCTAGATACTTAGTATTGGAGTAATTGTAACCTCAGGATTACATGTACAATTAATGTTGCAAATTTGGTTCTTCATCGTAGTGTCGGTAGGATAGTTTCCTTCCGTTAGAGTTTGCCGGATATTGTTTATGAACTGATAAGTTAACCATTCCGGATCAGTCCCTCTGATAGGAAATCTTGGACATGTTATTTTCAAATTAATTTTGTTACCCTTTCTGTATAACCCATTGGTACTGACAGAATGCTGCAGTGTTTTTTGTTGATTTGATTATTTTAATTATTTGTTTGTTCTATATTTTAAGGTGTTGCAGAAGTATGCAACGGAATGATGCAAACGATGTGAAGCAGCGTCGTGGCAGCGGTCCGAGGGACCAAAGTGGGCAGTCACCACAACAAGAGTCCGTCCAGCACTATGTGTTGACTGGCCAGTTACAGGCTATTACGGGTTCAGGAAGGCAGACCTCGCTAGGTATTTGTTTAACTGAAAAAAAGTAGGGATGCTATAATGTGACCAACCCTATAATTTTGTTTCATTTCAAAGAATTTCCATCATTTCGTCTTTATTTATACTTGTGGATGTTATTTCAGTATGCTGAATTTGAAAATAAAAGTAATGTCATAGTTATCAGAGCTGGGACACTGAAACAATTTTGCTAAATTCCTGCTGTATTTGTAAATTAACAAGACTTGGCATAACTTTTTTTTAGGTTTGCTTCCCTCAGCATCCCCAGGCGTGTCCTTGGGAAGCTCCAATGTGGCAACCCCAGTCATTGGTTCCAGCACACCTCTCCAGCACCAGACTGTGGTCGTGTCCTCACAAGACCTGGAGCGCATCTTCACTGCAGGTGCTCCTGGGCCCTCTGCGGTTGCGACCACTCAATGTCTGTCTGCCCAGTCTCTACAAAGACAGCTAAGTACTCAAGGTATGGCTATATAAAATATTGCACTTGTTCCCATCTACAGTCTATTTAAATGGCTGGTTACAAAAATTTATTATGCTAAATATATTTCATCAATAAATTATTCTGCATTGAAAAAGTAAAGATGAGTTCACTGTAAATGTATTACTCAATATGAAACGGATAACTTAAGTTGATACATGACATTCAATACGAGAAATGGGTTGATTACCAAAGCTAGAGGAGATTTAAAGACCTCTGAGCCGTGACTTTGACCCAACATAAACTTCCACTGATAACATGAATACTGTTATTGGTGGAAACATTTTATTTTTACCCAAAATGTAAGTATCAAAATTAAGAAAATTTAGCCTATTGTCTCTAATTTGTTAACCCACTACAATATGGACTATAGTTTTGCATTATATCAGCCAGTCCTTTTGCTATCTTTACTGACAATGTCATTAGAACTTCCTTATTGGACTTAAGGTTTACCTGATACTCTGACCTACATTTTAACCTGTGACGTAAATCAAATTGGAAAGGTTGTTTGGGCTCTATTACACTACTAGTCATTGGAACTTCATACTTTGAGTAAGGGCTTACTTTGGAAAGGCGATGTTTCATTTATCAAAAGTAGAATACTCTGACCTAAATTTTGGACTTGAACTGAATATTCTGATACCATTTCAATATAGAAATGTTACGGAAATAAGTATTCATTCATGCATTTCACCTTTTGTGGAATTTAATTTCATTAACATTTAATTTAATATTTTTTCTGTCTTGAATAAACAGTCACCTAATGTGAGTGGCTCCATATCCCCAATTATCTCTTTTAAAATATTGATCTGAAAGACAAATAATATTGTTGAATTTTTTTTTTCTTTTGCACAAAGCTTTTTAATTTTACTTGGACCTTTAGATTTTTTTGTGGGGGGGAATGGTTTATAGGAGTGCACTTGATTATTTCATCACAAGAGCCATTGTTCTGATCTTAATGGAATTTTCTCACATTGAGGAACAAG